CATTGAAGGATTAGTTATCCATACTTTTTACTCTGATTTTGTTTCTTCCTATAGTTTAGGCAATTCTAAGCAGGCTGCTTATTGTCTCTATGCCTAAAGTCATTTGCCATATTTCAGGACAGGATAGCACTTAGACCTAGATGTGACAAGAGTCTGCTCTTGATCTGTTTTCACTATCTCAGTGTTATGGCCAATCCAAGCCAAGTTTTGTCTCCACATACACTTTGGTATATTGCTAAACATGTAATTGAAAAACACCTACAAAGAGTAATCTATCCCAATAATGACTTACGTTGTTGTGCCCAAAATCTGAACCTCAAAATCACTAGGAGATCCATTCCAATGCAAAAGCAAAGAATCTTTTATTGTTTAACAAGTTTACCCCATTAAATCGGGCCCTTCATCCATTCAATACAGCGGCTAGAGTGAGAAAGACCTAAAATAACCATGAGGCGAGGAATTTATTGGGGTGTACAAGGGGCGTGTCTAGGAGTATGCAAAGTCTCAGAATTGGTCCACTTCTGAGCTTGGGTGACTGTTCTTTGTTGATTGGTCAACTGGTTGTTATGGCCTATACGCCCTCCCACGGTGGTTGCTATGCTCTGCAGTTCACTGTTATGCTACTTTTACCATAAAGCAGTCCAGAGCCTGCCAGCTAACTTCTGATTGGTTCCTTGCCACGTGCAAGGTATTTGACCTCCTAGTGACTGGGAGATCGGGCAAGGTCAGGAAGCTCAGCTCATTTTGCTGAGTCTTTTCTGTAGCCTGTCATAGCTGCTAAAGCAGGGACCTAGGTGAGGACCCAAGGTTGAAATGATAATGTAAAAAGAATCTCTTAACTATCTATCCAGATGAGAAATGAGTCATAACAGAGTATCATGGTCCCAAGAACCTGTATAGTCTCGGGTCAGCTAAGACCACTCCCTGCCTGGCAGTAATAGAGGGTGAAATATGATGGAACACACGTGTCTGCTCAATGCCAAGGCAGTTAGAGCTATATTTATTTGTAGGCGCTTGCCTGCCACTAGCTGAGTTCTCCCAGTTTAGGGATGGTAAGCACAGCTCCATAGACTACTAATGCTGATGTTAAACTGGATTATACCTAAGTCTCTTATCTGTTGGTTCTACAGTCTCAGGAAAAAAGGTGAGCGTGTCTTGGGCTCATTCTAAGGCTGGAAATGATAGAATTAAATCCCAGTTTGTCTCATCAGTCTTCACCTTATGGATGTCTAGAAGCTTTGTTTGTGAGCTCTAGTCTGCCTACAGGTCTTCTTACCAGATACTGAATTGCACTGGGCTCTAAACAAAGCCCTTTGCTAGCCTTTGTCTCTATGGATGGAGACCTGCTTTCCATTGGAAGTGGGAGGAAGGTGGTAGAGGAAGATAACCACCTTTTCTAATACAATATTAGTTGCTCAGTCTACAAGTATTGTCTGGTGGTATGGCTGAGCAATATTTTGCTCAATATTGGGTTTCTCCATTGCAGGTCTGGAACTAGGATTCAAATTTAAGGACTGGGCTTAATTTTGTCTCCTACTGTAAAAGGAGAGTCTTTCTCTAGACTGCACAGTTTAGAGTTGGGAGGCACGGAGGGCAATGCAAGAGTCAACTGTTTTCTCTTTTCATTGTCTTTTACCTTGGTGGTTCTTCAATTATACTAAATTTTTATTCCTTTTTCAGTAGTTTCCTTAAAATTTATTATATACCTTTACAACTAATCCAAATTCTCTCTTAGCATCATGCTGCTTTACCGTTGCTATGTCATAGTAGCTATTCCTTATATCGTTGCCATTCACTTCACTTACCCATATACTATTCTGAACATTCGATACAAGTTAATACGGATATATAATTCCTTTAAAATAAAAGTAAATCTATGCTAAAAAATTTACTGTGTCCTGAAAAAAGTCTGAAGTATCATTAAAGAATATTGAAAAACCCTTAAAAACGAATATATAACAATGTCTAGAACCTGCAGAAACAGAACTTATGAATAAGAGAATATTAATCAATATAAACTGATGTAGAAATTATATACAGACTAGAATTAGTGGACTTCTATTAAATATACTGCAGATTGAGATAAAGGTCCAGAGATGTCAAAAAAAAAGCATAAAGTTATAAAAATCTAAATCAATCTTTTAGAGATATAAATATTTTCTCTGAGATGATAAATACACTAAATGGGCATAATAAAAAGAATTGATACTGCATTTGGACAATATTAATGAACTCAAAATTTACTGTTTAGAAAGAAAATCTGTGCCACCTAATGCATATGCAGTAAGAATTCTGAAAAGAGAGAAAAGAATGGGGAGAGAGCATAAATAGTGTTTGAATAAATAATACCGAACAACTTCCTAATTTGATTAACAATAAAAACAAACAGTTCCAAGGTATATAACGAACCCTAAGCATGAGAAATATAGAGAAAGTATGTCATAATCAAAATTCTTTAAAGTCAATTAACCAGAGGTATGGGAGATGACATTTTAACTGTCAAGTAGCAAAAATAGAAATAAGGCAGATTTTTCCACAGAAAATGAAAGCTTGAAGACAATAGAAAAGCATGCTTAAATTACTGAAAGGAAAACAATCAATCTAAAATCTATAACCAACAGAAATATTGTTCAAAATGTAGATGATATAAATCCTTCCGTGGGTATACAAAAGCTAAAGCCATGAATGGTGGCACATGTCTGTTACATCCCCAACAATTGGAAAAGGGAAGCAAAATATCACAAGTTTGAGGGCAGCCTGAGCCATAAAGTGATACTCACAAAGTAACAACACACGCACTCGCGCGCGAACGCGCACGCACACACACACACACACACACACACACACACACACACACACACCTGAAAGAATTCAACACCCAAAAATCCAGATATCAGAAAAAAAAGAAAACAATACCAAGAAAAATTTCAGCATACCCAGAAAATAAAGAAAACTAAAAATGGTAAATTCTGATAAGTTCAGAATATTAACTTTTAAAAATCTCCTTAAAAGATAATTGAGAACTGGAAACATCCAAAATACTTATCAAATGACAAATAATTAAGCAAATAGTGGCATATATAGAAAATGGAATATTCCTCAGAAATGAAAATAAATGACTGTTTGACAGTGAGAAAGAATCTTGAGTAATCATGATGAGTGAAAGAAGCCAAGCAAAACCAAATAGAAACTGGTTCTCGGTTAGCTTATGTAGTAAACAGATGACAGTGAATGGCTTTGTCAATAGCTAGATTTGCTTTTCTTTTAATTTAGCATAAATCAAACATAAATTTCCAAGTTGACTGTCTGAGTTTTTCCTCTCTTATACCAATTCTTATCTAGGACATCTATCATGAATTTAAAAAGGAAGGAAGTGTGCTAGCCATGGTGGATAAGCCATTGTCCATAAAGCAAGGTGCACAACTGTAGAGAGAGCAGGGTTTTCAGACTGCTGTATGAGGAGGGGAGTATTGTTGTAAATTGTGTATCTAACTCACTAGGCTGTTAATGCCAACTGTTGCCCTTGTTGTTTCTCTTTTTTATGATTGGAGAAGGAGGAAAAGAACTCTTGACTTCCTCTTTGCAGTGTCTGACTCTTATAAGATACCATCTACGTTTTTAGCTGAGATTTCTAAATTTCTGTTCAAGATGAAAAATGCTTTGATTCCAAAATAACTAAATTTAAATGGGTTCCATCAATTTCTCAAGCACTACTAAATATATTTTCTAAAGTATCATTTTTTCCAACTACTTTAGTTAATTCTATAATTCAGTGTTTAAGCATATATTGAGAAAATCAGTTTAGACTCTTGCCTGATGGGAAATCTCATTTTTTATGTTCTTCATTTTTCTCATTTATAATGTCACGATAATAATAAATTATCTTACAAGATTATTTGAAAATTAAATGATGTAATATACACACAATGCATACCATTTAAATATTGATAAATGTTAACTCTCATTTTAAAAATTGGTAAGAAAACTCTACTAAAATGGTGATAAATAATTCCTGCTCTTAAGTAGCTGCAAAGTAATCCAGGAAATACACAATTTTAGGCTTTAAAAAATGCAATACAGAAAGGCTATAATGGATTGTCAGTTCCACATATTCAGCATTGCTAGTAGGCATTTCCTTTTAGCTCTACCTCAAGATGACCAGAGCAGAATGCTCCATAGTGTATTCTTTTTATTGCAGAACTATGAATGATATTTCAAATGTAGTTTATTAATTTGAAGCAAAATATCTGTTTCTATGCTAAATAAGTTTCCTACCATTGAGGTAGCCCCAAGTTTTTAAAGTGCTACCCAAACTTTCACAGACATTACATGAACATTTTAAATGTAATTTTACACTCTGAAACAGGAGTGACAATAGCAAAATTTTATACACTGTCTATTTGCAGCCCTCTGTATAGGACATATACTCCAAAAAATTACAGAAACTGTATGAAATAGGTAATAATATTCTAGATTTGCAGAGGAAACCAGTTTGAAAACTTCAGTAGGGCAGAACTAATTAGTGTCAGAACTGGAATGTACATGAAGGCATCTTGGCTTCAAACCAGTGTCCTTAAGTACCATTCTCAAGAGCATAGTATGATGTCATCATTCTACATCCTAAACTCCAAGTAAAGGAAGTACTTCCAAAACTTACATAAATTATATCTGTTCAAATAATGTGACAAAAAGCACAATGTTAAAACTCATTTCATATTGCCATTCAACAATATATTAAGTACATAGTAGGTGTATCCAGCACATTTCAAGCAATGATAATTAAACAAATTATGAAAGTGTGTCCAATACATAATAAGTATTTTGATATTTTATAATCTGAAATTGTAACTAAATCTTAAAATAACAAGAAACTATTCATATACAAATGGGTTGGAAGAAGAGGAATTCTTGTTCCTCCACTTTTTTAACCTATGCCTTTGGATTTCCTCATCTGAAGACTTAATTATGATATTTATTCTGCCTTCTTCCTCTTGGTACAGACCATGTAAATGGACACTGCACAAGTCCAACCTCTCAGAGTTGCAGTTCTGGAAAACGTCTTTCCAGTGCTGATGTTTCAAAAGTAAATCGCTGGGGTCCTGGAAGACCACCATTTAGAAAGGCACAGTCAGCTGCTTGCATGGAGATTTCTTTACCAGTTACAACTGAAGGTAGGATAAACATGTCAATTTTTGTGAGTACAGTTCAAAACTTGGTTTATCATGGTAACAGGTGCTGGGAGGCAAGAAATGGAAATTACATTTAAAAGATGATAAAAACTATATGAAAAAATTGAGATCCTGTTTGACTGTGGCCATAACTCCAGTTCTATTCCCCATTCCACCTCCTTCCTTATCTCTAAAAAAGGAAAAATTATTCCACTATAGGTAGACTATACAAAGGAGATAATCTGTAACTGCAACCTTAATTTCCTCTACTGTCAAATGAATATAACCAAGTTAAAAAAGACACGTTTTTAAATTTTAAATTTTAGAATCTTAGCCGGGTCTGGTGGCACAGGCCTGTAATCCCAGCTGCAGGGGAGGCTGAGGCAGGAGGATTGCAATTTCAAGACCTGCCTGGGTTACAGAGGGAGCTCAAGGCAAGTCTGAAACATTTACCAAGACCCTGTCTCTAAGAATAAAGTACAAAAGGTCTGGGGATGTAATTCAGAGGCTGAGCACTTACCCAGTCAGCATGAGGTCCAGAATACAATCCCCAGTGCCACAAAATAAATGATAAATAAATAATAATAAATCTTATAATCTTTGTAAATTTTTAAAAGAAGTATTGCTTCCTTATTTATAAAATAAGTATGAGTCAAATGCAAGAGGAAGAGTCAAAACTGTTTAGAGAAGGAAAGAAAACAATCTTGTCATTTTGCTTTGACTCTTGGTAATAAAGATTTAAGGAGAAGAGTTGGGGAAATAATAGAAAGATTAGGCTACAGTAACTCTATATAATCCTTTAAATTCTCAAGCAACAATCTATATTGTTCTTCAAATAATTTTAATGAATTTACTACTCAGTTTTTATTTAATATTATGTAATACTAAATCTGGTCCAGTAGACATGGAAATGACTGCATATATTTCTAACAGGTGTTTGTGAGTATCAGCGTTGAATGGTAATAAACCATGAGTGACGTTTTAGAGACACAGATTAGGTAAAAATGCTGCAATAGGAGCATCGTATAAGGATCAAAAAGAAAGAACAATCATTGGAATGAATGCTACAGCTTTTTGAATTGTAGATATTTCTGCTTTTAGCTTGTACTAGAAAACAATTTAGCTATAATTCTGTCTTTAAATTTGTAAAGTATGTAGATGATAATCTAACTTCTGTCACCTCTAAATTTTATAAGCTATATCTTATAAATTTTGTAAGGATATAAGGGGAAATTAGGAATATTCTGTTCCTTCTAAATATATTTTGAAGAACTCATATTTCATCTGGTCCTATGAAAATTATCAAGACACACCCAGATCTGTCTAAAAGAAAAGGTGAGTGAAGAGAGTAGAAAGAGATAATAAGAGCCTGTACTTGAGCAATTAAAGCCAGTGTCACTGTATAGTTGTTTCACAGATGGGTGAGATTATGTTTATTGTAGTTGCATGTGTACAGGTGTGGATAAAGCAAGAGCACCCAAAACCATGCTGCTGCTGTTTCTTTCACAAGCAGACTGAAGCCTTCTCAGGAGAGCCAGTGTTACCGGGATGGCACAGTCTATTAGGTCCTTGGTAAAGTTAGACCTGGATGTGGATTGCAGGAGGCTGCTCAGAACAAGTTTACATAAATCACATTCACATTTTTGGACTTGAGTTAAAACTTAAGTTTCTATAGCTTCAATTGCATAGGGTATACAATGTGTTTGTCACAGAACATTTATGATCTAGATCGATCCTTTCATGTGGGTAACCATAGTACTGTTGATAAGTGTGATTTGCCAAGGAATCATCAATGTGGTTTCTATGACCAAAAAATGGAAAGGAAAAACAAAGTAGAATTGAAAAATGTTGTAATCTTGACTATTTAGATTTAAGGATTTTTTTTCTTTCTCTGTTTAGAATTTTACCTGATGTTTCTAGAAATGTAGGAAAAAAATTGTGTGATAGAACCCAGGAGGCTGAGATTTTGTTTTTATCTCTGTCTAATTTATTATAGCACATAGACTTCAGGCTGTTCTTCTTCAGAATGAGCTGGTACCTTGGATAAGATGCCCTTCATGCCAGTAAACAAAGAATAAAACTTTTCTTTCTCTCATAATTATGATTTTCAGGTATTAAATTTTACTTGTTTTATGGATTCATTAACACTTAATTTTGCTTTTTAAATGCTCATAGAAGCCAGAGAGAATTCCTATAACCGCTCCAGGAGCTCTAGTATCTCCAGTATTGACAAAGACTCCAAAGAAGCAGTTACAGCTTTATACTTCATGGAATCCTTTGCACGGAAGAATGATTCTACCGTTTCCCCTTGTCTATTTGTTGGAACTAGTCTGGGAATGGTATTACTCATCTCCCTGAACCTACCACCATCAGACGAACAAAGGTTTACAGAGCCAGTGATGGTATTGCCAAGTGGTAAGAATTTTTATTCGCTCATTCACTTTTTTGCTACTTATTCAACTTTAGATGTTAAGAATTTAAAAAGAGCATTGATTTCAGACAAAGGTGAACAGTCTAAGACTCATATAATATGGACCATTGAGAATTTCATAACTCAAATACTCTTCCAACACTTACTATATTGTCATATACCAGTTCTCAGAATGAGAGTACAGTTGAGTGTTTCTATGATGGAAACCAGAAAGGTAATTCTAAGCTCTGCCTTCAGTAATAAGCGCCTTTAAAGTGTCGAGATAAACATTTCTGCACAAGTTCAATTTCTTTTTAATAACTTGAAGCATTTTTCCAAAGTCCTATGCCAGGCCAGAAACTATGATGCTAGGTTCATGTTTGTTTTATGATTAATCATGGAAAGAAAAAAGTAACTGGAAGTCAAATTTATAGCAGTAAAAAGAGAAAAGGAAGTAGAATTTCATAAGAAAAATACGTGACAAAAAGTTCGACAGAGAACGGAAGCTCTACTTTTCCTCCTCCCAGCTCATTGGTTGGCTCTGCGATTGTTGTCCTCATTTCTTTACCATATTCATTCAATTTGTGAAAAGCCCATGGTATTCTTACCTATGATACAGTACCACACATCTCTTCAACTTATCTTCCATAATTTAAATGTTATATTAGTTTATTAGCAATTCCTCACTATCCTTTCTCCCATTCATGGATACCATCATCAGTTCATTCTTCACTCATAAGAGTTTAACTGTTTTAAATGCCTCATATTAGTAAAATCATGCAGCATTTGTCATTTTTTGACTGGCTTATTTCACTAAGTGTAATACCCACAAGGTTCATCAATGTCTTTGAATACTAGCAAGCTGCCTTCCTTTTAAATTGAACAATATTGCAATTGCATCTATCCATTTTATCCATTCATCTGCTGGAGACATAGGTTGTTTCCACATCATCACTATTGTAAATAGCACTGCATAGGAGTGTGCATGTCCTCACAGTCTGTGCTGCAACTCTAGAACTGTGATGTTTGGTTATATGTTAGTTCCATTTTTAATTCTTTTGGAAAATCTAAACACCTTTTCATGTCCGTTTACTGCTCTAATTGGCAGTGGATCCTGGGAGAATGAAGCCTAAAAATGAGGCAGCGTAAAGTCTCATGCAATAGCCAACTTTATTCACAGCATTAGACACTTTATACCCTGAGGGCTAAGAAAGATCACATGGGTAAAGTTCTCAGGAGTCCAAGCTGTATATTATCATAGGAATAAACTGCATGTGACAAAATCATGTGTCTCCATAGAGACATATAAACAAATAATAATAGTCAGTTGTAATGAATCATCTGAAGTACAGTCACTCCTGTCTACTATACTCAGGAATGGCAAAAACAAACAAACAAACAAAAAACCATCCCAAGAACAATTCCATGTTTTGAAGAGACTGAGGTCAGAAAAGCCTTGTCAAGACCCTTGTCTTGTTTTCCTGGAGTTTTCTCACAAGCACTCAGAATTCTCACATGCCTCCATTCTAGAACAATGTTCTGACACATGTCATTGCACTATTTTGCATGTGTGGCTATGCCAACAGTGTAATGTTTTAGCTTCTCCACATCATGCCCTCATTGTTATCTTCTGATGATTTTAGAGTGATTATCCTAATAGATGTGAGGTTGTACCTCATTGGGGTTGTGTTATCCTGGCATTCCAAAAGACCAGATAACCTAAAGGAAATGAATACCACACTGGAAATACACAATGCACCAAAGCTTGAGACAGTGGAAAGTCTGAACAGACCCTGAACTGGTAAGGAGGTTGAATCAGGAACTAAAAAGGATATTAAAAATAAATCCCCCTTTCCTTTTATAGGGAATGTTTTCACATAGATAATCTTGTTAGTCCTAGCAGCAAATTCTTACCAGTAATATGGAAGTTTGAAGTGCATTCAGCCATTGAATTGGAGAATTGGGAAGCACGCACACACTGTGTCTCTTCCATATTTTGTTTGTCACTTTTGTTTCTGTCAGAATCATTTGAAGGTATTGCTGTGATAAGGATCAAAGGACCCCACCCCAGATCTTCTAGTTCAGCAGGTCTAAGATAGTCTGAAGATTTGCACTTTAAGCAAGCCCCATGTGATGTAATCTATCAAATGGATTATTTCGTGTCCCAATTGTATATTAATATATTGCAGTTTCCTCATTAATAATTAATAAAATGAAGCCAAGAGAGGATAAATAATATGCTTCAAGCAAGCTAGAGAGAAGATTAGATTTGAAGGTTTTTCTTGTATGCCTACTCACCACACTTTGTAATTGATCACGTTGGATTTGTTCTTCGGTTCTAGTATTATTATGCTGAATTGCTGCTGCATTCGAAACTACCAGCTATGGCTAACCTCCCAGTTCTGAGTCAGTAAACTGACCTGCTAAATCCTGTCTTAAAAGTCCACAGAAATTTAGGAATCTGCACTAAGGAAATTAGTTAGACATTCAAAGATTAGGCAACCTAACATAAGATTATGTTAATTAGACTGCATGGAATCAGAGGTCTTAACATAGAACCTGAAACTTTGAAACCACTTTAAAAAAAACATAGTGGAAACACTTCAAGATTTAATTACAAGAGATGATTCTCCAAGTAGGACCCAAATGATCAATAATAATGGAGAAAACTGACAAATTGAATTACATCAAATTCAAAGAGTTCTTCACAGCCAACAGAGTGGAAGAGACAGAATAAAGAATGGGAGAAATTTTTTTGCTAGTTGTTCAACAAGGAATTAATAACCAAAATACATAAATAACTAAAAAGAGAATACCAAAAGTAAATAATCCAGTCAATAAATGGACAAACAAATGGAACACTTTCCTCTTTCGATATTGTCATTTGCATATGTTAATTACATAAAGCAACATATAGTTGCATATATATAGCTATCTGCCATGGCATTCAACCATGGGAAATATAGGTGAATAGCCCTTTTTCTGAATTAAGATACATAAACTTGCCTAAGAGTTGAAGGTAGTTATTTTAAGAAGACAAAACTTTTAACTTATTTTATTAGAGACCAAAAGTGATAGTTTTGAGTTTCAGAAAACCTGACTCTATCCCTAGTTATTTTTTAAAACAACTTGTTTGTCGTACCATTAAAATTGACGTCACACCAGGTATGGTGGTACACAACTTTAACCCCAGTATTCAGAGGCAGATCTCTGAGTCTGAGGCCAGCCTGGTCTACAGAGCAAGTTCCAGGACAACCAGAGCTACATAGAGAAACCTTGTCTTGAAAAACAAAATCAATAAAATTAGCTAAGATCAAAGTATAAAATTGTCAGCATGGAGTAACTCTAAATGTTGAGATCACATAATATTTGTTAGGGGTTTAATTTCAGAAAAATCAAAGGGTATTTTCTTGCAAATGAGCATCAAAGAGGAAACTGGAATCAGGTAGTGTGTGTTTTTGTTGTTGTTTAATAATTGAACTCACATGAAAAAAAAATGAAAGTTATACACATACTAAAAGTTTGTCTTTTAAACTTTTATGGGTTTTAATGGAACTATATAGGATAATGAAAAAAATCCTGTGTCTGTGTTTTCAGAGGTGACCACTCTGCACTGAGAAACCAATAAGGGGGCTCATGCCAGGCAAGTCATTAGCTGCCTGTGGGAAAGATGAAAGGGTTCACTGGAAGTGCTGGAGGAGGGAAAGGGAGAGAAAGTGATATAATTGTATTTCAATTCAAAATATATTTTTAAAAATTAAAAACATTAAACAAAAGGGAATAAAAGACACTTTGAATTTATAAAAAAGAAAATTCTTGGGATATGAATAAGGAAACCTGAATTCTAATCAGGTTTAATATTAACTGTGACTTAGGCTGTAGTCCATGGTATATGGTCTGTCCCTAATGTTACCACCCTTCTAGATCTGTTTCTCAGTAATACAGTGAACAAGTTTGGCAAACTGATATCTTAGCTTCCTTTTAGACCTAAAATTTTATTAATCCAAGTTATTACAGCAGATTAACTCACAAACATACTGATTTTCGTATATGGTTACAATATTATAATATAAATTATGACATGAAGCATTTATTGCCCATCAATGAATAATAAATAGTTGCTTTAGAAAGGGCCTCACATGTGAGTGACGTGGATTGTCTTTGTAGGTGCATTCCTCTCATTGAAAGGAGCTGTGCTAACATTTTCCTGCATGGACAGAACTGGCAGTTTAATGCAGCCTCCATATGAAGTATGGAGGGACCCAAACTACACAGATGAAAATGAAAAAACATGGAAAAGGAAATTGGTTATGAACTACTCCACTTCATCCCAAGAAACAGGCGACCATCAGTATACAATAATCTGCTCAGAAAAACAAGCCAAAGTCTTCTCACTGCCATCTCAGACCTGCCTTTATGTTCACAACATCACAGAGACCTCTTTCATACTGCAAGCAGAGGTGGTGGTCATGTGTAGCAGTGCCTGCTTGGCCTGCTTTTGTGCAAATGGGCATATCATGATAATGAGGTACTTGACATATTTACTGTTAACTGTAATTGTAACATAGCAAGGTATAATGATGAAAAGTATATTCGTACTGTTGAAGAGAATCACCATGGTATGATGTTTCAATATCTTTGTGAATGTTCTGTTGTTCAACAACATAAAAAGAGGTTTGTGGCTTGGGTACGGAGAGGGCTGATTCTGGTTTTGGTTTTGTATCCTAAAAAAATACCATATATATATATATATATATATGTGTGTGTGTGTGTGTGTGTGTGTGTGTGTTGACATACATATAAATATATATTATACAACTGACAACAAAGAATCCAAGGAAAGAATGATTTCCCAATAATGCATACATTAATTTAACAAGCAATTACTGGGAATACATTTGGCACTAGATTCAGAAGCTATATATAAATAAAAGTACCTGTTGCTTTCACTATCACATAAGAAATTTACACACACAGAATTTCACTTGATTCTCATAGCTTTGTAAGGACACTTACAAGTGTTATTTTCCTCTTTTGTTTTACACATTAGAAATTAAAGGAAAGTAGCTTGTCTGAAGGCATAAAGCATAGGAAACAGTGAAGTTAGCACTCAATGGGACACTAAAAGCCATAAGATACACACTTAGAAAGTTCATTCTACCCAACGAAATCACATAAAACTTGTGAAACATATAATATTACCTAATGAGTTTATGGATTCAGCAATGCTATGGTAGTAGTCAGTGGATGAATAAGCTACAAGAAAATGAAATCTGTTCAATATATTATAGAAGTGACTGTCATTCTTGTTAGTGTATCACCTTGTTCTAAAATCATTTAAACAATAAAATATACTAATTATGAAGAAGAGATGAAATTGGTAACATATGATAATACACAAATAATTAGAAAACATAAAAAATAAAAATGCCAGTAGAGGAAATGTAAATTGAATTTTCTCCAAAGTTTAAAAGCATTGAAATTGTATAATAGAAAAAAAGTAACTTGGAGAAGTAGATTGGCATAAATGTTTGAGCACCTTGAGTGATGAGCTAAATATAAGAATTGTAAGAAATGGGATTTTAATGCAGGTAGTTAGTCTTCTCTGGATGAACACTAGTAAATACTCTTGGGGAGACAGAGATTGGATGGGCCCTTGAGCTGAAATGAAAGCTATCTACAAGGCAAGGGGGAGCAGGAGGAGTGAAACTTACTTCATGCAAAGCTGATTTGTTATACAAGGTAAAGAAGATCACTAAGCCTCGGGATTGGGGGGATTTGTACTACAGTAATGCTATTAGCAGGTAAGGAAGTGAGGGGAATTTGAAAAGATTGAGAATAAGGAGTTTGAGATGGATTAAAAATAAGTTTGACGGGGCTGCAGAGATGGCTCGGCGGTTAAGGGCACTGGCTGCTCTTCCAGAGGACCCAGGTTCAATTCCCAACACTCACATGGCAGTTCACAACTGTTTGTAACTCCAAGATCTGACAGCCTCACACAAACATACATGCATAAAATAAAAATAAATAAATTATTTAAAAAAAACAAGTTTGACATTTGAGGTGTTCCCAGCTTACTGGCAATTTAAGGTCGGGTTTCTTGGGAAACACAGGTTTGAGCATCATCTAGGAAAACTGATAACATAAGGAAAACTGATAATAGCAAAGTCATTGAAAGGTCCTTATAAAAAATGAAAAGTAGACTATGCCTAGGATAGGCACTTAGGATCAATCTCTGTATTTATGTGCTGGGAATAAAGAGGTGGTCAAGAGGTAGCTAACATAGCAGAAAAGTCAAAGAGTTGGAGTACCAGGAACAAAACTAGAAACCGGTCATGTTGGAGTATGCTTAGAATCCTGGCAGTGAAGGCAGGAGGTTTCAAAATTCACGATAATCCTCTGCTACACTGTAAATTGGAAGCCAGTCTGGGCTGTGTGAAACTCTTTAAGAAAGCAAGTGTTAGGAGCATGTAAAGGTAAAAGCTAACTCACAGGAGGACAATAGAGACAGTAGTGTAGATACAAGGTTGGCAAATGATGATAAAATCAGTCCCTGTCTGATTTTATAAAGCCTGAAAGCCAAGATTTAAATGACTGAAAAATTCAGATTATACAGTGGAAATTATATGAATTCAAATGTCTGAAAAGAAAGACATCTTGTAGCACAGCCATATCCACCATTCATATGTTGACAATGGCTGTTTTTACACTACAAAGCAGAACTGAACAATGTGAAGGAGCTGCTACAGGGTCAAAGCCTAAAACCTTTTCTGTCTGATCCCTTACCCCCCTCTAGGTTATTCTTTCAGAAAATGTTGTGGTAAATAGAAGAAAAGTAGAGAAGTCACTCAAGAGTGAGATCAGACTTCAATAGTATTTTGTTTCTTTATTTCTAACTGGGAAGATATGAAGAGATCTATAACTAGTGAGGGAGAAACTTTTGGGGAAAAGGCAATCATCATTGCTTGCTTATTCTCATATAGCTCTTATTTTTTTCCCAAACTACTTTCAGAGATTTCCAATGAAGATCTCTTCATCTGGGAACACATATTTATGGGTGTGTGTATGTGATGTTCTTCCCTTATCTAAGCTTGTTTGTTACTCAAAATTTATATTGTAATTATTATATCTTTCATATTTCAGATAATTTATATTGCTAAGTCTTTGAAATCCCGTGTACAATCTGCACTTTCAGCATACATCAATTCTGACTATCCAAGCATCATCTACCTGCTCAATAGTCATATGACTAGTTGGTGGCTAAAATACCAGGCAGCATGGTGCTGGAACAGCAATAAATTCTTATTCCAATAATATAGATTTCAGTCCCCATATTATATATAGTAAGAAATCTTAGCCTCTGAATGTAGTTCCAAAATACTTTTTAAAAGAAAAATGATACCTTTTTGGAATGCTATCTGTATTCCAGAATAAATTAAAGCCAGTATACACAAATAATTAAAATAATTCTCGAGTCTGAGGATTAAGCCAGAGAACTTCTCTCTGCCCTTGATGTTCAAGGGGTGATGAAAAAACTGTGGAGTTGTTTTCCAATAGTGGTTTATAAATTGACTCTTACTACTGTATCTAAAAGGACATTCCTCGGACTATCTTATCAAAATTAAAGTTATAGGATTAGGTTAGGAAAGAACTACAAGATGTGGTCTTTCTCATGTATAAACACTAATCTGTTACTCATTATATACTCATTCCCTTAAGCTTCGGTCATGTTTATTTATTAGGCATGTTCAATATAGATGCCCTAAGAAACAGGAAGATTTCATTTCCTGTGAAAAGGAAATAAGGAATGGAGAACAAAGCACTCTATGCCCAGGCACACTAGACTGCATGTATCTCTGTTGGTACATAAGATCAAAGACTAACGAGTTGTGTGTTCAGAGAAACCATAGGCCTCTACATTAATCCTCTAAGGACATTTGTAAAGCACTTATATGGGCTAAGATAGAACTGTGCTCATGTTTGTATGTGTACATATGATTATATATGAGTCTACTTGTTACTAATCTTTGAAGATACTCTGAAGAAAAAAACATAGAATAATGACTTAAACGTTTTTACTAAAGGAAATGTTTATAACAATGTAAATATAAAATGTAGATTTATTAATTTTTTTCCTATTCAGCTTACCTAGTCTTCGCCCAATGTTGGATGTAAATTATTTGCCACTGACAGACATGAGGATAGCACGGACATTTTGTTTTACTAATGAAGGACAGGCATTGTACCTTGTCTCTCCTACTGAAATTCAACGGTTAACATATAGCCAAGAAATGTGTGATAATATTCAGGTAGGTAAAGTTCCTTCATAAAAATGAATAAATGTCAGATTGGAAGAAAGGAAACATGAGGAGAGGAGGGAGGGGAAACTGTAGCCAGGATGTAATGTAAGTAAATAAATAAATACATTTCTTTTTTAAAAATAGGAAAGATATTGAAAATTAAAATATTAAATAAATAGATGTGATTGTTAAGTGAAGGAAAGAATGAGAGAGACATCTATAAGCTAAAGTACCATAGGGCTAGACAGTAAATGCATCTTTCCTAGAAGATGTTTTGAATATATATTCTTCAATGGAATCCTATCAACTTCTAGTATGGTTCTATGTATATACAGAAGTAATAAGAGGATCATGATCATTATAAATGATCCTTATGATCATTTATAGTAGTAGGTGAATGGGAATGTATTTATTTTATTATAGGAAGTCTTGTTTTAATCATAGTGGTATAGGTTTCTTATACATACGCATGGTTTTCATAATGACGGGTTTATGCAAGTGTATCATATATTTGATCATATTCACTCTTACATACATTTCCCTTTCTCTCCGCTCACCTTTCCTATTCTATTTCACCGGGGAGTCTAGGTTTTACCTACATGGGGTGTGTGTGTGTGTGTGTGTGTGTGTGTGTGTGTGTGTGTGTGTGTGTGTGTGTGTGTGAAAGAGAGAGATTTTATGTATTTATATAAAATCTAAGACCCACAAATGAAAGAGAACATGCAATATTTGTTCTGAATCTGATTCCTTTTCTTTACATATTAATCACCAGTTGCATCCATTTTCCTAAAAGCAAAATTTCATTCTTTTTTAACTTTTTAAAGTTTATTTATTGTTTTTCATGTGTGGGAGTATTTTACCTACATGTACATCTGTGCATCATGTGTGTGTCTGGTGCCTGTGGAGGCCAGAAAGCAGTATCAGGTAATATGAATCAATTGATATACACAGCTCTGAGGTGCTAGGAATCAAACCCAGGTCCTCTGAAAGGGCAGCCAGCATTCTTAACTGCTGATCCATTTCCCCAGCCCCCATTGTCTCATTCTTTTTGATTGAATAAAATTCAACTGTGTAAACATACAGCATTTTCTTTATCTGTTCTTCTGTTACTGGACACCTGCATTTATTCTATAAATTGCCTGTTGCAAATAGAACTACAAAAAATAATAAAGATGTGCTAGTATCACTGTGGCATGTTAACTTAAAGTCCTTTGGGTCTATACTCAAGAAAGTATAGATGGATGATAGTATAGCTAGTCATATATTCTATTTTTTGTTTTGTTCAAGAATCTCCATGAACATATTGACTTCCATAGTAGACAGATTAATTTATATTCTTTTTTTTAGAAAAAAATCTTAGTAGATATTTAATATGTATATGTAATATGTAATTTATAATTAGAAAACCCTTTTATGATCTTAAAATATTTTTTATTTTATTTTAATTTTAAATAGCTTGTTTTACATGTCAATCCCAGTTCCCTCTCCCTCCCCTCCTCCCGCACCCCCCCACCTTCCTGCCCAGCCTCCCACCCTACTGCCATTTCCTTCCACATAGGGAATATCTAGAGTCTGTCATTTCACTCACGGCAGGGTCTAGGCAATCCCCTAAGAGTCCAGGCTGAAAGAGCATCCCTCTTTGTGTTATGGACACACGATATCTGTTTGTATGCCAGGGATAAACACTGATCCACTGCCCAGGGCCCCATAGGTTGCCCAGGCCTCCTCACGGACACGCACATTCAGGGGATCTGGATCAGTCCCATGCTGGCCTCCCAGCTGTTGGTCTGGGGTCCAAGAGCTCTCCCCTGTTCAGATCAGCTGTCTCTGCTGGTTTCTCCAGCCCATTCTTTGCCAATTTGTTCATCGCTCCTCTCTCTCGGTCACTGGGTTCCATGGGTTCAGTTCAGTGTTTAACTGTGGGTGTTTGCCTCTGGTTCCAGCCTCTGCTTCCATCAGTCACTGGATGAAGGCTCCAGGATGGTTATGGACATCAAGTTCATTATCAGGAATGGGCATTTGAGGTGGTCTCTCCACTATTGCTTAGCTTGCCAATTAGTGTCATCCCTTTAGATCACTAGAGGTCTCACTGGTGCCTGATCTGTCTTCTAACCTATAATTCCCTCTTCCCCCTATTCTACCCCCTACACAAGCTTCCTGTTCCCCCATGACCTACTCTCCTCCTCTTCTTGTATACACCAGTATACATGTTCCCCTTTCACGTCATCCTTGCCAGAACTGGTTATTTATTTTCCTAATAGTTGCCATTCTGACTAGGGGAGCATAACATCTTGATATAGCTTTAATTTGCATTCCCTAATGGCTAAGCATATTGAATACTTTTCCATACGATTACTGGGCATTTGTCTCCATCATTTTATTGCTGTGTTTATTTCATTAGCCCATTTGTCAACTGAATTGCTTGGCTTTCTGGCATTTTCGTTTGTTTGGATCTTAGTTATCTATATATTCTACATGTTAATCTTTTGTCTGTGATGACTGACAGGTCAGCATGGGACTGATCTAGACCCCTGAATGTAGGTGTCAGTGAGATCTCAGCAATATATTGGGCCTCGGGTAGTAGATCAGTATATGAATGAAATATGAATGGAGTTTGGGAGCCCATTCCACATGGAGGGATGCTCTCTCAGCCTGGACAAATGGGGGAGGGCCTAGGCCCTGCCCTGGATGATATGACAGACTTTGGAGATACCCCATGGAGGGCCTCACCCTCCCTGGGGAGTGGAGGGGGTGGGGTGGGGGTTGGAAAAGTTGGGAAGGAACAGGGGAGAGGGAAGGAGCAGGGATTGACATGTGAAGCTAGCTTGTTTCTAATTTAAATAAATAAAAAAGAAAATTAAATTGTGGTACAAATGAAGAAAATTAATGTAATATAAAAAAATCTTTTGTCTGCTATAAATTAGCAGATGTTTCCCATTCTGTAGTCTACCTACTCATTTGTTTTCTTGTTGTTAAGCACACCAATTTAATAAATCTCATTTGCAAATTCTTGATTTTACCTCCTTAATTATTTGCATTCTTTTCAGAAAGTACTATAATTTGAAACGTTTTCTCACAACAATTTCAAAGTTGCAGGTTTCACCTTAAAATCTGATCAATTTTAATTTATTTTAGTCAGGGTGAAAGATAATGGATCTAGTTCCATTTTTCTATAAGAGGCAATCCAATGTTCCCAGCACCATTTGTTAAAAAAATTGTCTCTGCTCCAAAATGCTTTGTCCTCTTTGTAAAAAGTCCTATCAGTATAGTTGAATGGATATATTTCTGGCCCTCTGTTCTGTTCTGGATGTCTGTTCATATGCTAGTGGAATTCTGACTGCATTCCTAGGACTCTAAAGTAAAACTGAAATCAGGGACAGTGATACCTCCAGCATGGTTCCTTTTGCTCAGAATTGTTTTGATTGTTTGGGGTCGTTTGTGCTTCCTATGGATTGTGTATTTTTCCCTTATTCTATAGAGTGTCGTTGGTGAAGAATGCAGTAAATCTATAGGCTGCTGTTGTGTATATAACTATTTTCACAATGTTATGCTAATCCATGAGCATGGAAAGTCTCTGTCATCTAGTGTCTTCTTCAATTTCTCTCTTCAGTGGTTTGAATGTTTCATCATAGAGGTCTTTCACATCCTTAGGTTAAAAACACCTTGGAATAAATCTACTATGTAAAATGGTTGTTTTTTATTTTTTCTTAGCATTTTTATTATTGACATTTAGGAAAGCTATTAATTTTGTGTCTTTATTTTGTATTTTGATACTTGGCTGTAAAGGTTTATTATTTCTAAAAGTTTTCTGGTAAAGCATTTAGATTTAGGTCTCCTGTGGATAGGATCATAGTATTGATAATGGGAATTATTTTTCTTCCTTTCCTAGTCAATCCAACTTGGGCCTTTTTTTTCCTATTCTCTTGTGGTTCTTATCAATACTCTAAGAACTATATTGAGAAAGAGTAAAATATTCAGAATCTCTTTCCTGATTTTAATGAAAATGCTTTGAGTTTTTCCTCTATTTAGCTTTATGTCTATAGGTTAGTAGAATAAATGGAGTTTAAATATGATTAAATCTATAGAAAATTATAATTACTATGTCAAGAGGAGGGATTGGGGAAAGAGAAAATGAAATGGGATGAGGGAAATTTATATGAGTTTCAAATAAGAAAGATAGTATGGAGAACTAAATGGAATAAGTGGAAAAGTAGAATTATACAATGTAAGTAATATTCATTAAGAAATATGTCAGAAGAAAGATGTTTAACAATGAGACAATGTAAAATAAAAACAACATTACAGTGTCAGTCAATCAGTCTTCTTTACTGGGATGGATGTTCTTTTCCTCCTCTCCTTGAGCTGTCTTAAGGATCTCCTCTGCTGATGGGAGAGTAGACGCCTGCCTGTCTATCTCAAATCTGTTAAAGCAGATTTGTCAACATGTAGTGGCTCAGTGGAGTTTAAGCAGGTTCCCTGCTGGGTTGAATATCTGCCCAGGTAACTGCAGGAGTCAGTCCTCCTTTAGGAGGATTCTGCAGTAATGTAGTCTTAGTGAGATGTGTTCAGTGAAATCCCAGACAAAGAGAGTTCAAAACATTAGTTGTTAAGAATTTTCAATTAAATCAGAAGACAAAATAAGTTCCTGGACGAGTTCAAACAAAATAAAAATAAATGGCACCCCTAGACTTTGACATGGGATACCCCCTCAGAGTAATTTCCAGCTGGCCAACTTCTGTCTTCTTACTGTGCTGGGTGCTCATATTCATTCTATGTGGGTTTCAATGTCAGAGACTCTGATGTGGCCACACCCATGTTTGTATTTACAGTCCTGTCTGTGTATTCTCATCTTATTAGGGAAGTGTTGCTTTTCTGCCAATGTTCACAGTCTTAGCCTAAGTATCTCCAATGAATTTCAGTTCATGTCAGGTGATCTGTGATGCCCACGTGATTCTGTAATTCTCCAGTTTTGTCTTAATCAGTAGTTAGTGTTTGGATATGTGGTTGTGCTGGATTTTCTACTGTTCTCAACAGAATGGTTGAGTACACAATCTGCTCCCTCCTGTCCCCAGAGTAATGACATGGGTGTGGCATTAGATGATTTCTCATGTCTGTTCCATGCAGCTTATGACTGGGTTGTCTAAAGTTTTGCCTTTTTCTGACCCTCCCCCTTTTAAAATTTTCCCTTTTCTCTTTTATTTAAGGACTCTGACGAGCTAAGGTCAGGATTATGTACCAAACAAAAATCACACAGAAAAGATATGAAAAGGTTGTCTTTGTGATGTACTGTAACATATCACAGTGTTACTTCTTCATCTATTAATTTCATCTTAGTTGCTCTAATACTCTTTTCTTAATTGGTACAGGACATGTTAGGCGATTTGTTTACTCCCATAGAAACACCAGAAGCTCAAAATAGAGGCTTTCTCAAGGGACTGTTTGGTGGAAGTGGACAGACATTTGACAGAGAAGAGCTCTGTGAGTAAATTTCTTATAAAAATCCATCACAAAATAGAAGACCTGTTTTTGGGGGTTTTTTTTGGGTGTGTGTGTGGTGTCTAATGTACTCTCAAATTCTAGACCAAGGTACTTTTGTTTCTATATTAAAGTTTAAATATTATTTTTCTTGTATTTTGAAAATTATTATACTTATTAAACATGAATAAAAGTATTCACTATACTAGGAAATAATTAACTACAAATTATATATGTTAATTTCTACCAGTGGGGCTCTGATAAACAGTAATCAAAAAGGAATAGGAAATACCGGAGGACAGATAAAAAATAAAATTTTCAGACAGTGTCCCCGCCATTTGGTCTTGCAAATCAAAACTCCTTTCTCTTGAATCTGGAATGGTGCAAAAAGACATAGGTACCACCCTATAGTTTAATATTATTTTAGCCAATAAAGATAATAATGTATTACATATGGCAATATAGAACTTCACAAATAGCATGCTAAATTAGACAGGCCAGATCAAAAAGGAGCCACGTATTATATGATTCCACTCATTTAAATTGTCCAGAATAGGCAAATTCATGGGTACTAAAAGTTAATCAGTGGGTACCTGAAATTGGGGTAAGGAGATAATAGGGAGTGATTGTGAATGAGTTTGGGGTTTCTTTTGGCATAATGAAAATATTATAAAATTAGGTAGTAGTTGAGTTACACAACTTTATGAGACACTAAAAACCCATAACTTAATTACATGCTTTACTAAGGTTGCTTCAATGGTATGTCAATTAGATATCAATCAGGCTCTTATCTTCTAAAGCCTAGGTTCTTTTCCAATGTGACATTCCCATATTCACTAAATTTCTGACTTATGCCAAGTAAGAGACCCCATCTCAGAAAACAAGATGCAACTAGAAAGACAGCTCAGCTAGGGGAGGCACTTGTCTCCAAACCTCATAATTGGAGTTGGTGGCATGAACTAATTAAGCCCATTTTCATAACACACACACACACACACACACACACACACACGTGTGTGTGTGCACCATAATCATTCACACACACACACACACACACACACACACACCATAATCATTCAATCAATTTTTTAGGGAAAAAATGAAGAGGAACAGCACCTGAGATTAACCTCTGACCTCCACATACAAGATCATACATGTACATATACATAGGCACTTGAATACATACATACATACATTGAAAGTGCAGTCTCATATACATAGGCATTTTTCTTAAGTGCTCATATCTTTAACACATATAAATATATGTGACAAGACACCCTTTGAATGAAAATTATGACAGTAGTAGAAATTTATAAAAGGGGTTTTTTGTTTTGTTTTTGCATTGGAGGCCATCTTGACTATGTATTACTGATTTTTAATATTTCTGTGGCTTAAATTCTCAGTTGGGGAAGCTACAGCAGGAAAAGCATCCCGCAGCCTTGCACAGCACATTCCTGGACCAGGTAGTATAGAAGGAATGAAAGGCGCTGCTGGAGGGGTGATGGGAGAGCTGACCCGAGCCCGAATTGCACTTGATGAGAGAGGGCAGCGGCTGGGTGAGCTGGAAGAGAAGACTGCAGGCATGATGACCAGTGCAGAAGCATTTTCCAAACATGCACATGAGGTAAACTGCCCAAGTAAATACAGGTGTCTTCATAATGTGGCCTCCAGAAACATTCAAATCCTGTATAAGGAAGCCTAGGCAGAAGCACCATGTAACCTGAATCCCTGAAGTACTATAGTCCCTCTACTCAGAGAGATTAAAAAATAATCTGCATTAGTTGAGACTCTTTTAATTTGGGGTATAACGTATTGATTCATTGTGGTACAGCAGAGGTCTGTATATTGTATCACCTGCTTGAAAGGTACATAGGGAGATGTTATGAATCTCCCAAAAAGGGTCAGTAGAGGCTAGAATTCACATCTTTCATTTTGTCTGTCATTAAACATCATTTCTCGTCAGTCAAGTCTGCACAGCTTAAGTCTTTGTTTTTAACCCTATCTCACATGCACTTTGTCCCATGAAGAGGCCATACAGTTTTATTACGTTTTGAGAATTAACTAAATTTCCATGATTAGCTTACTATTGATTTGCTGAATAGCACTTTTAAGATATTTGTAGCATCTTTTGATTGCTATTTTTCTCTTTCCAGTTAATGCTGAAATACAAGGATAAGAAATGGTACCAATTCTAACCGTCTAAAGAAGCTGTGACTACTTTGAGAAAGCATTATTCAGGGAAACCAAATTTATTCCCAGCATCACTATTCAACTGCTAGAGACCAGTTTCTTCTACAAAATGTTCCATTAGAGCCCATCTGAAGTTATCATAAAGGAGGCGTACCCAAGGCAAAGCCACTGTACACCATGCAAGCTGGAACCCCGGTTACAATCCCAAGATAATGGCTGAATTGGTCTTTTCCCCATGTGGAATGGATGTTATCTTGGCATATAATTTGCTAAGAATTTGTGTTTGGAAACTATTGGGGAGTCCTTTTGATTTGAAATTTCCTGTACAAACAAAAGCATTAATGCACTTAATGAAAAAAATCTTTGCATGATAAATTAACATCTTAAGAGGAAAAGAAACAAAAGCATGTTATAACAGAAGAAAATGGATTATGGTAAACTATTTTTATGAATTGGGCCACACCCAACAGTTTAAAAATCTGCATTAGAAGATAACAGTGCATTTCAAGTGTATCTGCCATACCCATCTGAAAAGGAATCAAAACAAACCCAGAATTTTCTTTACGTCTGAAACTTTCCTTAGTATATTAGGACATTACCAAATTCTTCCAAGCAAGATTCTGATTAACATTTTCTCTCTGCATAGTATTTCACATCATTTACAGCTCCCATTCATAATCAAGTATTGCCAGGATAGTGATGTATTCCCAACACTTTCATTTCTATTTCTGTCACCTTCAGGGTGAACCCCGTATTTTAGTACTCAGCCGAACAGGGAATCACCTCCCAGTGTTCTTTCAGCCTGTTGTATAGTCTACAGAGCAGTTGGCGATAAGTTTGCAGACACTAGATGATAGGAATAATGCAATTAGTTTTGAGAACTGATTTCCCAAAGAGTGGAGTTTCACATACCCCCCATTTCAGTTTCCAAAGCGATATATTCTTTTTTTTTTTTTTTTTTTTTTTTGGTTTTTATGAGACAGGGTTTCTCTGTATTGTTTCGGAGGCTATAGGTCCAGCCCGGCCTTGAACTCACAGAGATCCGTCTGCCTCTGCCTCCCGAGTGCTGGGATTAAAGGCATGCGCCACCACCGCCCGGCTCAAAGCGATATATTCTTAAAGCATCATTTGTATCCTTATCTGTCAGTTACACGGTATATTACTACCCAAACTCAGTAGGGTCTACAACCCCAAGGTGCTTTATGCATCCTAACAGTCACAGACCAGACTGATCATTCTTGTCGATGTGATTCAGGAAAACTTCAGTTAACATTCTGGGAAAGAGTTACTGCATTCTGACTTATAAGGGCTTTCATTAGAAAATACTTTGGGGTTCAACACTTACTAATGGGAACCTTTATGAAATCTAGTGGTGGTTTATCTATGTTGGCCACAGTCATCATAAATAACACAAATCCATAGATAATTTAACGATACAAACTCGATAATTTTGTCACTAGATTGACTAATATAAGTCACAGGAATGTGGCAGTAAATACCAAACACCTTCTTAAAAACTCTGAGGTAAAGACCAGCTCTAGCATGATAAAATTATCTGTCATAGCCCAGAGGAGAAGCACTATAATGAAGACTAGATGACGACTCCTACTCACTCTATTGAACATGCATGGAAGTCAGAATCATAGGAATCACCTGACAGTGTGTTGTTCCTATTTTTAAAATCTTCAATTATGTGATTGATTTTTTTTTACTGAATTTTGATGATTTGAGATCTTGTTGGGTTTACATTTGTGTTTAAAACATCACCATTTCCTTGAATCCAGCTTCATAGACAAAATTAGCATTTTTATTGGTTTCATATTTTTTGTTTGAAATGGTGCTTCCTTTAAATTTTTCTCAGTAAATTTGAAACGAGAGCAGAAGTGATTAAAAGAGTCAGAAAATACACACTAGAGTAGCGTTTCTCAGAATCCTAGAATTCTGGTTTCTTAAAAACATCTCTCTGTAAATCCATCTTCTGCTACAATGTTAGCATAAGAGAACTTGGCTTGGAAATACAGATAATCTACACATTTATACAGTAAAAATATTAGTGGACTTTAAGGCCAGGACCTGGGAAACATTGGCAGCCAAATTGGAACACACAATTTATACTGTCTGCTTTAAGGACCCAAGGCTCTAATTTTTCTGGATACTTCAACATTTCTACATTTTAAAATGACCTAAAAGAATAAGATACTTCTTTTGTTTTGAAATAGCAAAATCCATCCCAAAGTAGCATTGAATTCAATGACTATCTCTGAAACTCCCAGGAATATTTACTTGTTTTAGAGATATAGCTCAGGGTAGAGTGCTTGCCCACCATGTTCAAAACTCTGGGTTCAGTCCTCAATAACACACACACACAAATAAATTCACTTGTTCTACAGCAAGAGCTCTCAACAGCAGCATCATTAGCACAAATATTTTTCTAGAGTGTTGTGGGATGTTAATAGTACCCTTGGCTTCTGCCTTCTAAATGCTAGTAGGAGCTTGCTAGTAATGACAGTAAAAACAAAAAAAATTACAAAATTGCTTCCAGCTGAGAGCTACTATTTTACATCATTTAAAAAGAAAGACTGTGAAATACATAATGTATGTTTTTAAGAAAACAGCATACAATAAGAGCACATTGTCTTAGCAAGAGAAGTCCTATCCAAAATTATATGTGTGATTCATACACAATAGAGCTCAATTTTGAAGAATCGGTGAGCTAACAATTGCAGACTATTTCAAAGCACACAGAATATATCAAAAGGAGACATCCATATTTTACAATAGACATGCTTAAAATTCTGGCTTCAGCAAATATATCAAAAATGTATAAATAGACATTATTTGGAATAGGTGCTTCTGCAATGCTTGAAAAGAACAAGTTCTCATAAATGTTTAAAGCTTAAATGTGCTTACAACATTGTTTGCCAAGCCCTTTCTTAAGAGTAACTTATCCCACAAATCAATGGTTGGCAGAATCCAAATTAATGAGGTTTTGCAGTATCAAAATTATTTTTATAATTCAAAGAGATAGCAATAACAATAACCATGGATGTGATTTTCCTCTTTGAGCATTTCTATTCTGTTACATTGACCTTACACACACACACACACACACACACACACACACACACACACACACACACTCACTCACTCACTCACCACCACGGTTTTGTCATCATTGCTATCTTAGGGAAATGAGTAGTGTTATACATGTAACATTTTGCATTTTCTCATCTCTCTTCTGTCTTGAACCATCAGAGAAACCACCCCCAGAAACTTGAATAGTGCTGCAGGTCTCAGTTACTGTCAAATTACATTGTATCTACCAGGTGGCGTCAGAAGATAAGGCTTGAAATCACCATCTGCACAAAGTGACTTTACCTCCGGATTCTTTCCTCAACAGAAAAGCCCTTAGTGTTCGAACAGAAAACAGCCTTTTGATCCTGTTCATCAACCATATAAAGAAGACGTGTGTATTTCCCTGGTTCTAAGAGTAATGTAAGCAATGGTCTCACCACGAAACCATCCATTTGTCCTGGGGTTTGGGTGGAGGGTGACTGACTTGTCACTTACTTCAATCCCCTGGAAATGCTGTGCTTGGACTTTGCTTCTACACTTCACCATGGGGGCCATTGTGTGTTGTGTGACTTCAGCTTCAGTGACAAAACAGATGTTTTCCAGCAATTTTGTCATAGGTACATTTCTCAAATCTTTTGGAATTGATTCTCAATAAAATCTAGGTCTCTGACCTTCCAAAATTGAAAGAGACCTTAAATGATAAGGTCCCTTTTATGTGACCCACCAATACCATTTTAAAGGTATCATTTTCCCATTGTCTGTGCCAGTTTGAAAAAAATAAAAAGTAAGATGAGGCCCAAGATTGGTTGAAGACTAAGCTGTTCTTTAAGATACTTAGCTGTCAGGCATTTGGACAGAGTAATGAAATGAAGCTAACCTGAAAAGGAAAACTATTAGGATATTCTTTGTATCACAAACTTCCTTGGGGGAGAGTGTAAGCCCTGTTCCCTGACCACTCTGGTTCACTGAGAGCAGTGATGAAAGCCAGCATGTCAGTTCAAGTCTTGCTCTCTGTGTTAGGAAAAACACCAGCTTCACAGCTTCTTCACCTGGCTCTCAGCCTCATCTTAGGTGGTAGCATTGTGTGTGCACACTGCTCAGAGTGCCTGAGATAACTGTCACCAACTTAGGTTGAGCATTGGCTCTAATATGCAAGATTTTAGGAAGCATGGCTGCTAAAAAGTTTAGTATTCTTATCTACAGACCACATAGCCCTGGATGTAAGAAAGAGGGGAGGTCACATCTATACACAGGGGAGAAGGTGCAGTGTGGTGAAAGTGTGGGTGTAGGGAGGGATATGAGAGTCTGAGAGAAGCGAGGTTTTGATGCAGCAAGAGCACAGGGGAATGCCTTTGTTTGCATCTTTTTTTTTTTTTTTGGTTTATATCTTTCTTAAGTACAATCTTGGCAGTGCACAACAATCATTTGAGACTTCCTAATGGTTTCAAGATGTCTTTGACTGGGAACAGAACATCAGTATTTTTGAAAGCCCTAAAAGTGGGTCTATGTCCAGCCAGAGTTGCTAAGCACTGCTTTATAAACTAAGAAAGATTCTTGTCTTCCTGGGCTGATATTCTAGTCCCTTCTAAGGGATCAGGAAAGGAAGACTGTAAGAGACTTGTCTTGATGGGCATTTACTCTGTGCCTCTCACAGAACAAAAGACAGTACACATTTCTAATCAGGCAACTCCACGAATTCTTTGAAGCTATATAATATCATTCTGTGTGACTTGATCTTTAGTTACCTTAAAAAACGCTGTAAGTTTTGACTATCCTTTATATAAGTTACCAGAAATATCACCATAGTTCAGCAGTATATTAAGCTAAGTGGTAAAATTACTTCTCAATATCTGGACAATGGAAAGACATGATGAGTGGCCCCTGCTCTGCTATGGGTATCCTACTGAATCTGATTTCAACAAACAGAATAGTTTGATTGTTGTCTCGACAGCTGCCAGGGTCACTTGAATTTATTCTCTGATTTATTGAGTATGTGGGGAAAGGGAAAAAGCATCATCTGAACACCAAGGTCCTGAAAAAGGGCTTACATGCCCAGAAAGGAAGAGTCTAGCCAATGGAAGGCAATATTCAGACTTCTGTCCCCTCGTGCCACTTCCTCTCCTGTCTTGGCCCGCCCTTCTCAACTGCAAAGCCAGAAGATATACTAGGTGGTGGTTTGGGGTAGTTGTACACAGGATTAAAATCTCTAATAGCTTATAATTTTAGTACTTAATTATGTGATGTTTTATTCTAGGAAGTAAGAGACAGACAACACCATTGATGTATCTTTCTTTCATCTTCAGAATTTTTGCATCTTTTCAAAAAATGACAGATTACTATTTTTCTGTTGCATTCAGCAATTGTGACTATACCTAAAATTCTTGTAGTCTGTAGAGATATCAATAAAATTGTATATGTTTGTACATAGATGCTCTCTTATGTCATGATGTCATGTACTATTGATTTTTGCCAAGATTAAAATATAGAGGTAAAGCCCTCATTTGCAAACTGTGAACTATGTATGGTTTTACCAAGAATGAATGTTTTTAAAAGACATGGAAGGGATGGGAGAACATATTTATTTGAGCAAAAAAGGAAACAAAATCAAAGGTCCCTAAAATGAATAGATTCTATTACAATTAATTGATTGAAAGGGTTAGAAATATCCATTCAAAATGTCTAACAAATTAAGGACATGTGCAACTTTTAGTGAAAATTTTAAAGACAACTTGCAAGGCTACTGATTGAATTGTACTTGTGGTGAGATGAAAGTAAAAGAAAATTTATTAACAGTACCCATAAGACACTGCTGTGGCTCTAAGGTCTAGGAGCTCACAGGCCTTGACTAGGTCCTTACGTCTTTTACAGCTCAAGCAGAAAAATGAATTTGTTGTGAGTTTATTCCACCATCTAGTGGTCATGGTCAGCATTTCTCAACCCCAAATGAAATAGCATGAATCGTTTACCTTTCAAAAATATAGTGAATTCAATTTCCCTTCTGGCACTTTCTTTAGATTTGTACTGGAGACCTGAGCCAGCTAACCTTGTGCTTCCAAGTTCTAATTATCAGGTTTTCTCCTGTAGTTGAATCTATATAAAATTGAAAAAATAACAACTCGTCCTAGGCTGAACAATAATTTTGAGTAAAAGAACAAATATGTAAATCCTTTAAAATATAAATGCTAATCTCTATTTCAGATTTCTCTCCAGAAGATCAGTTTATCTCATCTTTAATTACAATAATGCAAGCCCACAAACCTGCATTCAACTCTCTTTGGCTTCCTCCCATCTCTTATTCCTCCAGCCACTGTTCCCACCTCCCTCCCTCCATCCCTCCCCCACCTGTTTTCTTCCTCAAGTCTCTCCTGCCATTCGCTCTAGATAAATGGCAACCACACCCCTGGAGCAGGTTAACAGCAGAGCCTCACTTACAGGCTGACCTCGTTGGATCAGGGTGAAAGGAGAAGTCCACAGAAAATGGAGCTGGGTGAGCTGGTGGCGGGTGAGACTTAGGTGGCCAGTGACCATGGGATTTGAGGTCTTCTTTGGACCAGACAGAAGGCAATCCATTTGGCTCAGGAGAGTGGCTCAATTTAAGAAATTGAGCATTTAAATAAATTCACTGAGAATATGGGAGCCAAGTTTCTCACTTATGGAAATTGTAGAAGGATATACAGGTAAAAGAGAAAACTAGAAAAGCTATAAATTATGGTGCTTCTTCATACTGGTAACTGAATTTAATCATTTTTATATTTCATAATAGGTAAAGGAGAAGATTTTTAAATGTTTCACCACATAGAATAATAGTTGAGGGGGTGAACATGATAAATAGCCTGGATTCCATTATTCCATGATGCATATATATATATATATATATACACAAAACTATCAAATTATTCCATATCAATATATAATTATTATTTCTCAATTTAAAATAATAAGACTTCTTAAAGAAGGAAAGGGAGGATAAGCCTGGCATTGTGGGTTAGACTTGGAGTTATCAGTGTGAACTTTATATGTCTGTCTATATAAATAGTTATGTACATAGGTATACTTAAATATGCATCACATATACATATATATATATATATACTGAAAGGTGTGTGCATGTTGTACATAAATATTTCCTAATTCTGAATGATGGAAACACAAGAAAGATGCACACACAGCAATCAACACAGCTAGCACTAGATTTGGACTTCCAAATATTCTTCCTGCTAAATGTGCTGGAGCACCTTGAAAAGAATGACTGATTTCAATTCTGGAATATACTCTGTATCAGAAAATAAAGTATTTACAGAAAGATGGCTCCATGTCAAAAAGCACCCAGAAACAGCTTGAGGAGGGAGTATATACAGGCCAAGTGAGGAATAATTTAACCATGAAACATAATAATTGAATAAAAGAGGAACACATGAACTCATACTGATATAAATAAATATGAAGGAGAGAAAATTATTCCTTACAATAGAATGCCAGTTTAAAATTGCTGTTAGATAGCTATTGTTCTAATATATTGGGACAACCAAATATCAGTTAGTGCTCAAACTAATGGGGTCAAGTAGGATGTCAGTATAGGATGATTTACATCATCTCCAAGTGTCTTCAAAATATTGTCCAACATTAAAAATAATTTACACTCAAAAACATGGCAGATACCATATTTGTAAAGGAGGGACCAAGGTCCTGCCACCAGTAAGATGACAAATCAATGTCATGTATTGCCTTTGAAAAGATCACAACATTCCTGCCAAAAATGCACAATCTGGGTCTTGTCCTATAGAAATGTTAAACAACCTAAAACGAATGACATTCTATAAATTGCTGCCCCACAAGGACTTTTCTTTGATGTAATGAAAGACAAGGAAAAGCCAATATTTTGGATCTAGGAAGCAAAAAACCATGACCACTGCATGCAATACATGATCTTAAAATGAGACATTTGGCCATAAATGTCATGACATAAATGGAGCAATTATCGAAAAGAATGTGGTTCTCCACTTGACTACAATTCTTTGTACAGTTCTTGAAACTTTTATTTAGACGAGCTTATTTCAAAATAAAATTATAAAAATAAAATATTTTCAATTTGTTGTATTATTTGCACTTCAGTAGAATTTTGCCTATTCCAGAGCACATACATAACTGGTTGTGGCTGGAAGAGAGAGCTTTGTGAGTTGTTTTAAATGTTTCTTTTTTCTTTTAATTTTTATTGTGCCTCTGCCTCTCCATTGCTAGGAGTAAAGCCACTACCATGTTATTGTTCTCTTAATGACTGCAATTCTGATGAGGAGGAGTTTAGTTTGTTTTAAACTGCCATTTCTCTAATATCTAGTGAAGCTGAAACATTTTCATATGATCATCGGCTATGTGTATGTACTCTTTGAGGAACTAACTTCCTGTTCACTTCAGCAGCACATTTGTTGGTAGAGTTGATTGACTTCTGACATTAACCCTCTGTCCGGTGATGCTGTGCACTCTTTCTCTGAATTGAAGCTTTGCCTCAGGGCAAAAGGCTCATAACACTCAGGAAGTAAATACAATTTCCCAGCTTTGGAAAGTTCCTGAAGCTGTAAGATTCAAGAGACTCCTCCCAGCACCCCAGGGTTGTAGGAGCAGTAACAGTTGCTGAGGAGGAGCTGAGCCACCTGCAAATTATTCAGGCAACTCCAGGATTTCAACCTCCATGATCACGGTCCTGGGTTTTTCATGATACGGCTCCCTTTGAGTCATTCATACTGCGGTAAGTGATGCCTCTGCTGACCACTAAGCTGGACATGGGTATAGTCATTGCTCTCAGTGGGCCATCAGTGCCCTATCTGGGGTAAATAGATATTTGTTCACCAGAAAATTACACAGTGGGTGTTGTGGTGGTTTGAATGAAAATTTCCCCTATAATCTCAGGCATTTGGTTCTCAGCTATTGGCACTGTTTGGGGGCATTTTAGAGGTGTGGCTAGGTGAAAGAAATATATCCGTGGGAACATAGGGACTTAGGTTTCAAAATGTCATTCCATTCCCAGTTTTTGCTCTAAACTTGCTGCCTGCAGTTCAGGATGTTAGCTGTTCCTGCCACATGCTGCTGTCTCACAGCCATGGAAGACTCTGTGGAGTCCTCTGGAAGAAATAAAACCTTTCTTCTATAAGTTACCTAGTTATGGGGTTTTATCATGACAATAGAAACGTGTCTAATAGGGTGTGTGATGGTTTGAATAAGAATGGCCCAAATAGGCTCATACATACAAGAGCTTAGTGGAACCTTTGGAAGAATTAGGTGTGGCCTTGTTAGAGGAGGTGTCACAGGCCTTTGAGTTTTCCAAGGCCTATGCTAGGCCCAGTCACTCCCTCTCTGTCTGTCTGCTTGTAGATTAGGATGTAGCTCTCAGCTACACCAGAGCCAGGCATATAGGCCACCATGCTCCCATCCATGATAATAACTACAACAACGTGGATAACTGGAAAAGATTTTCTCCCAATCTCTGGGCTGTGTCTTCACTGTTTCCACTGCTGTGAAGATGCTTTTGTATTCTGTGATGTCTTACTTTTACTTATAGACACTGGCTCGATTCCTCTTCGTAAAAGCCTTGCGTGCACCCATTATCTTGAAATATTTCATCTTTTTTTTCCTTTAATACTTTCAGTGTTTCAGATCTTACAGTAAGGTCTTTGATCTATCTAAAATTGCCTCCTTTTTTCATTTGTTTATTTTATGAGTGCTTTGCCTGTGTGTGTATACATGGGTGCACGCGCGCATATCTACACACCTATCGATAGTGGATAGTTTAGAGCCACCATGTGGGTACTGGGAACCTAACCTGTGTCCTCTCCAAGAAATGCAAGTGCTGTTAATGACTGCGCCATCTCCAGCTCCAAGAAATGACTTTTATACAGGGTGACAGTTTGGGGTTTAATTTCATTCTTCTGCATGTGGACATCCCATTTTCCCAGCACCGTTTGTTGAAGAGGCTGGTTTTTTTTTCTCAAATATATATATATATATTTTTTTTCATCTTCATCAATCTTACAGTGATTTGATCTATACTATTATTATCTATTTTATAGCTGCGGCTGAGAAGAATGTGTTTACTCCAGTGTTTGGAAAGAGTTCCCGAGCAGGGTACTGAATTCATCCCATTATTATTGTGTTAGGGTTAATTTGCATCTTTGCATCTCATATTTGTTTTATGAAATTAGGTGCAACTAATTTGTTGTATTTATGTCTAAAGGATTAGTACTTAACTTTCTTGAACTGCCTTCTTTTGAGCTGTTTTTATTGTAGAAAATTTCTCTTACTTTATGGCAGATAATTCTGCTTGGTGTAGTGGTCTGGATTGGTGGCTGTGGTTTTTCCGAGTTTGTCATTTCTAGTTTGGATTTTACTGTTTCTATTGAGAAGTCAGCTGTGATTCAGATGGGCCTGCCTGTATGTGTGACATGGTGCTTCTCTCTTGCTTATTTCCATGTCCCTTCTTTGTCCTGTGTATTTATTGTTTTGAGTATAATACAGTGTGGATTACTTCCTGGTCTTGCCTGTTTGCTGCCAGTCCCTTTGTATCTTGGTAGACATCTTTGCCCTACATTTGGAAATGTTAGTTATTTTAGTGAAAAGACCTCTTCCAGAGAGTCTTAGTTTGGTTCTCAGCACTGTTTCAGGGAGCTCACAACCACTTATAACTTCAGGTCTAGGGGAATCCCATGTCTCTAGCCTCTTAGCACACCTGCTGCCACGTGCACATGCCCACATACAGACACAGAGACATCAAATCAAGAATAATAAAGACAAATCTTTTTAGAAAGATAAAAGGTAAAATATCTTTTTAGAAAGTTAAATTAGTGGTGAGCATAACTGCCTTCTAAGTAATTGACCCGGGTTTGATTCCTGGACAACGCACCAGATGAAAAGTTTCTGTACCCAAGAATTGGGTTTCTCCATTGATGCAATAAATCAGATCAGGTCAAATTAATAAGTCCAGGATTAATCTGAGAAAAAGCATTTCCTGGTAGTCCTAGGAAAAAGAAGCCATGAGGGGAAGTCTGTAGGTCAGACCTTAAATACCCTCTGTGGATGGAGCCACTGTTTGGCAGGCTTTCTTTAGGCAGGGTCTGAAGAGGGCAGCTCCATGAGAGATCCCCAACACTTTCTAACCCCACAATTCATGTGTTCTTTTCTTGACGTCCCATAGATCTCAAATGTTGTACCTTTAGATATCCTAATCAGTCAGTGTTGTGATTCCTCTACCTTGTCTTCAAGCTCTAATATTCTGCCCTGGTCTTAATCCAATCTGTTGGTAAGAGTTTCTGTGGAGCTTATTTGAATTATTGAAATACTCATTTCCAGTATTTCAGGGTTCTTATGTTTCTCGGTGTTTTGCTTTCTTGAAGTCTTCTTTCATATCCTGAATTGACTTCCTTACTTCATTCAGAAAGGCCATTAGACATCTTCCCATCCTAGAAAACAGCTGAATAAAAGCACTGTTCCTAATGTAACTCAAGGAACACTCCACTCCAAGCTGGCAGTGCACTTGACAGTGTGGTTCATGTGTCACTGGTCTTACAGGCATGAAAGATGCAGGCATGGAGTGTTCATGGATTTTCCTCCATGATTTAAGAGAGCCACCGAGGCTAGGCAGCATGTGATAGGGTGGTCCCTGCATGGAGGCCCTCAGAGGGCTGGAGGCCTTTACATGAAGGTGGGTATACAGGAAGCTGGTTCCATACCCTTTGGATATGTGCCCCAAAATAGTGGGGTACATAGCAGTTCGTTTCAGATGTTTGAGGAGTCTACACTCTGCCTCCAACAAAGACACACAAATTTACATTTTCACTGAATGTGTGTGTTCCTTTTCATCCTTATTTGTTGTTTGGTGTTTGTTTTTTTATAACAGCCATTGTAGTTGGCATGAGCTAGGAACTCACTGTGATTTTAATTTTCATTAAATGGCTAATAACATTAAATATGTCTTTTACATACTTACAGGCCATACACATTTCTTTACTGAAGTGTCTGTTGTTAGCTCATTAGCCCATTTTTAAATCAACATACTTGGTTTATTTTTTCAGTTTCATATATTCTAGACATTAAATATTTCACAGGTGAAGAGCTAGTGAATGTCACTTCCTCTGTTGTTTGCCTTATTGTGTAACAACCTTCTACTTTGATGCAATCGTACTTGTCAATTTTCAGTTTTGTCTTCCATGTTTGGGATTCTATTTAGAAAGTCATTACCTCTACCAATATCTTCCAGTTTCATCATATAGTTTCAGAGCTTCAGGTCTTACCATCTTGGATCTATTTGGGGTTGATTTTTATACTAAGTAACAGGTGTCAAGTTTCAATATTCCATATGTAGTAGATATCCTGTTTCCCAAGTAGAGTGTATTAATGAGGCTGTCTTTCCCCAGGTTTGTGTTTTTGGTACCTTTTTCAAAAGTTGTGTTGTAGATACATGGATTTGTCTTTTGGCTTTTTATTATGTCAGTAACATACTGTTTTGGTTCATGTGGCTCTGCAGTTTGTCATAAAACCAAGGATCATGATACTTCTAGCTTTGGATTTTTCATTGATTCATTCATTCTTTGACAATTTCACATACACTAGGATTCCTTTCTGCTTCTTAGCTTCTGTGGTTGGTTACTCCAGGTTATAGACTTACATCTGGAAATTTGAGTTAGGAGTCACAAATAAATGAGAACATGTGCTGTTTGTCTTTCCAGAACTAGATCCCCTCACTCAATGTCATCTTTTCTAGTACCATCCATTCAACTGCAAATGGCGTTTTTTTATTTACGGCTGCATAGTATTCCACAGTACATATGTACCACATCTGCATTGTCCAGTCATCAGTTGAAGGACATTTAGGTTGTTTCCATTTCCTAACTATTGTGAACAGAGCAGTAATGAACACAACTGAACAAATGTCTGTGTAGTAAGATGCTAAGTCCTTTGGGCAAGGAGTGGAATAGCTGGAGCATGTGGCAGATTTAGTTTTAGCTTTTGGAGGTTTTCCACACTGATTTTCAGAGTGGCTGGATCAGTTTGCAATCCCACCAACAGTGAATGAGGGTTTCCTTTTCTCCAGATCCTCTCCAATATTTGTTGTCAGTTGTTTTGTTGATCTTTGCCATTCTAATTAGGGTAACATTCAAACTTTTTTTGATTTGCATTTCTCTAATTGCTAGTGATAAGCACTTTTGAGATATTTCCTAGCTATTTTTATTTCTTCTTTTGAGAACTTTGTTCAATTAACAAGTCCATTTTTTAAAATGGGTTGTTTGGTTATTTTAGTTTTCTTCATATATTCTGGGTATTAATCCTCTGTAAGATGTGTAGATAGCAAAGATTCTCTCCCATTCTATAGGCTTCTTCTTTGCCCAGTTGATTATGTGTGTGGCAATTCATGCCTATAATCCTATCTCCTTTAAAAGCAGAGGAGTCGGGACAAAGTTTGAGGCATCTCCTGCCCCTCCACATCCATCTAACCAACTGTATCTGATGAAGCAGGTGTCTCTCTCCGTCATGATTAACACACACATAAAATAATTTGATAACTAAGAGTATAATAAACATTTCTTAAATGAGAAAACTAAATAAAGGAGGTTTCTGATACTCTTAGACCAAATTGTTTTTAAAAATCAGATATAAGGTTCTCATAAATTTATCTCAACAGCAAAAATTATCAGTTGGGAGTATAAAAGTCAGTGTTTTGAGCCTGACTAGTCTTTCTATATCACAAACACAGACAGGGGCACTAGGGGGCTGGCAAAGGGTATTTTCCTGGCCTGGCAGTGTTAGGTTCAACTACAACCAATGTGTGATCTGACAGGACACTTCTTATGGGGAGCGACTCATTTTAAGAGTATTTCTAATATGCTCATTGTGGGAATTGTGAGGAAAAAAGAACAAGTGACAGTTTGTGAAAATTTGTTTCTGGACTCCTTCCATACATCCTGCTTAGAGAATCCTGATTTATTTGCAATTTAAATTCTACTTCAGACGTCTTTATTGGACGATAAAGACCACACACTGCATAACTCTAATGTATGGAAACTCAACACTGCCTGTGGCTCTTGGGGGAAGTACATCATGAGTGCCAAAGTCCTTGGTAGGAATAAAAAGGCCCCAAGGCAGCAGATCTAGTCCTTCCATTACACAGATGAGGATCCAAAGTGCTAAGTGCATTTCTCAAGACTGTTTAGAGGTACAATAAATTAGGAAAGGCAAATTCATAGACACTCTAAGGGTGAGAATAGCTAGTAAGTCTCCCCTCAAAATCTTGTGACACTACAGGGAATAGACCTCGGTTTACATAGAGACTGGCTACAGAATTGCTCATTTAAGTGCATCTCGACTTGAGAGCTGGAGTTCATGAAGCAGGTAGAAGGGCAGTCTATGCTTTTTAAGTGACTGTCTTCACCAGGCTGGTCTGGGGACCTGGTTACCTGCATCATCACACATCAAAGTCCTCCAGCTGTCCCCAGCTGGCACCCATTTTCACTTTCACTTTCAGCTTCACAGAAAGTTTTACAGCACATTCCATTTCATTCTTGACAATCTGAGCTACCTACAAATAAAGGAAAGAGGTTAACAAACTCTACCCAATCCAACGATGTTTCCCAGTTCACCATCTGAGAAAGGGATAAACCAGCTTGGTGCTCTGCATCCAGTGGTGTTTAAATGAATAATGAGCCAGGAATGCAGACTGCCCTGCACTGATGAGCACTCAGAATTTGCAAGTCCTCAGACTCTTCCCCAGTGTTTCCCCAGACAACAGTCTCTGCACCAGGCAGGAATCCCCTCACCTTCAGTACAGTGAGCATACTTAACTTTTCTTTACTCTCTGTGGGCACTCAACATTTATGCAGCCAGCCTGTGCTAGAAGGGCCCAAATACACAGGGCATGACAGGACTAGTCCTTCTGATCCCCAGCGTCTCTGCTGCCTACAGAATGGAATGGACTGTGCAATGCAAAAATACCTGAACGACATCCTCTTCTGCCACTTCATATAAAAGCTCATCATGAAGTTGAAGGATAAAGAAGCCCCCTCTCATTGGACAAAACATCCCTTTCAGTTTTTTCTTTGGCAACAATCCTGCCCCAAGGGGAAAAAAAGAAACTACTTTGTTATTTTGTTCTTAAGAAGTTTGAGAACTTGAAATTTTAACAAATATATTAAAACACACAGGTCTTAGAGCTGTCAGGAGAACTGATAGTTGGCGGCTACCATCACCATCAGGCAAACTCAAATCCCCTGCAGAAGGAATAAACAGGATAAACGGAGTTCACTCTAAGACTTCTCTAACCTGTTTCTCATAAGTATCCATCATTTTCCCTTTCTGTGGAATTCCTTCACTCTATGAGTGGCAATGCCAGGTGACATGGGTGGGGCCTGAGTACTACTCCAGGGAACAGTCACTTTTTACTGGCTGTTTCATAAAGGGCTTCCCTGGTGCTTTGCTATAGTTAGAAATGTCTTGTGGCACAATTTGTGTTTCCCTGACTACTCTCTAGACAATTCCAAGCCTATGTTCACATGTGAACTTAGCACATTTGCGAGTACCATGAATTGTAGGTTAGAGTCTATCTGTTTAATAGCCTGTGGCAATGATTTGTATTTTTCAGTCAGTTTGCAAAAGGTCAATGATTAGTAAAATGGTGAACAACCACTGCCCTAGGCTTAACTACCTTTTCTTAACTAGCTGGGCTAATGGCAGACTATAATCCCTTATAGTAACTGCCTCTTCCTGTGTTCTCACACTCCACAGCAATCCTTCCTGTCTCACAAATTTCTTACTTATCCTTCAGGTCCAACAATAAGTTTCACCTTCCTCCAACATCTGCTACTTCTGTCATAAAGTCCTTTAACTGCTATTGATGGTCTATAGCCTGATTTGTTTAGAGATGACTGGGGAATGAAGACAGCTAAGCATATAGCAAGCTGCATGTATCCCCAGGGCTGCAAAGTTGTGTCTGTGTGCCAGCCTGGTTGAAATTTACCTGCCATATGGTGCGCACTTACCACAGGAGTATCTAGATCAGTGGCTTTCAACCTTGGGTCATGACCCCTCTGGGATCAAAGGATCCTTTCACAGGGTCGTATATCTGATATCCTTCATATCAATTATTTACATTACAATTTACACAGTAGTAAAATTACAGTTATGAAGTAACAATGAAAAACAATTGTATGGTTGGGGGTTACCACAACATGAGGAACTGTATTAAAGGGTGGCAGCATTAGGAATGTTAAGAATGACTGCTCTAGATGCTCTAGTTTTTCTCTTTTCTGATCATAATTTTGTTCTTGCCATTTCCCCCTGATTCCTGGCTTCTGACCTAGAATACAGTGAGTTTCTTATTCCATGTCCTCTGCTTCCTTGGGATCACTTTCCCTTGATCTCATGATTCATGGCTCCTGTCACGCAGCAAGACACCACCCTCAGTGACACACCCACATGACTTCCACTGAGCCTCAAAGGTGCTGCATGAGTCCTGCTGACACTCTCTGCTCTGCCAAGGAGCCCCACACTGTTTATTCAGGGACTGCAGCTTCCTTGGAGGATTTTACATTTAACCCATAGGTTGATAAGCATTGACTTCTAAATCTCAGTACTAGTTTCTGTATCCTATACAAATCTCTTTTGGAAGCAGCAAATTCCATCCTGAACTGCTGCTACTTATCTTTTCTGGTCAGGGACAGCAGCTTACCCTTACCCTTTTTTCCCTGAATTTCAACATTCTCCAAGGAAGTTTGAAAACAAGACTGTAGTCATGGATTGGCATCTCACTAGCACTGACACATGGTATTTAAAGTAAAGTACGGATATGTAACAAAAGAGGAAAAAGCAGAACTCTGCATAATTACCAGAGGAACAAATAACTTATCCAGGAAATAAGGAACAGAACCTAAAAAAGTATCTCGAAAAACGAACAGCAGCAACAGAAAGCAAAGAGGACAGACAATATTAGCAACAGATTGTATGTGGTAAGGTCATTTCGGAGAGCACTGGGGTCATAAATAAGAATATCAACGTCCTCACTGTGCTCTTGGGTCACAGAGGACTCCAGCAGGTGCATAATCAGAATGACTTCTAATAGCACCCCAGGTGCTCTTGCTGGGTTTGCCTTTTTGATCACCTCTCATAAATAAACAGCAAGGCTTGGGCTCAAATCCCCACATCCTGGGAAACACATGAGCATGCAAAAACTTGGAGGTTATCATTGCAAACTTCATAGAGGGTTGTCCAGAGACACAGGGCATGTGCTACAAAGTGGTACAGAAGCAGGAATCCATCTTTTTATGAGTTAGGCATTAAAGAGACTTGTAGAGATGCAAAATAAAGTAACCCATGACTAATTTTCTTCTATTCCCTCTTTTTTTGAAAGGTTTACTTTTAATTATATTATGGTCTTAAAAATGTTAAAGCAAGCTTGAAAATTATCTAATTTCTAATGTGGTAACCATATTAACAATTCCTTGGTACCAAAATATTTGAGGATGCTTAGAAATAAAATATAAAATATGCCCTCTACACATCCACTTTTCAGGGGCAATCATTTTCAGCATGTTAGATCTAGCAAGTGCCTTGTTGGCAGACAAACCTGTTCGGCCATGCTGGAGCATGCTTTCCCGATGACCATGGGATTTGAAGGCTGAATGGAAGGTCTCTAATTGCTTCTGAATGTTAACTGTGGCTGTTTTAACTATATCAGCAGCCGATCCTTGGACTGTTGTGTTGATGGCTTGACGTTCAGCCTATAAAAAAACAATTACAGGTGCTAATGATATATGTCAACATGGTCTCACATTGATCTCAGTACCACCTGAGATCAATGGTCATGTCTACAGCCAGACACAGAACAGCTAGAGCACTAAGGGTATGTTCACAAACTTCACTCTAAAGATTAATTCCTAAAAATAGTCTTACTTCTAAACAGATATAAGAATATTCTTTGTAATACAGGTCAGACATTTCCCATATCAGTAGCTCCCTGGTCCCATACAATGTTTAGCCAGCAGGTCTGAAGCCCTCTAGTAGGAACCACTGCATTAGTTGCCAGAGAAACTGTAGGTTTAACATTTGCTAAAGAGACAAACTGTTGATGAAGCTACTGTGAACTCTAAAGAGTGACTGGATTTCAGAGTGTCACCTACTCTTCCTCTTTGAAATCTCTGTGTAGTAAGTTGCATAACTGTCACTGCTGTCTTTATCAGTCATTATACATAAGAGTTTATTTTCTTGACCAAAAGCAGCGTAAAGGAAGAATGAGTTACGTGGCTTATAACTCCAGGTTATCACTGAGGGCAGGAACTCAAAACATAGTCAACATCAGAAAGAGAATAAACGTATGCTTGTTCTCATCCTGCTTTCCCGCCTTATATAGTTCAGAACCCCCTCTGCCTAGGGAATGGTGACACCCTCAATGCGTTCAATCTTCCTAACTCAATTAACAATCAAGACAATCTCTATGGCCATGCCCACAGACCAATCTGATCTGGGCAGTCTTCAAAAAGGGAAAAACCAAGGAAAATAGTCCTGGCATTGGAAATCACTCTTTCTCTTGGAGTAATCAACAGATTCCATAAGCAGTAGTCAGAAGGTATGGAAAGTTGGCAAGATTTTCTAATAGGTTGAGGGGCTTAGGGAGGCAAACCTGGATCAGGAACCAACTAGTAGAAGAAGGCCTGGTAAATCATCAGGGTGCAGCAGAAAACCCACTATGTATGCATGCATGCCTGTGTGTGTAAACCATCAGGGTGCAGCAGAAAACCCTGTATGTATGTATGTATGTATGTATGTATGTATGTATGTATGTATGTATGTATGTACGTGTCTCAGTGCTGGTGGCCTCATTGTCTCATCTCTTTGCCACACTAGCTTGGATTTAGGGTTATATTCATCCTTCTGCAGACACCAGTTGAGCTTTGGCCTTGTGTATTAGAACTACATTGTGATGATGGAGATTCTCACCATTTAGACCTGGCATAATGGCCCACAGGAAAGATCTTACAGGGATGGTTTCTGCCATTAAAGATCTTCCAGCTTCTAAAAGGAGCTCATTCCCAGCACTCTGAACTTATTATAATAGCCTTCAAGAATCTGTTTGAAGATGTATTTCCTCCCTGCAACTAAATAACTGTATGTACACAAAGGATGCTTTTATACATTGCTTGCTTTTCTCTTCCATGATTTAGGACCTATGTCTTCAAAGGGAACAATTACAGTGTCCAGTTGACTAGGAAATTGTAAACAATCTGAAAAGCTGCTGTGCATGGAATCTGGAGAGTGAAGCTGTGACTTTAAGGCTCCAACACACATCAGTGTCCTGACAGCTCTGATTGCCAGAGAAACTGGATAGTAGACACTGCCATGCAAAATTATGGAGACATGACAGGAAAAAAATGCATTAAAATTGGAGAATCTGAACTATTATAGACCTTGAATATGTAGACAACTAATACTTTTATGACTCTCAACAATTAAAAAAATTTTTTAATAATTTAAGCAAATATCTTCAAAGACCTACAGCATTAAGTTAAAGCAGCCCTGCTCACTACTCTGAATAGCCTAAGAGCCTCTAATAAAAAGGCAGAATTAAAAGGGGGCCTGTGGGTAACGACCAGATAACCTGGAGAACATTAGCAAACTGTACAACATGAGAAAGTAGGGACTGAAAGACAGTGGTGTCTGCACTGAGCTTGGTGGTGCAGGTGTGTATTCCAAATATTCAGGAGACTAAGGCAGGAACATCCCAACCTCAAGGCTTTCCTGTGCTACAGGATGAGTTTGAGGCCAGCCTATGCAACTTAGGCTCTCTCTCCATAAGTTGGGGGAGGAAGGAAGGCAAACAGGAATGCAGATGGGAATATAATTCAGTTTTAGAATGCCTGTCTGGTATGACTGATGCCCAAAAGTTCAACCCCAGCACTTGGGGGGAAAAAAAGGTTATTTACTTACAACTTGTGACTAAAGCTAATAATTATCATGCTAAAGTATTAAGTCCAGCTATTTATGTTAACTTCCCCAAAACGGTATCATCACTTCAAAAGTCCTTTATAAAATCAATGGCCAACTTTGTTGAGAAGTAAACGTCAAAACTCAGAGAAATTTCAACATACATGAGCTTTATGATAAGGATTGTTGTCTTTGATTCCTGGCAAATATCTTCTCCTTCCCAAAATGGTTTGAACAAATCCATCTCTTCTACAGTTCTTTACTGTGTCCTTCAGGAAATGATTAATTCCTACAAAGAAAAAACAGAAACAGTTACAACCAAAGTCTACCCTCTATGTCACCGTCGTTTTAATACAACAATATCCCACCATGCATCCTAGTCTTCCTTTGCTCTTGTTCTGAGTACTCATAGCAGCCCTTGCTCTCATCAGTCCCATATCAGTCATCACTAGGTCATCTGCATCTGTCTACATTCTAACCCCTGAAGGGCCTTACTGGCAGCTGTCCTATCCGCATGATCCTCAAAGTGGAGTTTCCAGTCTCTTTCCTCTCTTTCCTTTTGTCTTACTTCTACTTCTTAAATTTCAACTTCAAGTTTGGGGGTTCACAGTCATCAAGAACATGCACAGCCCCAAACCCACACACAGACATATAGCTTGCAGAAAGCAAGTAGCATCTGAAACACCTCCCTGGATCAACTCAGAAGACATTCTGTAAGTGTAATACAGCAATGTCATAATTTTTACTTATTTGAACAGAGTCTTCTATCTTTGTTAAGTATTAAAATACAATTTTTACTCAAATTTGAGAGGGAAAAATAAAAATCCAGAAACACAGGGATGGTTAAAAAAAGTACCTAAAGTACGTATCTCAGTTCAACAAAGGGACCGATTGAGCATGAACTGCCTGCTGTGAGCCATGCCAGTGACCAGATCTCTATGGAGGGTTACTTTGCTCTCCCTTTCGGCTCATCAGAGGAGCAATACTACTTCCAGATGCTTTCCCTTTCCCCTTTGCCTCCACATCAAGGACAGGGACCAATCCATAAACTAGAGCTGACACTTTATGATCTGAAAAGGTGAGAAACAAATACATTCTGCTTCTCGCTGCCAAGTATGTTGAAAGGAACTTAAGCTCTATGAGAACATGAATTAGGCCTCTCATTCAGTGCTATTGCTACAAGGCCCATGACTGTTTCAAACATGATGAGTTATCTACAAAGCATAGTACTCGTGACTTTACAACAGCAAGTCTTTTTTTTTTTTTTTTTTTTAGGACCAGGATTCCTAGACTCATTGGGTATCTGAAACGTGAGGCTTAGACAGGCTAAGAAAACGGCCAAGGTTAGAGTTGTCCCTGAAGGACTCTTCATTCCAGAGCCTTTCATTTCCACCTCTGCCTTCCTCCTGACAGTGCTTCTGATACATGGCCAGTGGCTTTCTGAGTAGCTGGCTCCAGTCTTGCAGAGAGAAAAAAACAAAGCATTAAAGCTCTCATCAGCACAGGTTTTGTCAGGGACCACCGACCGGCCCCTTCTCTTTCTTTCTTCCTTCCTTCCCCTCTCATATATTACATCCCAACTGCAGGTTCTCCTCACTCCTCTCCTCTCATCTTCTGTATCTTGGCTGAAGTACAGAATATGTCTACACCCATTTGACTAGGTGAATAGAAGTATGTATATGAAACAGTGACTTTAAATGTATATAAATTATACCTTAATAAGCTTTTAAAAGAAGGAATAATGTAAGGTACCCAAACTGCTCAGTCCCTCAGAGTTTCTAGCACAGTTAACAAATGTTTTACTGTCACTCTAAGCTATCTAAACCCAAATTAAAGTCAATGTCCATCTTTGGGGGGGTAGGCACAGTATACAACACAACAGCAAGTGTGCCTGATATTACATCTAACTCTGCCTTTTCTTTAAACAAGCTCACTTTAATGAATAATGACAATAAGCTGCCTGCTACTTGCCCTCAATAATTCCTGATAAAAATTTCTTATTAATAGAAATGTTAATAAATTTCTGTAATTTTAAGGTACTTAATATGGTGAGCAGCTACAAGATCCTTAGTTTAGACTTCTTACCTGTATATCTGGACTTGAAAGAGTCAATATAGCAAGCAGCATCGTTTTCTTTAATGCCCATCTGCTCTCCTAAGGATTTAGCTCCCATCCCATATATGATTCCATAGCAAATCTGAAAGGGAGGCATCACACTTGGTAAGCTGAAGGTCACAACTATACAAAGTGCAAGTACACCGTGTTCACTAGGACTGATACCCTGGTGAACCACAGACATGATTAGATCAGCTGTAGTAGGTTGAGCTCGCAGAAGTCAGTACTCAGCAAACGTCAGTCCTGCCTCTGAACATTACTGTGTATTTGTGTGTGAAGTTGCAAGCCAATTTGAGTGGGGAAAGGATGTGGTCAAAATAGGAAGATTGCTTTCAGTTTGTTCTTTGTCTACCACTCTTAGAGCAGGTTTCATTCCTCAGAGTATCTCAGTAGTGTCTGCTAAGGAAGTGCCTAGAAGAAAGTTTTGCAAATATTCCTCTCCTTGCCCATGGGTAAGGGGAAACGTCACTGGGAAGACATATCTACAACTCATAGTTGCCTAATGTCTCACATTCCGCAAATGCAAAGTTCATCTGAGTTAAGTATAAACCTTCTAAGTAAATTTTGGAAGTGATGGAGGGAAATAGGCTACCCAGGTTAATAGTAAGTCCTACCTGAAGTCATGCATGATCTTGCCATAGGCACCTGACCTCTTTGTAGCCAAACATTCTCATCCAAAACTAAAGAGAGCAGTATTTGGATCATGACTTGTGGGTGTTTAGGAAACTGACAATGATAAATTAAAAGACAACTCTAATTAAATGCTTAGCAAAACTCTAAAAGCTAAAGGGACCCATTCTCTTTTCTTAAATCTTTGTGAGGTGGGATCTCACAATGCAGTTTTCCTGCTAGCCTGACTTGCTATGCAGATCAGACTGACCTTGAACTTTGAGGATACCCACACTGACAGCAACACCACTGCTGTCACCACACCTGGTCAAGAACTTTTTTACTTTAAACCTCTATTTAGTCTTCCTTTTGGTCTTTAACACTATTTTGTGATTCCTGGAGTACACTGCTTGTCTGCTCCAGCTTGTATTACTTAGCCACAGACTGAGATCTAAGCAAGATTTGAGGGTTAGATCATCCAGTGCATGTCAAGGCAGACAAGCATTGTTCTAGCGTGTTCACTATTGAATGAGGGAAGCACTACAGGAGACAGAGCAGCCATCACCCTGGACAATTGTGGATTGGGAAGTCCGATATTCTGACATTCCATACTTCTCCTGACTCTACCCCTTAAAACTAAGTGTAAACAAATCTCTAATTTTGTGTCTATTTCCTGCTCCATACATAAAATGGGGATAGAAATACACCTATCTCAAGAGCTGGCTATGGGGCTTATTTACAGGGACATTTTAACTATTTTAGTAAGGCTTGATCCTTGCTAATGTCGATTCAGAAGATGAGAAGTAGAGCTAGCTTTTTAAATAGTGGGGAACAGGTGTTGGTGTTAAATTTCACTGGTGAGAGGAAGTATTTCATGCCAGCTAAATCCAGGAAGAACGTGAACTTAGAACAGGTCACTGCAAATGGCATCTGATTTCCCACAGGTGTGGTTAGAAAGTGTCCTGTCAATCTAGCCAGGAAATGTAAATGGGCCCTTTGCAGGGCCACTGTCAGTCACAGAGGAGTCAAAGTGCAAACAGCAAACAGTTGCTGAACAGCTCAAGGGACCATTACTCATTACAATCCAATTCTATTTTCAAAAACATTAAACTACCTACAATATAATGCACTTTGGCTAGATGCTGTAAGGAAATAGGAATATGGAACTTTCAAGACATTTACTGATTAGAAATTTAAAATAGATATTCTTCCTCGTGTATAATGACTACCTCTACAATTCCTGCCACTTGTAAGTAAACACCTACTAAGTACCAGACCTCACGACTAGCTGCATTATAGACTTAAATACACAGGGCTTTCTTGATACTAAGTTGCCCACAGATCTTAGTTTATGTGGTTCGTTCTGCTTTGTCTAGGGGGCAAAATCTACAATGAATACCACAAAGCAGACTAGATTCCAATGAATGTGACTTGAAAGATCCAGACAGAAATCATTGCCCAAATGAAATGAATGCGTAACTTAAAATGTTGTAAGCATTTAACTCTTTTCATTCTGATGCACCAGGTCCACTAAGTTCACCTGCTTTGCTTGTTGCCTCAGATCCTCCCCAACAGAGTCAGGCTCGATCATCTTCCACTCGGCAGCAATGCTCCGGAAAACATCAGTTCCAGTGTTTAAGACTTGAATGAGGCGACAGTCACGTGACAGGTGAGCCAGGATCCTCAATTCAAGCTGGGAGTAATCAGCAGCCAAAATTACACCCCCTGAAAAGCACATCTACGTTAAAAGGCTAGTACAGCTCCAGAGACCACAATTCAGCAAGATGACAGAAATGCAGTTTTATAAGTTTAAGGTCATGTGTTCAAAAGTTAAAGCCCTACTTCAATTAAGATACAGTTCATTTCTGTGCATTATTGTGTTTTTAAGTTTTCCTTTCTCAGTGTTCCTACAGCACCTAGCACACAATCGACATTTCTCTCATGCTTCTCCCACTCCTTAGTCATAAGAGACTTATAAACAATAGGTTTACCAAAATAATTAATGGACAAATTGGTGTTTAGTAAGTGTATGTTAGTGTGCTTTGGTTCAACAATAACAAAGATATTCAATGAAAAAAAATCAAGTTATTAAGGGAATAAGACAAGTTTCTTATGGATTAAAAATAACTTGATTAGACATGTAAGACAAAAAGAAAAATGTGATCAAAGTACAAAAGATAATTTAACTGCTAGCACAAAGGACAAGTTGCCATATTATAAAAAGTGTAGCTATAAATCAATAGTAGACTATAAGTAAGTTCATGAAAATAAACACAGAAGAACCTCAAATGTAAGAATGGTGAATTTCGATCATAGTAAGGGGAATGGAAATAAAACCTATAGCAATAAATAAATTTTCCTTTCTTAAAATGGCAGCATCCAGAGGTTGCACAACATACTCAGGCAAGTGTGCAAGAGACACTAGGAGGCTATTCCTAGGAAGCAAAGGGTAGCATTCTGCCCACAAGGCAGCAATTAGACACTGTAAATAAAGATTGAGCTGTTTTTAGTCTGTGACTCAGCAAACAAACTCATAGACTGTGGTGGAAACTGAACACACACAGGTTAAACTATTTTGTTTTGAGACAAGGACTCATTATGTAACGATGGTTGGCCTAGAACTCACAGATCTCTCTGACGCTGTTGGGACTAAAGGTGTGCACTACCACATCCATCTACTCCCATCTCTGTACTGAGAAGCACAAGTCTTGAATGTAAAAATGTTAGCTGAAAGTCCAAATACAGAAGTATACACAGAATGATAATTCCTAGATAAAAGTCAAAAGATTACATAGCCAAAGGTATGCATATTTGCAAAAGGAATACTAACAAATACATAACAGTTATTTTGTGAAATACCTTACAAGTTAAAATCAGGCAGTGAGTGCTTGGGGTCTGCCACTGTGGCTTCCATCCTGGCGGCAGAAGCCAAGGCACCCCAGCATCCTACTCTCCTGCTCCACGCATGGGACTAGGTAAATCAGGGCCCATCTCTGGGCCACCTGCCTGTGCCTGGGGTATAGCACTCATGCTCCCATCCATCCCAGCAGGAACCAAAGCACCCCAGCATCCTAGTCCATTTCTCCACCCATGAGACCAGGAAGTGGAGAGCTACCAGAGCACTGGACTTTCCTACACCCACCAAAAGAGAACCCTGGTCCCACACCTACCAGGAGAGGAAAAGGCACCTTCTGGAACCCACTGCAAGAACAGAAGGGAAGGATGCAATATAAAAACACAAGGAGCAACAGAAAAACCAACATGACACTGCCAGAGTCCAGAGACCCTACATCAGCAAGACTTGAACACCCCAACACAAATAAAGCAGAAGAGAATGACATTAAACAAAACTACATAAATAGAAGCCCTCAAAGAGGATATGAGAAAATCCCTTAAAGAGATGGAAGAAAAAAACAATCCAAAAAATTCAAGAAATGGAAAAAAAGACAAAGCAAAAATTCCAAGAAACAATTCAAACAGTGCAAGGGCAGAAATCTGATATAGAAACAATAAAAAAAAAAAACACAGCCTGAAGGAATGCTGGAAACAGAAAAGCTGGGAAAACAGTCAGAGGTGTTAAAGATACACTAGGAGAATTAGATTCATTGACCAAAGAAAATTTTAAGTCCAAAAATTCCTTAACACAAAATATCCAGGAAATATGGGACACTGGGAAAAGTCCAAACTTAAGAATAATAGGTATAGAAGGTGAAGAAACCCACCTAAAAGGGGCATAAAGCATATTCAACAAAATCATGAAAGAAAACTTTCCCAACCTAAAGAAAGACATGACAATGAAGGTGCAAGAAGCTTACAAAACACCAAACAGAGTGGATCCCCCCAAAAAAGAATCCCCTGGACACATAATAATCAAGACCCCAAATATACCATACAGAATAAAGGAAGAATATTAAGAGCAGCTAGGGAAAAAGGCCAAGTAACATATAAAGGGAAACCTATCAGAATTACACCTGACTTCTCCATGGAAACTCTGAAAGCCAGAAGGTCCTGGATAGATATTCTACCAACATTAAGAGACCATGGATGCGAGCCAAGACTACTATACCCAGCAAAGCTTTCAATCAATATAGATGGAGAAAACAAGATATTTCATGACAAAACCAGATTTAAACAATACATATCCACTAACCCAGCCCTACAGATAATTCTGGAAGGAGAACTCCAATCCAAGGAAGTTAACTATAACCAGAAAAACATAGGCTATAGATAATCCCACTTTAACAACAGGCAAAAGAAAAAGTGGTGGAAATCCACATACAATTCCACAAACAACAACCATTCCAAAACAAACAATGAGCTATCAATGGTCATTAATATCCCTCAATATTTTTTTTTTAATATAGGGCAAATTAATGCTTTATTATAGTATTTATAAAATTATGCTAATATGATTAAAACAAGTTTGCTTAGGACATGGGTTATAGTATACATTTTCAACTCAGAAGTTCCTTCAATTGTTAGCCTTTAATTTTATTCTTTTTTTTTTTTTTTGTTTTTTTTTTTGTTTGTTTGTTTTTTGTTTTTTTAATCATTTTTTATTTTAATTTTAAATAGCTTGTTTCACATGTCAATCCCAGTTCCCTCTCCCTCCCTCAATATTAATGGTCTTAACTCACCCATAAAAAGACACAGGCTAACAGAATGTATTCAAAGATAGTACCCATCCTTCTGCTGCATACAAGAAATACACCTCAGCTTCAAAGACAGACGTTACTTCAGAGTTAAGGGGTGGGAAAAGATTTTCCAATCAAATGGACCCAAGAAACAAGAAGGGGTAGCAATCCTAATATCTAACAAATTAGACTTTAAACTAAAATCAATCAAAAGAGATGAAGGAGGTCACTTCACACTCATTACAGGAGAAATCAACCAAGATGAAGTCTCAATTCTGAACATCTATGCCCTGAATACAAAGACATGCACGTTTGTAAAAGAAACATTACAAAAACTCAAAGCACACTTATAGTGGGAGACTTCAACACCCCACTCTAACCACTAGACAGGACTACCAGACAGAAACTTAACAAGGATACGAAGGAACTAATAGAAGTTATGACCAAATTGGGATTAACAGACATCTATGGAACACTCCATCCAAACATTAAAGAATATACCTTCTCAGCCCACACAGAACCTTCTCAAAAATCGATCACATACTTGGCAACATAGCAAACCTCAACAGGTACAAAAAAATTGGAATAACTCCATGTAGCTTATCAGACCACCATGCTTTAAAGTTAGAATTAAACAATGCAAATCACAGAAACCCTGCAAACTCATAGAAATTGAATAATGAGCAAGTACACCTCAAAGAAGAAATAAGAAAATTAAAGACTTTCAGGAATTCAATGACAATAAAGACACAACATACCCAAACATATGGGATACTTTGAAAGAAGTGCTAAGAAGAAAGTTCATAGCACTAAGTGCCCACATGAAGAAACTGGAAAATAGTTACACTAGAGAGTTAACAGCACAAGTGAGAACAAAAAGAACAAACTCACCCCAGAGTAGCAGACGCCAGGAAATAATTAAATTGAGGGCTGAAATCAATAAAATAGAAACTAGGAAAACAATACAAAGAATCTATGTAACGAAGAGTTGGTTCTTTGAGAAAATCAACAAGATAGACAAACCTTTTTCCAAACTTACCAAACGGCAGAGTATGAACATGCAAATTAACAAAATCAGAAATGAAAAGGGGGACATAACAACGGAGTCTGAGTAAATCCAGAGACTCATCAGGTCATATTTTGAAATGCTATACTCCACAAAATTTTAAAATTTAAAGGAAATGGACAATTTTTTTGGATAGATATCACTTAACAAAATTAAATCAAGAACAGATAAGTAATTTAAACAGACCTATAACACCTAAGGAAATAGAAGCAGTCATCAAAAATCTCCCAACCAAAAAAAAAGCCCAGGGCCAGATGGCTTCAGTGCAGAATTTTACGAGAAATTCAAAGAACAGCTTATATGAATTCTCCTCAAAGTATTCCATACAATAGAAGCAGAAGGGTCTTTGCCAAAATCTTTTTATGAGGCTTCAATAACATTGATACCCAAGTCACACAAAGACAATATCACTCATGAACACTGATCCAAAAATACTCAATAAAATACTGGCAAATCGAATCCAAGAACACATCAGAAAACTCATCCACAATGATCAAGTAGGCTTCATCCCAGGGATGCAGGGATGGTTCAACATACGAAAATCCATCAATATAATCCACAATATAAACAAGGTGAGAAACAAAAATCACATGATCATCTCACTAGATGCTGAAAAAGCCTTTGACAAAATCCAACACCCATTCACGATAAAGGTCTTGGAGAGATCTGGGATAACAGGAACATATACCTAAACATAATAAAAGCTATATACAGCAAACCAACAGCCAACATCAAACTGAATGGCAAGAAACTCAAGGAAATTCCTCTAAGATCAGGAACAAGTCAAGGCTGTCCACTCTCCACATACCTCTTCACTATTGTACTTGAAGTTCTAGCTAGAGCAATATGACAATGAAAGGAGATCAAGGGGATACAAATTGGAAAGAAGAGGTCAAACTTTCACTATTTGCAGATGATATGATAGTTTATATAAGTGACCCAAAAAACTCTACCAGGGAACTCTTACAGTTGATAAACACCTTCAGCAAAGTGGCAGGATATAGGAAAGTCAAGAAAATCAGTAGCCCTACTATATACAGACGATAAAAGGGCTGAGAAAGAAATCACAGAAACATCACCCTTTACAATTGCCACACACAACATAGAAAGACCTTGGAGTAATGCTAACCAAACAAGTGAAAGACCTGTATTGCAAGAACTTTGAGTCTTTAAAGAAAGAAATTAAGGAAGATACCAGAAAATGGAAAGAACTCCCATGCTCTTAGATAAGTAGGATCAATGTAATAAAAATGGCAATCCTGCCAGACTCAATGCAATCCTCATCAAAATCCCAGCACAATTCTTCACAGACCTTGAAAGAATAATTCTCAACTTTATATGGAAAAACAAAAGACCCAGGTTAGCCAAGACAACCCTGCTCAGCAAAGCAACATCTGGAGGCATCACCATCCCTGACTTCAAGCTCTATTATAGAGCTATAGTCCTGAAAACAGCTTGGTATTGGCACAAAAATAGACAGGTAGGCCAATGGAATGGAATTAAACACCCTGAGATTAATCCACAAACCTATGAACATCTGATTTTCGACAAAGAAGCTAAATTTATACAATGGAAAAAAGACAGCATCTTCAACAAATGGTGCTGGGATATTGGCATGTAGAAGACTGCAGATAGATCTATGTCTATCACCATGCACAAAACTTAAGTCCAAATGGATCAAAAACCTCAACATAAATCCAGCCACAACTGAACCTCTTAGAAGAGAAAGTATGAGGTACCCTTGAAGGAATTGGTACAGGAGACCACTTCCTGAACATAACACCAGTAGCACAAATGCTGAGATCGACAATTAATAAATGGGACTTCCTGAAACTGAGAAGCTTCTGTAAGGCAAAGGACACAGTCAGCAAGACAAAAGGGCAACCCAGAGATTGGAAAAAGATATTCACTAACCCCACATCTGACAGAGGGCTGATCCCTAAAATTTACAAAGAACTCAAGAAGCAAGTGTCCAAAACACCAAAGGATCCAATTAAAAAGTGGGCTACAGAACTAAATAGAGAATTCTCAATAGAGGAGTCTAAAATGGCTGAGACACACTTAAGAAAGAGCTCAACATCCATAGCCATTAGAGAAATACAAATCAAAACAACTCTGAGACATCATCTTACTCCTGTCAGAATGGCTAAAATCAAAAACACCAATGACAGTTTATGCTGGAGAAGATGTAGACAAAGGGTCCATTGCTGGTGAGAGTGCAAACTTGTACAGTCACTTTGGAAATCAGTATGGAAATTCCTCAGGAAAATGGGACTCAGTCTACCACAAGACCCAGCAATTCCATTCTTAGGCATATACCCAAAAGATGCCCATTCATACAACAAGGATGTCTGTTCCACTATGTTCACAGTAGCATTATTTGTAATAGCCAGAACCTGGAAGCAGCCTAGATGCCCCACAACTGAAGAGTGGATAGAGAAAATGTGGTACATTTACATAATGGAGTACTACTCAGTGGGAAAAAACAATAGAATGTTGAAATTTGTAGGCAAATGGATGGCACTAGAAGAAACCATCCTGAGTGAGGTAACCCAGTCACAAAAGACAAACATGAGGGGAGGGAAAGGGAGAGGGACCTAGAACTGACTTGTGAAGCAACCTTGTTTCTAATCTAAATTTAAACTGAAAAATAAATTAAAAAAAAAGACAAACATGGTATTTACTCACTCATGGATTTTAGACATGGATCAGGGGAGTGTCAGCCTACAATACCAGTGCCAGTGAGTCTGGGAAACAGGGAGGTTCCCAAGAGATACGCATTATACACCAGAGAAGTGGAATGAGTCAAGATCTCCTGAGCAGATTGGGAACATTGAGGGAGGGGAGAGGGAGCTAGGACAAAGAGAGGGGGATAAAAGGAGGGGAGAAGAAGGCATGGAGGAACAGGAAGGTTGAGTCGAGGTAAGAATAGAGGAGAGCAGGATGAGAGATATCATAATAAATGGAGTCATTATAGGTTTGAGGAGAGCGCTGACACTAGTGAGATTTCCAGAGATCTACAAGGATAACACCAACTGGCAAACTAAGCAATAGTGGAGAGACTACATTAATAGCCCCTCCCTGATGATAAGGTTGATGAGTACCTTATATGCCATCCTAGAACCTTCATCCAGTGACAGATGGAAGCAGAAGCAGACAACCACAGCTAAACACTGAACTGAACTCCTGGAACCCAGTGGCAGAGATGGAGGAGTGATGAGCAAAGGGGTCATGAACGTGCTGGTGAAACCCACAAAGACAGCTGACCGGACAAGGGAGAGCTCTTGAACCCCAGACTGATGGCTAGAAGGCCAACAGAGGACTGATCCAGACTCCATGAATGTAGTGTCAGAGAGGAGGCCTAAGAAATCTCTGGGGCCTTGGGTAGTTTATCAGTGTTTACCATGGCGTACGAATGAACTCTGGGAGCCCATTCCAAATGGACAGATGCTCTCTCAGCCTGGACACATGGGGAAGGGCCTAGGTCCTGTCCTGGATGAAATGACAGACTCTGGAGATCCCCCATGGAGGGCCTCACCGTCTCTGGGGAAAGATGTGGGGATTGAGTGGGGGGGCTGAGAGGGGAACAGGTGGAGGGACAAGGGAGGAGGGGTGGGAGAGGAAGCAAAAAAAGAAAAAAAAAAGCAGGCAATGAACTGTCACTGAAAGGGAGGGTAGTGAGATGAGCAACTGTGAAGTTTCTGAATGCTAGCATTTCCAGAAAACCCTGCAGGATGGGGTGTTCTCTCCAAGCTGAGAGAACTGACACTAGAGCTGGTCCTATCAGGCACCCAGGACTAGTAATAAGTTAGGAAGGAATTGTGCACAAAATGAGCACCAAGACATGCACAGGACCCCTTTGCAGCTAATGTGAGTTACAAATACATTATCCTTCTTAACAGGATGAACCATGGAGATGCAAGTAACTTTTTACATTTAAACGTGTTTTTAGTACTAAATTCAGTTACCAGCACATGGGTCTGCTTTTTTAAATGTAAATTTTATGGACTCTAAATATCAAGCACACAGATTTCTCCTTGGATTCCTCCTATGTGCCCACCACTCTCCTGCTGTTAACAGAGACCATGGGAGACAGGTGCCTGCTGGACCTGTATGCCCACCACACTCCTGCCTGCCGCACTACACATTTACTTTTAACAAAGGCTTTCTGTGCTCTGCGGGATCTGGTGAGAACTTTCAAATACTGGAACTTGGAAATTTACCATGTGGCCACTAGGAAACTGCAAATTTTGAGAATGTTCCACACGAAATTCCTATTGTGCAGTATGACTTTTAAACCCAGCATGCTCTTTCCTCACACCTAAAGGAGACAGTCAGACCTGCAGAACTATCATTGCTTCCCAGGGTTAGAGTAAATTTCTCATGCCGACAGTTCATACTTAACAAGCTACCTTATCAGTGAGTTCATCATGAAGGGAGGCTCTGACAGAACTTAAAACAGTTCCACTCACTGGACTAGCCACTGGCAAAAGATAACGGGAAAATGGGCACAGCAATCATGGGACAATTAAGGAGTTAGGTTACAACCTCAGGTGTTCTGATGACTAACAGGTGTGTGACTTTAAGGCTGCAGCTGTCCTGGGAGTCACACACCAACAGGAAGCAAGCAGACATAGAAAGCAAGAAACACAGGAACCCAAAACTCTGCTCTTCCAAGTCAATGAAGGAGAGTGGGGAAAGTGAATTCTCCAACGGCAGAACACTATAAAGAAACAAAGGCAAAGAGAATGGACAAAATCAACTACATTTTGCAGAGATTTCCAAATAGTATCAGTACATAGCAGCTACCAAGATATACCACAGTGGTACGAGGGTCAGGGCAACATTCTGAATTCTATTAATTCAGGACTTCCCAGTGCCTTTAAAAACAACCACATAGCCACAAGGAGTTCTCCTTACCTGGGAAAGGTACAAAGGCATGGCGCATGCTCACTGAAAATGGCACCCCTCTATCTGAGGCTTTCTCTTCCATCAGTGTCCCATCCCCATGGTGCAGGCCATAAAACTTCTTATTTTGTCCTCTATAGTACAAATGAAATCATCAGCTAGAACATGGCGAATTCAGATACATAAAAGGTCTGATTCCCAATAAAAATAGAATTTCCATTTAAGAAACCTAAAATGTCCTAACCTGAAACCCACTTTGAATTTTAAGCTATTAGACCTCTCTTAGCAAACGTTCAGTAAAACATGAAGGTACTTCTGTAATCACCTTCCTCATAAACTACTTCTGAGACAATCCAGCCCCAACCTCCATTTTAACTCTACAAATCTCAACTAGACCTATGGTAAACTATCTACCTGCTCCCTCTTGTCAAGTTCACATGGGGGCAGGGGTGTTGCTGGCATGACTAGCCTCTTCTCTTCCATATCTGACTTAAAAGCACACCGTGCTAGTAGCTTGAAGCAGGTCTACTATTTTTTTACCATTGACCAGCTTCATCACAGGATTTTAAGTGGATACTATCTAGAACCAAATGATTTGTCTAGAATATAAACTTTAATGTATTGCATTGTCTTATACGATAGGGCCTTTTTGAGCCATCACACTCACAAAAGGATAATATCAATATAGAAAAAAGTCTACCTGGTCATTGGAAGCAGATTTTTGCCTGGAGCTTGAGAAGGTGGGCTTTCCCTTACTAGTGTTGGCATTTTAATCTCAAAATCTCTTGGCACATTCTGGATATTAGGTTCTGTAAAGGTTATCCGTCCTAAAATTAGAAGAAGAAAAACAGAAAAATAAACCTGACAATCAACCAACTGACAGTTTTTGTACCTCAGAATGACCTTTCTTAACTATAACTAGCTGGGGCTGGCGGGATGGTTCAGTGAGTAAGAGCACCTGCTTCTTTCCTAGCCTGACAACCGAGGTAAACTCCAGAACCACACAGTAAGTAGGAGACAACTGACTCCCATTGATGTGACATGAAGCACACGCATGCATAATGTACACACACAACATTAAATAATGCAATAAAAAGATTTTTAAAAGCATGCTTGATAATGCTAAACTGGGTTTACATTTAAATTTTCAACATATTCATATGATTAGCAGTGATAAAATGAGCACAAGGTCATTCTGAAAGCAATCAGCTACAATATCATGTTCTTCATTAAGCTAGTTCTCTAGAACCAGTGCAGTGACAGGAAGCAACCTGAGAACCTGAGATCACAGAAAGAAGCCCATGGCAGCATGACGACAGGTAGCAGACACACTAAGTAGCAAGCCTCAGGGAGCATGGCTGCCTGGTAGCTGGGATGGGGGCACAAGACAGAACACCTGGAACAGAGCAGATGGACACTGACAAGGACAACTGGAACCAAAAAGGAGCTCTACCGCAGTCAGAGGCAGCCCTCACCTCAACACCATTACTCAAGAGAGTCAACAACAGGACTGACAGGGCTGGAAACTAAAATCAGACACATCATCAGTGTTCTAGTGGGGAGAAACAATTTTTAAAATAGTTTCTATAAAGCATTATATTTCTTATAAAGCCTGTATTCCATATTATTTTACATTTTTAAAATCTATCTAAAGCATATGAGCGGTTTCCTTTTTTCTTCAAAATACCCTTTCGGGGAATTGTTCTTGCCAACACTTGCTTTATGATACTTTCTTCATGGCAACTGGCTCTCTAGGAGTCACTACATATAATTTCACCTTCTAATGAATCAGACCTTCTAAATGGCTTGGACATTGTTTTCCTAAATAAACTCTGATGTGAAACCATAAAGATACATATATATCAATTTATTACAAGATGGCAGGGGGAAACAGACTCACGGAGCAGGGAGCTGGAGACCAATCTCATGCCTGACCCCTATCTTCACAACCCAAGAGGTCGTGAACTCTATCTCCTTCCTTTTAAGAAGCTGGCAGCATCCACAGACAAGAAGGCATGCCTTAATGCCAGTACCCAGAGCTATTGGCAGAATGAATTCCCACAACAAAACTCTTTAAGATCCTCATTATTTAGCTTACAGCACAAAGTAAGTATTTAATTTTGATATAATTTTCATTAAATGGCTTAGTCCATGTTATCAAAGAACATACAGCAGGAGGAGGCAGTCTTCCCTCCTCAAACTGTGTTCTTCCATACACTACTTAGCACTCAGCACTCTGCCCTGGTCCATTAGTTGAGTCAGTGAGTTAATACCGCTCAACAAAAAAAAAAAAAAAAAAGGTTAAAAAAAATTACAAAGCATGAGTATATATTAATGAAAATAATCCTAATCATCAAACAGCTTTGTCATGCTCAGCTAAACTTTTGGTTCTGTATTATTGAATATTACAGCAATTATAGATTAACTAACTACTGTGTTTCTACAGCCAAAACAAAACAACTGATAAGTACCAAATAAATATGTAACACTCTGAAACTCTTAAGTTGGTTTTGTTTTGGCACAATGTGGTCGGTCATATGAATGATAAATGTGCCCCATAGTCTCAAATATTTGAGTACTTTGTCCCTAGTTGGTGGCACTGTTTGGAGAGGTTATAGAGGTGCAGCCTTGCTGGAGAAAGTACATCACTAGAGCAGGCTTTGAGCATTTATAGTCTTGCCCTGTTGCTGTCTTTTTCCTGTGTGCAGATGAAATATAGTCTGTTTTCTCATCCTTCTGCTATGCCATGCCTTCCCTGCTGTGATGGACTCTATTCCCCTGCAACCTCAAGACAAACTAACCCTTTTCATCCTTAAGAGGGTCATGGTATTTTATCACAGACAAGAAAAGTAATATACACCATGTATTTCATTTAATTTCTAATATTAACAGATATTCCAAGGTGAAACTTAAATATCAATAAGGTGAGAACTGAGCAGGAAGAACCAAAACATGAGAAAGGAAAAGAGAAAATTACTAGAAAAGAAATACAGGCAACCACAAGACAGCAGCTTTTAACAAATACAAGGGCAAATCAGAGAATGTCTCTTGCATTAATAAAGACATCTCAAAATTTAGTCTGATAAGCCCTACATCCACAACTCTGAATCATTATCTATGTGTTTTTAGAAGTTACTATAATGATAAATCTGTAAGTACAGTTTACAAGACAGAAATATGGAAATGCTGAACACAGGCAGGGATGTGGAATGTTCCTTCATTCAAGAGAGCTCTTAGATACTGATGACATCGTGCTGATCTTGTCTCAACTCACAGCATCAGAATTCAAATCTCCATTTCTGCCTTCAGACTACACAGTGTTACCAACAAACTAGATGCCTCTTCCATGGATGTGTTAAAACTGCCTTTTCTTCCCCTGAACATGTTTGGCAAGTAACTGCCTAGAAAATAAGCACCTTTACTGTATCACACTCATCTCTGTCCCAAGAAGTCCATGTGACATCCAGAATACTCTACAAGTTTCTTTTTTATTTGTGCAAAATGAGAAGTTAGCATACCATACCCCTGGACCTGAAGAGACTGGGCTAGAAAAGAAAGGATTAGGATGAACCTAGCTAAGTACACCAAGTTAAATACAGACTCAAATACTAGATCCTGCACCAACTCTGATGCAAAGAAAGCATTCTTCCCAGAGTCCAGGTGGTGTTTAGCTGTGTGTGGAGGCAGTGTGGCCTTTCTTAGTGCCGGGGAACCTCACAAGGGATGGACATGAGTTCCTGGGCCATCACAAATATTACATATGAAAGTCTTTCCGTATCTTGCATCTCTCACCTGTAGCCGTGTGTGACTGTGACACAGGGTAGAGCCTTTCCATTCTGAGAAAAGGGTTCATGCGCTTTTCCCGCTGCAGAGGGAAAACCACTTTGGTAATAGCATTACTGATTCTTCTCCATTCCAGTATCAGGCCTGGTAAAGGATGGAAGGCCTTTAATTTATTTAAAACATCCTGGAAAGAAATATAACAAAGTGAAGGCTGGAATCTTGCCAAATACAATGGCAAATCAGAGAATGTCTCTTGCATTAATAAAGACATCTCAAAATTTAGTCTGATAAGCTCTACATCCACAACTCTGAATCATTATCTATGTGTTTTTAAAAGTCACTGATAAATCCGTAAGTACAGTTTACAAGACAGAAATATGGAAATGCTGAACACTACCAATTTATAGCTACCTTTAAAAGACACTATCAATGGAGTATCAGTTTCACAGAGCATCCACCTCCCCATACCCAAGAGTTACATCATCTTTCCTTTGTAGTTTTCCTTCTCCATCTGTCACTGATTAGAGGCATTAGTAGTCTTCCCTCTTGCCCTGATACAGGGTTTCCACATCAAGAAAATCAGGAGGCATTCATTTAAAAGTAGGTATTGCTATGCCATGGCCCTTAACAACTAGAAAATAAGGCATCAAAAGGACCAGCCAGAGTAACAAAATTGTTCTAGGAAACAGAGTGTGGACGCTTTCCAAGGCAGATGAATTGGTATTAAAGATGTCAGGGTCAAAATTCCACAGAAGGAACTGGACAACTTTCCACAACCTATGTGGCTATATTTTTCTAGCCCTGTTTTCCCAATGGAAGTTAGTAAGTAAGCCAAGCACATCTTTCCCTACCTTGAATTAATGCAGTATCTACAGATAATCACTAGCAAAATTCCTTTGAAAATGACAGATTAAAAGTCTTAAAACAAAGCCATTGAAAATGTATTGTTTTTCTTGAAACTGAAAAAAATTTTTTTGCTATAACACTTTTTGTTTTCATACAGAACACAAAATCAAATTCTACTAACCACCATACTGGATAATAATGAACAATGTCTACAGGTATGAGCTCACAGACAGCCACACTGTTTCATAAGAACAGAGATGCTAATTCAAATTACAGCCTTGGTTCCCATGCTGCAACCCCCACAAACCATTACAGGGTTCTGAACCACCAGCCAAACTGCTTGCTTGAATCTGGGTAAATTCATGTGGTGCCCTATGGTGGCTCTTGATGTCATCAGCACTTTTTCAGGACATCAAAAAGCTAAAAGCAGTTCAAATTTTGCCCTGTGAGTACCCACAAGCACCTTGCTAGTGCTGAACCGTCTTCCCAGCCTTAGTTTGTGGCCATTCTCATTGCCTCTTCTGGTAGAACCCAAAGTTTTTTTGCTGCCTTGAATTTTCATCTCTCCATTTGGTGGTAGTTTCAGTTCCAAAAATAAAACCTGCAAAATTAATATTTTGTCATCAAATGGCAAGTACTGTCACTCAGAAACTACTTTTTAACAGTTATTTGAGAATATAAACTCTACAATTTAGCATGGGGATTGGAAGGATGTTTCTTTGGGCAATCACTTTAAGGCACATCTGTCCCTGAGTTGGAAGCTATCAGGAGACCTTTACAAAAGCACAGGCAAACATGCCTCCCGCTAAGCACGGACAGCAAAGCTACTGACGCTGAGGCTTGGTTTGCTCTGACAACTGTGTGCGCTCCTAAAGGCCTCTTGAAGGACAACTCACGTGACTACTGCATTTAACCACCACAGTGCTAATCAGGAAAGCCACCTGACTGCAGTATGCCACTGCATCACAGAAGTTCCTAGACACAAAAGCTAGAAGGTGGTTAGGCCAGTGTGGCAATAATAAAGACTAATGAGTCGCCTACACAGGCAAGGGTCCCATGTAACCAAACCCCCACTAACTCAAATTAGAGGGGCTTAAAGTTAGGTAATTCAGAACCTTATTTACTATGTTTACCAATTTGCTTATATAACTTGAACAGCTTTTAATGAATCTTGAACTTTTTTCCCAGTAATAATTCCCAAAATGGAAACAACTTACTTAAGTACAAGATTTTTTTTCCCCACAAGTTGGCCGTGGAGAAGAGACAACAATACCCCTGTGCTTCTCAAGGAATGACAAAAACTAACGTATGTTCCAGTTTACAATAGTAGCAGTAGCTGGCATCCTGGAAATGGCAGGTATTGAGGCTTACAATATAGGTCAGTAACTACTTATCCTCAAATTTTGTGTTATACAATTATGAATACATACAATGCATATGGATTATGGTTGCCACATCTAGCAAGTAAAATTACAGAATAACTGGTTAAATTCTAACTGCATAGAACATAGTTATACTAAAAAAAATTTAGTATAGGTATATGAATGACAGGATAGGAGAAAAAATGATATGAGTGAACAGGAAATGTGGAATATTTATCAACATTCACCAACAATCCTAGAAGAGATGAACCACACAAAAATCACACATTATCTATTTAGTTCTTTATTGTAAATTTCTCTCTTGGGTGAAACTTTCAGAATAAACTGTGAAAATTTCATATACAAAATTACCTACCTCATTTTAAAACCAAGACCTAGGCAGTAGCCAATAGCATCAAAAGCCTGCTCTCACTTGAAGTTCGGTCTAGTGAGCAGCTGGTAAATACCCACTCAAGAAACCAGGCATACACAGGCAGGGATCCCATGTGACCTAAAGGTTCACCTGCTTTGGTTTCTGAGTCATAAATCCATGTTTGCTTCACCCCATGCACTGAAAACTACACATTCTGTTTTTGGTAAGTGTCCTGTATAATTCTGTACACAGTCTACTGTGTATACAGTTGAAGGCTTCTGGGCTACAGAATTCAAAAACACATGCATGTGTGTACATACACACACACACACACACACACTCTCTCTCTCTCTCTCCATAAAGAAAGCCTTGAAAGCACTGCTGAACCCAATACAGATAAAGTTCTCATGTTCTTTAAAATACAAAGCTCTCTAGACTAATGAACATTTTCTTTATTAGGATTTATAACATTTATTGATCATTTAACATCTATGTGATGTTCACTAAGTATATATTTTACATTTATCATTGTCACAACCTTATGAAGCATTTTTAATCACATTCCCATTTCACTGATGAAAAAATAGAGACATAAGGAGTTGATATATTAACTCCTCAACCCAAGGTTGTGCAGCTGACTAACAAATGGTGGAGGCAGAATTCAAAGCCAGAAGTCAGTCAGGCTCTGCAGCCTGTGATCTTGACTAATTGTTACATTACTGAATTACTTGCAAAAGCAGAACAATTGGTTCTCTCCAGTGTATGAATGCTCCTCCAACACTCCCCTCACCCCCCAGCTAACTCCAACTACCCTTTACAGGGAAAGAATATGGTGAGAGGAGAAAACAGAAAGACTACCAAGCTGTAAAAATAAAACAGGAGTAACTTTGCCAATATTTCATTAAAGTTACAAAAACCTTAAATCAGGGTTTAAAAAGGTCACAAAAAAATCTTTTTATTTACATCCCAGAACAATATCCAATTTCCCTTTCTGGACAAATATGTTGGAGCAAAGAAAGGGGTGAGGGCTTATGAAGGAACTAGCATCACGAAGTCACAGCTACACTATAGTAAACTGCCACCAGCAACTACAGAGCGATGGCTACTCAGAGAATGCCTCCCCTGATTCAGGCAAATTTGGAGCAACATTCAAGCCTCCTTTACACCCTTATCTCAGAATACAGATACAACTCCTTACTTGGCACTACAACACTATCCCCAATGCATTCTACTTATTTTACTAAGTGCTGGTACTTAGAAATGTACAGAAAGATAGGCTGTGACACAGGTCATTTTAACTCCAAAAGTTCCTCCCAGTTGTCTAGTTCCAAGACACTACCTGTGCGATGTCATCTGCACTGGTAAAGGAAAAGCTGTGGCCAGCTAGCTGATAGGCCTGAGTCTCAATGGCGTCCAGCTTGGCTTGCATGATATGCTTCTGACTTTCGCATTCTGCAGTACTAAAGCCAATTCCATTCAGTTCTAGCAAGGCCAAACAGTACTGGGAAGGCATCTCTACTTTACAGAAAATATCTGAAAGGAAAAATGGAAATTTAATGGTAAATTTAATAACCTGAGCAATTGGTCCATCAGCATCAATCAGCATCACTGAAACCACCCACAACTGCTCAAACAATCTACAGCAGTTACACAAGCTGTCATTCAAACTAAGAACAGGTGGCCAAACCAATGGAAGGCAACAAAGGATAAGTCACTTAAGCACTAGGTGCCACACCTGTCTGCAAGAGTAGAAAAGCTGGCAATGCTGTAAGCAGTCTGGACTAGAAGAAATTTCTTCTAAGACTTAGAAAGCAGTCTCTGGTCAAACCAATGTACAAGAAAACAAGACTACTGTATCCCAGGCACCTTCATGGTCCCTTGCCAATATTTTTTTGTATACTCTCGGTGGGAAAAGGCCAGCTGTCAGAACAGATCCACCCAAGAGACAAGAGGATAAGAAGAGAATCTGGAGGTCACTAAACTAAACAAGCATATCCTGAAATAACTGGGCTTTTTTTCAGATTTTATTTTTATTTATTTTTAATTATATGTATGTGTCTGTGTGTGGGTATCTGCAGGTATGTGCTGATGACTGGAAAGTACCCTGGGACCAGAAGAAAAGTGCTGGCTCTAGAGCTGGAGTGACAGGTTCTTGAGTTACAGGTTCTTGACTTGGGTGCTGGGAATTGAACTCAGGTCCTCTGCAAGAACAGCAAGCACTTTTAACCTCAGAGCCATCTCTCTAGTCCCAAAGTAATAATTTATAAGCATATTTTAATCGCTTCCCACATTGCCTCCAAAATCTTCCCCTTTCTCAGGAAACTTTAATTCCATAGGCCCTATGACCGTGAAAGCCTTAGCACTGTAGCAAACACACCCAGCACTCCCTTTCACCTATCTTTTAAACCACATAGGAGTAAGGCACTTTTAGGGTACATTTAAATAATCAAAGTTAAAAACAATAAATTTAGAGTCTTCTTGTACTTTGCTTTCTCACTGATAGTAAGTGATCTTAAAGGATAGAACAGTACTCTCTAGAAAGATTATAACTTCTTGAGCACCTGCAAGGAAGGCACTCTATCACTGCACTCCACCACTGAACTGCGGCTCAGTCCTTGGGCTTTTAACATAATTTTTTGATTGAATCTTTGGCAATTTCACATCATGCACACCAATCCTACTCATTTCCATATGCTTTCATATCCATCTTTGTAACCTCTCCCCCTCAAAAGAAAATAAAAATTAGAAAAGAAAAAACCGGGGTCAAGGGAGGAGGGGAGGGAGAGGGAGCTGGGATTGACATGTGAAGCAAGCTTGTTTCTAAATTAAATTTTTAAAAAAAGGAAGAAAAAAAAAAACAAAAGAAAAAACCAACCAATCAACTAGTCAAACAAAAAGCTATCTCTGCTCTTCTGGGCAATGACCGCCCGCTCCTCTATCAGCCCCAGCCTTCTGTGCGCCACCACTCTACTCCTCCATCTTTCCACATCTCCATCACATATTCACTCATCTTAGTGGACAGGAAGCTGCAGTATCTCATACAATATACCCTTTTGCCCAAACAGCTTTACTGGCAAATGTCCATTGTAATGAGTAGTCTAGTTCAAGGCCTCTGACTTCTGCTATGCCATCAATACCAGACTCTGAGATACCCTGTTGCTGCCTTGAGTCATGGAGATCCTGTGGCTATAGGTCCCCAGGACCAATCCCTTCATGCACACTAGCAGCTCATAGGTGGGGGAGATGTTGGGGTGGGCCAACTCAAAGCCCTGGATCTGGGTGGTAGCTAAGTTACTCAGCCCATCAGCTCTCCCCTACACACATCACCAGGGTCAGCTTTCCCGCTGGTCAGGAGAGGGGCAAGGCCAGCTTTCCCACATCTACTTCACCCTCACCACTTGCAACACCGTGCAGTGGCCAGTAAGGGCCAGAGCCAGCTCAGCAAGGCCCTTGGACATCAAAATGGCTTCAGGCTGCAGTACAGACCACAGACAGCTGCACAGCCTTTGGTGGTAACACAGGCTACTGACATCAACACTGGCCCCGGCTGTGGTAGGACCATGGATCTAGACATGGCCCTCAGCAGTAGCACACACAGGCCTAGACATCACCATGAACTTGGGTGGCAGTGCAGGCTTCTATCATCAGGCTATTCCTCATCTGCCTTTCTTCATAGCACACAAACTGTTCCACTTTTTCCTCTCCCATCTCTCTATCACATACTTGCTCGCTTCTGGCATTTGACCACCCAATCCTTGGATTTTTTGAGACAAATTCTCACTACATAGTTCAGGAGAGACTCAAATTCACTATGTAGCTCAGCCTGGCCTCAAAATCCAGACCTTCCTACTTCAGACTTCCAAGTGTTTGTTATTACAGCAAGTGCCTCCAGAACCCAGCTTATAATTCAAATAGTTAATGTCTAAAAATGACAGATCAAGACTCTAGCATGATCTTCACAAGTCAGTAGAAATGACATTCTCCAGGTCTACTGCCCTGAGGCAGATGGCCAGAGATGAGACAGGAGCTGTGATGAGCTTAAAGAGGCTGAGGTATATTAAAAAAAAAAAAAAAAAAAAAAAGCTCCTTGCCTCCTTGCTACATGGGAGCTGCTAGTGAATATTACTTCAGAAGAACATCCTCTATAAACACAGTAGTCAATGTAGACTCAGTCTCTATGACCCTGCCCTGTGGTGCTGGGAAAACAAGAGGCTTTGTGGTAGAGGTAAAATAACAAGTGTAACAATAAGATCAACTATGCCTCCTTGATCTTTACATTGATCTTCCTAAGAACCAGACAAGAAGACTTTCACTAGTTTGTTGCAGCTTCTTGTCTAGTAAATGAGGCAGCCCCAATTCAAGCCATACATGTTTAGCACATTGCTCTGCTGTTTCTGGTTACCTGTGGATCAGTTTTAAAATCTCATTATATAATTTCCTAATATAGAAGACAACTTTGATCCCTTCATCATCTTCATTATATATCATTTGTTACACTCTCTCAAATCAAGAAGTCTATCCTAGGCCAGCAGACTTCTCCACAAATCCATTGTGCCTTGAGAGAAAAGGAGACTCACATAACTTTCCTTTACTAAAGAAACTATCAATAGCTCTAAAAAGAAAATGGTTCAACTTTTAAATTATATGAAAGATCTGTTATAGGAATAAAATCATCTGCTAAAATTCAAACATATAATTGTCAACAATTGAATATGATGCCACTAATTCTAATCACTATAAGGCCAGAGGCCAGCAGATTATGGTGGAATGAGCACCAGACACATGCTTTGCAAGTAAATTCTTGGAAGACAGCATAACATTTAATATGACCATAGCTTCTCTAGTGATCACCATCAGACTGAGGACTTGTGACAGACACCATGCAATCAAAAGTATTTACTATCTGGCTTTTCACAGGAGCAAACAAAACAAATGAAAAAACCCTCGGTTTGTTGACTTCCTCAGTAGGTAACCTAGAGAATTTGCATAAAATGTGTAATTTATCCAACTGTGACCCAAGAATGGCTAATGACATATATATATTATCCCAGCCTATAACATAAAATGCCATGAACTCTACTTTTACCGTAAAGGTTTTCCTTCTGCAACAAAGAGTTGAGTTGATTCATGGAGTTGAAGATGAGAATGGATTCCACAGATGCTCTGTACCGCCCAGAATGCTCAGTGTTCACATTTAGCCCCAGGCTCTGAATCCCTTGGCCCGTCTCTATTCCTTCTAGCAGTGGAAGCTCCTGGGGGAGGAAACTGGTCACTATGCTATGGAGAGTTGGCTCCTTAGAGTCTGGATCGAGAAGCCAGCATGCCACCTGAATGAGACAGCAATCAGACAGTTTGCTTGGGATTTTTCAAAGCCATCTTTTGCATTTTTACATTAAAAGGGGAAGACAGTAAATTCATTATAATTTAATGCATTCCCATTTAACACCATTTAGTGGTCTTTCCATCCCTGTGGTTCTCTGGCTGGCCTGGTTCCGAAGCAGGTTTGAGAGCGAAAGACCTCTCAGTTAAACGAAGGCCAGTGTCTAGGCATGAAGATGAAGTCTTCTCTATTCTGACTGATTCAAACTAAGCTACATAAGAAAGATGTGCCTCTGTGGTGTTAGGTTTACTTAGCTCTTCTTGTTTCTTTGTTTGCTTTTTGAGACAGGGTTTCTCTGTTTAGCCCTGGCTGTCTGGGGCCCACTCTGTAGGCCAGGTTGGTTTCAAACTTACAGAGACCCACCTGCCCCTGCCTCCTGAGTGCCAGGACTAAAGGTATGTACCACCACTGCTTGGTCTACTCAGCTCTTTCAACATCAGAAGCCATGCATACAAGGTTTATCATTAAAAGTTAAGTTTCCAGGGGTTGGGAGAGAGTTTAGCTAGTAAAGTGCCTGCTATGAAGGCATGAGGACCAGAGTTCCATCTCCAAAATGCAGGTAAAAGCTGAGAGTGGTGGTATCACTTTCAATCTCAGCACTGGGGAAGAATAGACCCGGGGCCTGATGGCCAACCAATCTACCTATATGATAAGCCATGGGTCCTGAAGAGAGACACTATCTCACAAAAAAAAGTGGGAAGCTCCTGAGAAATGACACTGGAGGTTAACGTCTGACTGACCTTCATATGCACATCTCTATCTCTCTCTCTCTCTCTCTCTCTCTCTCTCTCTCTCTCTCTCTCTCTCTCTCTCTCTCTCTCTCTCTCTCTCTCTCTCTCTCTCACACACACACACACACACACACACACACAGAGTTATCATCCAGAGTGCCAGAAAGCCTTTCCTCCGAAGTAGAAGTCTCTCACCACAACAGCTGGTCATTTGATTGCTATTTTTAGCTTCCACTAGGAAGCCTGTAGTTTCTAATACTAGAACTAACAGATCATGAACTGGATTTATATATAATATGCAAATCTAAGCTTCTGAATCCTTTCAAAAATTATGATGACACAGTTATTTCTTCTGTATGTTAAGAATAAAATTTTGAGAAAGAAACGGTGGCTGACAGCAGAAGTCCTAGCGCCCAGGAGGCTGAGGCAGGAAGAATGCTACGAATGAGGCAAGCCTGGACTATATGGTGAGTTAGACTAAGCTACAGAGTGAAATCCTGTCTCAAAAAAAGAAGAAAAAAAGTTTTATGTGGGAATACTGAATGAGAGAATTTGACATAAAATTACTATTTATTTTTAAATGATATAATGTAAATAGTTTATCATCTTATATCAAAATACTATGGGTAATTAAATAATGAATGGAATATTCCAAGTAGTATAAGGCTTAAATCTAGAATGCTACTATAGCTATAATGAGAGACTCGTATCATCCATATTCTTGTTTGGATTCCAGAACATCAAAATTAAATGATAACTTTTATCTAGTAAACATCAGTTTACCATCTTTGTAATCCTCTCCACCCAAAACACAAAACACAACAAAAGCCTAGAGAGAAACTATGACAATTGGTGGAGATAACCTAGTGGCAGAATGTTTACAAAATGCTGAATTCAATTCCCACCACTCTATTAAAAAAGAAAGGTACCTTGTCCATACCTACTGTGGATCCCACAGACCATGTCCCCTGGCCTTCCCTTTCCCTAGTCTCCAACACCAGCAAGTACTCCCAATGAACATACCAGTCAAACAGGTCACTAAAACCAGATAACACTCAACCAACACACTCTGAAAATCCAGAGAGGAAAGAAAACCAAGGAACAATATAACCACCCAACAAACACAAAAATCAGCACCTAGACCTATAATCACCACAAACCCAGATGCCTAGATGCCAGCTTAAGAACACAGTAACAGCCAAGCCAATATATCTCCACCAGGGCACAGCTACACTACCTACCACAGCAAGTCCTGAATATTCCAATATAGATAGCTAAAGCACAAGAAAAAGACCTTAAAACCAACTATATAAAGATGATACAGGTCCTAAAAGAGGAAATTAGTAAATCCCCTAAAGAAATCCAGGAAAACACAAACAAAATTTTGAAGAAATGAATAAATCCTTCAAATAAAACAAGCAAGACACAAATAATTGGAGGAAAGGAATAAATACCTTAAAGAAAACCAAGAAAAACAAACAGTTTAACACATGAAAATGGAAATAGAAGCAATAAAGAAAACGCAAACTCAGGGAATTCTGGAAATGGAAATTGAGGAATGTGAACAGGAACTATAGAGGCAAGTTTCACTAACAGAATAAAAGGGATAGAAGAGAGAATCTCAAGAGTTGAAGACACAATGGAAGAAATAGATTCACAAGTCAAAGAAAATGTTAGTCTAAAATATTCCTGACACAAACATGCAAGAAATCTGGGACACTATGAAAAAAACAAAACCCAAGAGTAATAAGAATAGAATAAGGCACTAGAAGGAAAAATCCAACTTATGAAGGTTAACTATACCCATGAAAATACCGGCAATAAATAACCTCATACCAGTAAAATCAAAAGAAGGGAAGCACAGAGATCACCACCACCAATAACAACAAAATAACAGGAATTGATGATCAGTTGTCATTGATATTTCTCAACATCAGTGGCCTTAATCCCCTAATAGAAAGACACAAACAGAATGGAAGCAAAAACAGGATCCATCCTGCTGCTGCATACAAGAAACACACCTTAACATCTAGGATAGACATCACCTCAGAGTGAAGGGTTAGAAAAGATACTACAAGCAAATGGACCTAAGAAGCAAGCTGGTATAGCCATTTTAATATCTAACAAAATAGCCTTCAAACCAAAATTAATCAAAAGAAATGGGGAAGGATACTACATACCAAGATGACATTTCAATTCTTTTTTTTTTAAGATTTATTTATTATGTATACAGTGGTTTGCCTACATGCATGCCATACACCAGAAGAGGGCACCAAATCTCATTATGAGCCACCATGTGGTTGCTGTGAATTGAACTCAGGACCTCTGGAAGAGCAAGCAGTCAGTGCTCCTAACCTCTGAGCCATCTCTCCAGCCCCCAACATTTCAATTTATTTACAAGGGCTGGAATCAGTAAAATAGAAACAAAGAGAATAATACAAGGAATCAATGAACCAAAGTTGCTTCTTTGAGAAAATTAACAAGACAGATAAACTAACTAAAAAGATGGAAAGAGACTATATAAATTAGCAAAATCAGAAATGAAGAGGCAGATATAACAAGAGACACCAAGGAAATCCAGAAAATCACAAGGACATACTTTTAAAACATGTACTCCACTGAATTGAAAATTATACAAGAAATGGATAATTTTCTTCATAGGTACCACTTACCAAAATTAAGATCAGATAAATAATTTAAATAGACCTACAACACCTAGTGAAATAGAAGCAGTCATTAAGTCTCCCAACCCAAAAGAGTCCAGGGCCAGATGGTTTTAGCACAGAATTCTACCAGAGTTTCAAAGAATTGATGCTAATATTCTTCAAATCAGTCCACAAAATATAAACAGAAGGAACGTTGTCCAATTCATTTTATGAAGCCACAGTTATCCTGATACCCAAACCACATAAAGACTCAACAAAGAAAGAAAATCTCCCTTGTGAACATACTTAAAAATACTCAATAAAATACTTGTGAATCTAATAGAAGACGACATCAAAAAAGTCATGCATGAAAAAGTAGCCTTCATCCCAAAGATGTAGGGATTGTTCAGCATACAAAAGTCAGTAAATGTAATCCACTATATAAATAAACTGAAAGGAAGAAAACACACACGCACACGCACACACACACACACACACACACACACACACACACGATCATTTCATCAGATGCCAAAAAAGCCTTTGACAAAATCCAGCACTCCTTCATGATAAAAGTTCTTGAAAGACTGGGGATAAGAGGAATATATATAAACATAATAAAGGCAATTTACAGCAAGCCTATAGCCAACATCAAATTAAATGGAGGGATATTCAAAGCTAAAATTCTAAAAGAAAAATATCCCTTTATATTTGACATTTTGCTAATAACTGTTAAAATAGTAAGTATCATTTTCAACTTTGATAGCAGCACATGTAGAGAAATGGTGTATCTTTAAGTAATCTCGATAAGGCAACTGATTTAAGTATCAAATGTATACTATAGTAATGTAAGCTACCCCTCCTTGATGACTGAGCATCATAAAGGAACATCACACTTTGCTATTGTGCAAAACTGTTCTCAGGGACTAGTAATGTTATTGATCTCTAAACACTTAAGCGCACTCCCTTTTGACATCTTATATCTATGCATAGCTCCTATATTCTCTTACCTTCACAATATTTGAAAACTCTTGGTATCATCCTCTTAAACCAAACAGTTCACATTTCACTTCTAATTTACTGTGGTATAAAAATTCATAGCTTATAACCAAAACTAAAGGCCTTCTTTTTAATCTCTGAGGAAGAACATGACCTTTAATATTTAGAATATTTGATATTTCTGTGTTCACCCACAGATGCATTTGGTACACAATGATATATTCTGGGTGGATGAGACATTAAACTGCTGAAGCTAAGGACATGTATAGTTAACCCTAAGCATTAACGATGCTGCAGTCTATAAAGTTACATGTAAGACAGAACCTTGGGATCTTCATAACTGGGTTCCAGGGAGACACCACAGGACAGGAGGAGGACTTTATAGCTCTGGATGAAGTCATAGGTGACCACAGTCCGCTCTTTGTCAGATTTCTTTTGCAAGCAGGATTGAAGGTGCTCCATCCTCTCTTCCACAGTCAATGTTGTATCCAGAGGAGGTGGGGCCAAACTGGGACTAATTTCTTGGAAGAGAAACAGTCTTAATGTAGAAATTACTCATTCATTTGAAGCAGTAGTCTTTAGTGGAAAGACTGAAAAAGAGTCAGAAATCCAAGGATCTGATTCCAAACAACTGCTTGGTCAAGTCATAGCAACTATGTGATAAAGTACTTCATAAACTAAATGGTGGTTTAGACTAGATTTATAGTGTTTTATTTCATTAGGTGGGTAAAAATTCTAGGTACCAAGATTTCTAATAATAAAATTATATTTTCAGAACAGAGTTCAAGAAGTAACATACACTGTTGTATCAAAAATAAAAGGAGTTCAAGTAGCTACTCAGCTAACACACTGCTGTCTGAGAGTGGAAAGATCTCACTGAGGAGCTGACACTGTATGCCATCCTTCCTGAATGCCGCTGTCCCAACTGCGGAGCAACAGACTATGTAATCAGATCCCAAGGTATTTCTAGATTGCATCCTTCCCTTCCAAAGGCTCCTCTAACAGTCTCAGAATTCAGCAACCACCTTTCTCTAGCTCAGCACTGCCCTGGATGAACTCTAGAAAGAGCAAGAAGAAACTGCTACAGTCTATTGTTAAGGCTTCCTATAGCAGGCAGTAAGGAGCAAAGAGGTGTTTCTGAAAGTATTTATTCTGGTCTGTAGGCATGGCTCTAGGTAAGAACACTTGTCTAGCAGTACAGGGCTCTGGGATCAGTTCCCAGCACAACAGGAAAGGAGGACTAGAAGGAGGGTATAAGCAAGGGCACAGTGAAACCACCAAACTAGTCCATCCATGGGCAGAAAGGAAGATTTACCGGGGATTCAAACTGCTAGGCTATCTGTTAGGGCAGAGAACAACAAAAAAGTGGGAAAAGGTTTGTCAGTTTTAAGAGGATGGGGGGGGGGGAGTGCCCGCCAGAACAGCCTGGAAACTAGGAAGGGGAGGGAACGGGCTTGCTAGTTGCAGGCTTGAATCAATTGCAAACTAGATGCCCATTACCAGAGGCAGTTGCCTATAGGGGACAGGTAAGAAGTATTGGCTTTCCCTGACAAACAGAAACCCAAGATGTCTGAGGAATGCTGGAATGCTGAATTTAGGTTTTTGTTTACCCAGAGTCCAGCCTGAATTGAGCCCAGACTGTCATTTTTAGAACACTGGCAATGACACTGCCATTTCTGGGGCCTACTTTGGACCCAAAAGAGGGACAAAAGGAGGGAAAGAGAAATTCAATCTCATTAGTATGTATGGTTTTTCATACATTAGCTATTCTCTTAATAAATATTTTTAATCCTAAAAATAGTCTATGTAATGTCTGCAAATTATTCTCAAATATTTTTTTAAAAATCTCAAAAAAAAACAAAACAAAACAAAATAACTCCCTTAATAGATGGCATAGAGCATATGTGACTTAGCCAAGTGCCAATGACTTACCGGAATGCTTTTGTTCCTTCTGCAGTGACAAGTAATAGGCATCCCTTCCACCCCAGCACACTGCTAGTCCAACTACCACGACACCATCAGAGCCATGGACAGGAAAGCCATCTTCTTCAGCAGAGGTCTCCTGAGGGGAGCTAACTAAAGGAATCCAAAGTAAAACTGTCAAAAACTCCAACATTCAGGCATCAAGCAAACTATTAAAACTATGATAACCAAAGCCTTTACTTCAGCCATCATGATGGTATATAATTTATAATCTCAGCACTTGGGAAGAGGAGGCAAAATGATTATAAACTCAAGGCCAGCCTGGGCTATCTGACCAGACTCAGTCCCCAAAATATGCAAGCCAACAAACAGTCTGCTTATCCTAGCTAGGTTTCCAATGCTGTGACAAGCACCATGACTCAAATGAGAGGGTTGGTTTCAGCTTACTGCTTATGATCTATTGCGAAGGGAAGTCAGGACAGGAACTCAAGACAGGAATCAGAGAAAAGACCATGGAGGAACAATACTAACTGGCTTGCTCCTCATGGTTTGCTCAGCCTGTTTCTTATACCACTCAGAAAGAACCACCTGCCCAGAGGTGGACCAGCCCAATGGGCTGTGCCCTCCTACATCACCCAGGTGTTTTTTTCAGTTGAGGTTCTGTTTCTCAGATAACTCTAGCTTATGTCAAGATGACAAAAATTGGTTAGCACAATACTTGGTGAGCAAAAAATATACAACTGTAAAAAATGGATTATTTGGGTGATCATTTTCAGGTGTATGTAAGCTTTTAGATTTCACATCAATTAAGACACCCGTGACCATGAAAACAATGCACCACAGCTTGCCTAAAATAGATCTATAATGACTAAGGAGGAACCACTAGGTAAAAAAGCTATTTTTCAAGTTTCTATAACAAATAAAGACCATATGCACATACACACTCACACACACCTTTATAACATTCACCAATTCTTAGTCAAAAGGACAAAGAGTTTTATTGTGAGCAATTAAGCATAACTTTTGTATTTACAGTCAACATATTTTTCTAAATTAACATCTACTTCCAAAGGTCAAAAACAAACAGATCTAATTTACAATTATAATCTCAATACCTGGAAGATACTGGTACATAGGAAGACAATACATACTTACTAAGTTTAAGTGAACTTATGTCTCCATAAGAAGTTCGATATAGAACTTGGGCTCAAATTTTATGCTTGATGGATTGGGAATAGAAAATGCTATACACTAAGAGCACATAGAATCTACCATTCACACATATGCTCCAAGGACTGAAGGTCAGACAAATACTAGCACCTTAATGATAAACACATAAATACAGAGCTTTATGAAATCTAATCAAACCTCTGATTTCCACAACAGATTGGCAAGCTGACTAGGGTTACTTCCCAGTTACAGAGCAAGATGTTCAAGGCATCATTTGACCAAAAGTTCAACTCTGTAACCCTGAAAGGCTCTGGAAGGACTCAGAACCAGCACTGCAGTATAGTTTCATCAAGAGGGATAAAACTTGAGATAATTTCTGGAAAGTTCAGCTACAGTACCCATCTACTTTTATAATGAAGTAGGAGCAATTTGTGAGTACTAATGACTAATAAAAACCACTTGTAAATTAAGGCACCTTAAAGTATGATGTTATCCAAAACATATATTATTTTAATGAATTTTACATACGCTACATAGACCTCTTATAATGGAGGGCAATTATTAGGGACTAGCTAAGCCAAATAAACAAAAGCTACACATATATCGATTTAGATTATTAAGTGGACATACTCATTCAATTTGAATAAGTTATATATAACATCTAAAATTTAAAAATTAACTCTCTTTACCAATGCAGAAAAATTTTAAAAATCCTTACCTTGCTTCAACCTTCCCCCTATAGTAGTGGTTTTGGAAGATGTTGGACTTCTAATCTTTTCACAAGCCAGAGAGATGGAAAAGCGCTTTTGGCATTGCCACTCCTTCACAAACGTCTGAAACAGAGTGTGGTCACTTGCTACATCAATTATGGCCAAGCTTTCGGAGATGCACGAGGCTGGAGTTGGCTGCAGTTCATCCTGAGAGAACTGCAGAGAAAAACTAGTATCTCCAACTGAACCATCGTCTTTGGAGCTGTCTCTATGCTCTTGACTATCTGAAGGAGAGCCAAATAAACATCTTTCACCTGGCAGAAAAACACTGTCAGCTTTCTGATGGTTTACAGATGTTCCAAGAATCTCTGGAAATGGCATCTTAGACGCAGAAGCAAGAATGGGTGTAGGAGGAATGAGGCCATTGTCATCAGCTGTGTCACTTTCTTTACAAGCTGAGGGATATAAGGTCCCACCATGCCTGGTGTTATTCCCTACCCCCTCATTCCTGTTTTGAACTTCATTACTGAGAATAAGTGAAGTTCTCTGAACTTGAATGGTCTCCAAATTTGGATTCATTTCCTGTCTCTCATTTAACTCTGTGCCGTTTCTTTCAAAACAAGATAAACTTGCCTGTGTTAATTTGGGTCTTTCATTTTCTAGAGGACTAGACCCTTTGTCTAAAATTCTTTGCAGTTCTGGACTTAAGTCAAATGATGCTCCTGACCAAGCGAATGAATTATCTTGATTTGTCTCAGTGAGTTTGGATATTTGGGCCCTTTCAATTTTATCTCCTCTGACCACTTTTCCTTGAGGACACTCATCACCCAGCATTGCAGAATCACTGAGTTCTAATGTCTTAAGGGCTACTGAGTTACAATTCTCTTGGATATGAAATGCGGACATATTGTCCAAGGCTTCAATCATCTGAGCAGAATCCACCTCTGAAAATATAGCAGATTCACCACTGGAACAAGCCACCTGTCGCTGAATACCCTGATGTTCGTTCACATTTGCCTTCACGACTGGGTCTTCTGGTGGGCACGGAGAACTGCTGAGATGGCTTAGTGTCATTTCAGAAAAGAGGGGCTGCTTTGCCTGTACATCAGGTGACTGTCCTTTTACTAAGCCATCTTCACCAAAACTGTCAAATAGTATACTGTCACTCATATTCAAACTGGTTTCAGGCAGATTTTCTTCCTCCAAACCAGTAGGAGTTCCCACTGGAGGAGCCAGAGGTTGTACTGGTTTAACCATTTCTTGTGTTTCAAAACCCTGAAGAAAACTGTTTAGCTGGGAATCAGTAACAGACTGCTCATTCGCTCTAAAGCAAGGGCCATTTTCCCCCTGTGGTGTTGGAGAGTGGAAAATGATGCTTTCTGGAGTTAGTCTACCAATGCCCTTTTCAGGGTTCTGTTTTGTGGTCTCCACACTCTTGCTGTCCAAACGGTCTGTGTCAGCTGCTCTTTGGAAGTGCTGATCATCTCGAGTACTGTGACACTCGTTCTGAAATAAGCTCCCTGAGTTCCCAGTGTCAGAGTCCTTCTCTGTTGCCACCATTGTTCTTTGCTTGGCATGTTCAGTTGCCATCTGTTCAATTATTTTCTCTGACTGAGTATCCAGATAGAAGCTATCTCCAAAGTCACAGGGGGCTAGGTTAGAAGCATGAAAATGTTCAGTTTTATTTGTTGCATAAGCATCTGTTTTTTCCTGTATTCCAGAAGAATTTAGAAGATGCTCATGCTGGCCACCTGCTTGACTGAGTTCTGCAGCTAACTGCAGTAATGCACTAGGTGCCTTACTTTTGCCTGTATTATTTCCCAATGCCCGACAGTGATTTGACTCATCTTTATGAAGCTTTATGCTTCCACAGTTGATAGTTGAAACATCATTTGCATCTCTGGCCATGTAACTAACTGCTTCACAGGACACTTGTCTCTCTATTAATGTTTTCTGCTTGGTGCAAGTGTTTGTCTGTTTGTCACACTGATTTTCCAGGCACTGGCTAACTGGATGGGTGTCATGGTGTTTCACAGAAACATTCTGACTTTCTGTACCATTCTCTATGAGTATCATATTTATCTTTCCTGTCTCAGTATCAGCCAATCCTCTTCCATTGCTAGCAATGCCAGGAGACTGACCAGTCACATTTTTACTCTGAGATCCTGAAACGAAATGTTCTACAGCACCATTACTTCCTGTTTTTTTCCTTAGGCAAGGCTGCTGCATTTGTAAAGGGAATGAGGTTTTGTTGTATTTTTCCTTGGCACAAAAAGATACAGTTTTTGTAAGTAACCCTGAACTTCTAAATTCTATATTCTGCTTGTCTAAGGAAAGTGGCTCTTCACATAGAGTAGATCTGTACACAGTGTGTCCCTGGAAATCATCTTTATGATGATTAGCCCCGGAGTCATGCACTGGGCTACTGACCCATGATTTTTTTCGATACTTTCTGTCTTTCCAAGATGGGAAACTGATATTCGTCTGCTCTGAACTAGCACTCAAAGCAGCTTTTCTTGTTTTCTCCGATGAGAAAGCTTGCAGAACTTCCTTAGTGTTTTGTTGTCCTCCATTCACAGACATTCGAAGCTTTTCTTTGTTTATACCCAAAGTTCGTTTTCTTGCTCTGCAAATGAAATGTGGCTGGTGCTGGTGATTCCCCTGGAACAAACAGAGGGACTCTGCATGCTCTTTGTGTTCACCTAAGCCTTGTGCTGTATCTGGTAATGGCTCATCATTAGAATCACTTGCTCTCATTCTGTTTCTGTTCTTTGATGTCATCCTTTTATGAGAACTCTTAGTCTGTGATTGAAGTGTGCATTCATTTACTTCTGACTCACTACTGGTCAGTGAATATGTGCTAGAACTCAAGGATAAATTTGGATCCCACTGCACTCCCATTTCAAGTAAGTCCTGCTGCAGAATTGTTTTAGCTTCCTCCACTATTAAGGCTGCTGCTTCCCTTGCAGATAAACCTTTTCTGCCAGTCACCCAAATGGTTTTCATATTCCGACGTTCTTCGGCTGCCTCCTCTTCTTCATCTACTGCCTTTCGGGCACTATTCAAGGACACGAGAAAAGGGGTAAATTAATGCTTGGATTCACACACTCATACCACAAACCCATTCTATCTGAGCTGATTAAGGGAACGGAAATGACAGAATAGCAAGAGACAGAAGCATGCGGGGTGGGGGGGGGCGCTCATGGTACTTACATTCTAGTTGGAAAAAACTATAAAATAAATGTTTAAAATATATTCTGTCAACTGGTGTGAGGGTTGTACAAAAGTTAAGTATTGGAAGAGGCAGGTGGTCTGACAATTTTAAATGGCATAATACAGGAAATCTCTACTAGAACAGATTCCTTAAGCAAGAGTCTTAAAAACTGAGGGTTAAGGCTGGAGAGATGGTCCCGCAGTACTGGCTGCTCTTTCAGAGTACCCAGGCTCAATTGCCAACGTCCACATGGCAGCTCACAATCTGTAACTCCAGTTCCAGGGGACCCAACACATTTTTCTGACCTCTGTGGGCACTGCATAATGTGGTAGACAGACACAGATACAAGAAAAATACCCATACACATTCAATACATAAATAAATCTTTTTTAAAAAGTGAGAGTCAGAATTTTTTTCATTGAAAATAATTTCTCTCACAATATAAACTCTGAACAAAGTATCTGAAGGGACTAAAATGTGAACAAAGAAAGAAAACCCTAGAAGGAGATGAGGCTTAGGAGGAAGAAATGCCAGAGTGGATTTTCACACATTTCTCAGAGGGCAGGATCTAACCAGTACCATGGAAGAACCTGGACATTACTGGGTGACTGAATTCAGAAAGAAAAATGTCTAGAAATGGAAATGTGAACCAGAAAAAATAAACCCAAATTCTTCATATAAATTGTATCATATCTGGCTCTATGTCATTGGTTCTCAAACTGTGAGATATCCTGCATATCAGATAGTTACATTACAATTCATAACAGTAGAAAAATTACAGGTATGAAGTAGCAATGAAATAATTTTGTAGTTGGGGATCACCACATGATGAACTGCATTAAAGGGTCACAGCATTAGGAAGGTTGAGAACCACTACCTAAGTAATGCCTACAAGGGCATATTCAAATAACTTGTTACCAGTCTGAGCCACTGGTGCTGGCAAGATGGCTCAGTGGGTAAAGGTGTGTGCAACCAGACCTGACACCTGACTTCATTCCCTAGGACTCAAAAGGTGAGAGGAAAGAACCAGCTTCCCACAAGCTGTCTTTACAACTAACAGAGAATTTAGCTACTGCTCACCACAGGGAGAGAAAACTGGAGAGTAAGCTCTTCTGGAAGATAATGGTCTAGAGCCCAAAAGGTGAAATGGTTAGTTATATAACTGAATGCTAGGAAAAGGACAGGAGTGACAAAAAATAAGTGAAGTTACGATGGCTGAGACTTCTTGCTTCCAAGCACATGAAGTAACCTCCCAGGTAAAACAAATGTAAGCCAACAACAGGTTTAGGAACTATCACAGTTTGCAGTTTGCTGTCTCTAGCATCATACATGCCAGTGAGGCAAACTGTGGCAAGAAATCTTATGGAACGGTCCTATGGCGTGCATCAAGCAGCAGGCTGCCAGCATGTACATGAGTCATATGGGTGGAAGGCCCAGCCAGGCCTCTGATGGCTAAGGTCCAGTCAAAAACTTAGCAATGAGACTAAAGTCCGATTTTCAAATACATACAGATGCAGGTTACACCACCTTTCTATCCTCACCCTCTACAGAGGCAAGGGCAAAGATAAAAACTTAATGCGCAGGTCTGTATGCTGGGGCACAGGAGAAGGGAAAAAGAGAGGAGAGGAAGTTCCATAACTGCTATTCAGACAGTGGGTAGAAGGTACAGGACACCTAAAATCTTCAAGAACCAGACCAAGCAAAATACAAACACAATTTACCACAACTTTCTAAATTTAAAATTGCAACAACAAAGTAGAGATGACCTGGAGAGAAAGAAATATGGTAAATGTCATCAATACTCATCAAATACATGAGCAAACTCACCATTCATAGCTACAAAATATGAATAGGACTGAGTCATTGATCCAAAGAAAAAGATTTTCAATATGGTTCAGATGCAAAGCTCAACTACTACAAAGAGTAGTACAAAACATTACCAATACAAAGGGATTCAAAAACTAAAGAGGAAGAGATTCTCAAACAAGCTGAAGCAAGAAGGTAGCAAATGATACCTAATCCAGGACCAGATATAATATGAGTCGAAAAGAGCTTAAGTGTGATAAAGAGTGCAGTTAATGCTCAAAACTATAATCACACACACACACCAAGTAGTTATGAATGGTTGTGAGGCAAAACTACAGAGAATAAACTGAGCCAGAAAGAAATATCCGAAAAATAGCAGACTAAAGGAGAACCATGTCTGTGCATCTAAAGTGGGGTAAGAAAGGACCTAATGAACATAAGAATATATTCCAGCCATTAGACCTTAGAATCGCAAACATACCTGGTCTATACTAATCATAAGTCTAACAGGCCTTGCTGGTCTGTTAGTGCTAGATCATATGCTTTTTACATGTTTACATAATGAAGTCTCCAGAACTCATCAGGATAGGAATTGGAGACTCTAGACAGGCAGATATGCAAGAGTTAAAGGAAGGTGAGCAGGAGAGAACAAGACAGGAGCATTGCTATGGCTGTTGGTGAGAAACAGTAATACATGTTCAGTGAGAGACCCTACAAGGGAAGAAGCAACAGGACCATAGAGAAGAACACCTGAATCTTCTTCTAGCCTCTGAACACACACAGCCATGGGCACCTGTTCATACTCATGTACACATACATATACCATACACATGTACATAAAAAACTGAACTTTTGGTTGTCAAAAGAAAAAAGGTAACAAAGTGATACATTGTGAGGAAACATTTGACACATACATACAGTAGGAGGCTCAAAACTGAAATCAATTTGAAAAAAATTATTTTTAAGAAAGAAAAAAAGAACCATACAAATCTAACGGTAAGACCTACTCAGACAAGTCACAAAGATCTAACATTGATCCTGAAGCACATAAAAGATATTCAGGGTAATTCACACTGCAAAGTAACACTATGCGGAGCTACAATGACAAAATTGGCCTTCCACCAGTAGGCTAATAGAGAAAATGCAACCCCGGGTGACCTTCCTGAGGGCAGTTCCAAGCACCTAACAAAGCTTATACATGTACCTTTTGAAATGCCATGCATGCCTAGGAACCCATGCCACTGAATTACTCCCAACAATATGAAAATTCACATGCAGAGAGAAGAGTAATATACTGCAGACTGTGGACAATGCTAACAAACTGGAGGCAATCTGAATTCCAGTGGATTTTCTGGCTTTTAATGTATTAGAATGGGAAACCAGGCACAAATACACTAGTATTTTTATAAACCAATAGCTAGAGCCTAACAATTTTCATCAGTTGGTCCACTATCTTTTTTCTAATGAAGCCTAGAATCCAGTAATGTGTCTAGTAGCTTTACTCCACAGTCTGTCTTAATTGGAAGTGCCTCCTTAGTCTGTTTTTCACGATTGTAATATTTCTGAAAAACTCTGGGCAATTGTTTGTAGATTGTCTTTCACTCTATGTGTGCAACTTTTCCTTATTATTAAATCCATGTTATGTATTTGGCTAAAAACAGTTTATTGTATAACAACGTGTTGGGTGTTCCTTAAAAAAAAAAAACACTGTAGGGGTAGACTACAAGTATTCTCAGTTCAAAAAAGAAAATGGTAAGCATGTTAGGTGATATTTACATTAATTATCTCCACTTAGCCTTTCCACAATGTAGACATATTTATTCTACATTTACATGATAAAAAGAGTAGTTGCATCCTCAGTATACTACACAAAGCATGATATTGATTAGCTTTGTTATTCACAGCAATAATTTTGATGAATTAATGTTCTAGACTCTCAGATAATCACGGCAGTATCAACCTATCAACCTTACCACAAAAGAGAAGGAAGCCTCAAGATGTGCTTACAAACAATGAGCAAGAACTTTCAATTGATTTTTTTTTTAATGTATACTGCCTTCAGATGAATCATGGAAGACTTATAGGTCATCTGTAGTGTATGATCACCATGCTTGTCTACACCTGATCTTCTTCACCTCGAAAACTACTAGTACATGTCTTGGGCATACATATTTATCTCCAAAGAATCTATGAAAATGGGAGGCTTATTCTAGGTAAAGCAGTCAGTCAGAGGCACATCTCAAAGAGATGAGACACTAATTCTAAGACAGACCTAATTCTCAGACAGATTGGGTTTTATACCCTAGAGCTAAAGATATTCAGTTTACAACATTACTTCAGAATTCGTCCCAGCTATAGAACCAGAACAAGCAGGTGTGCTTGTACATGCTGGAAACCCTAGCACTAGGGAGGCCAAGATGGGAAAATCACAATGTCAAGAACAGCTGTGTTATTATATAGTAACACCTATCAAAATATGTAATTCATTAGTTAGTTAATTGAAGAACTGGAAAGGACTACTAAAGGTGACAGCAATGAGAAATAGCAGCTAGTCAGTTCACTAAGCATAGTGGCAATGTCAGTAGATTGAAAGTCACTCCTCTAATTGCCACAGCCATGCAATAACTCATGTCACAAGAACAATCAAAGCCCTAACTAATCTGCCATTATCAAGGAAAATTAAAATATGTTTTCTTAAACATATAAAATACATTCCTAAAAGTCTTGAAAATATACCAATAAATTACTTAAAGTAAACACAACTCTGTATAATGCCCTAATACAATAAAAATTTTCATTACAGCCCATATGTATGCCTTACAAATATCATGCACTACAAATGCATACATTAAACCCTATAGTTTTGGGGAAAAAGTCAGTTGAGACAGACTACTATATACTATATAGAGGTTGACAACTGAACATTGATAAAAATTATAATGTAAGAGACCACCATAGCTACAGTATTTGCACCCATCACCAACTCAGAGGTATCTTTCTGGAAGATGCACACTCCCAAAAGAGCCATGCATTGAAACTAGAAACCTGGCTCGTTACATTATCACTGTTCTATTGCTGTAAGGAAATACCATGACCACAATAACTCTTATAAAGGAAAACATTTAATTGGCGCTTGTTTACCGTCTCAGAAGCTTAGTCCATTATTATTGCGGGGAGCACGGAGGCACACATAGCACTGGAGCAACAGCTAAGAGCTTTACATCCTAATCTGTATGCAGAGACAGAGATAGAGACAGACAGACAGGGGCGGGCAGGACGGGAACACTGGGCCTGGCATGGGCTTTAGAAATCTCAAAGCCCACTCCCAATGACACCTCCTACTCCTTCTCAAATAGTGCCACTCCCTGATGACTAAGCATTCAAATAGATGAGCCTATGGGAGCCATTTTTATTCAAACCACCACAATCATAAGGAAGCTTTTTTTTAGTTTTTTCGAGACAGGGTTTCTCTGTATTGTTTTGGAGGTCGTCCTGGAACTCACTCTGTAGACCAGGCTGGCCTCGAACTCACAGAGATCCGCCTGCCTCTGCCTCCCGAGTGCTAGGATTAAAGGCGTGTACCACCAACGCCCGGGTCTAAGGAGGCCTTCTTACACCACTGCTTTGTAATTTTTTTCAGTTTTAGTAAGGATGCAGTAAAAAACCATGCACTCTAAAACATCATAAAAATGTCCCTGGAGAGAAAGAACCACAATGTGGACACAGGCCAACATTCCACACCTAACAGTTATGGAAACAAATACCACTCAAAACAATTTTCTGCCCCTTTAAATGTCATTCCACCTCAAACCTTAAAATTACTAAAGAGTAAATACAGAAGACAAAGTCAAGAGGCTTTTAAAAGGCCTAATTAAGTTATTCCTTGATTATATGTTAGTCTAGGCAGACGTGTTGTTAGTCCATCCCCCTTCACACACATCAAGGATTCCTCCCTAACAAACTGCATTGAAGGCCCAGTGTTCCAAGAACATTTAAAGGAGTGTACTGAACCCATGAGCCTTGGAGAGGTAAGTCATGGGAATCAAATCTACCACAGCAGAGAGAAAGCACTGGTGCCTTACACTCAGACTCAGAAGACAGAGAAACTCACCACCACTTTACACACGCCTTTCCAATCATGAAGTGTATGAAGTAGAAAACAAAAAGTAACTCTCAAGAGAAAAAGGTAGTCCCATTTTCTGACACAGCGAGTATACACTAAGGTTGATGAGCTGCCATCTAATAACACTGAGACAGACACAGACTTCGTTACCTTTTGAAAGGCAGAGCATTCTTCAGAACCACCTCCACCTCCGCAATATTAGCTCTGGCAAGGTCTGCTACAGTGAGAAAGCCAGAGGCATACAGGAACCTGGCTCTCTGGGCATTCAGTAAGGACACCCGGATGAGGTCACACAGCTCCCTCTGGATGCCAAAGGTAAGACGCTTCTGAAACTGGGAAAGTAGTAGTTCCATGTTGTGCCAGCCCAGACGGTTGGAAAACACTGTAATCATTCCTAGAACAGTTGGAATGTTTGTTGAATTAAAAATTGCTTTTAGACTAATTCTCTGTGCATGTATATATAAACATGTATGTGCATGTGTATAGATACACATATGTGTTTATACATGTGTGTATGCACGTATTTGGTTTTAGTTTGGCTTTGCTTTTTCTGCAAAATGAATGCTTTAACAGGGACAAGGGACAAGTTAAAGGAGCAGACAAATATTGGCTAGCTATGCTCATAAAGAGCAAAGTAAGCACATTAGATGTCATCTCATTTATTCTTTCATATTGTATGTATACATTTTACCTATGAGTGTCCATGTATGCACAGTTAGAGGCAAGAGATGGATATCAGGTATCTTCCTCTCTTGCTCTCCACTTCATTTTGTGAGGCAGGTCTCTCACTGAATTTGGGGTCACCAACTGACTGGACTAATTAGCTAGCAAGCCCTAGGACTGGATAATAGACATCCATCACTGTGCCCAGCTTTGTGTGAGGGTGTGGGGATCTGAACTCCGGACCGCATGCTGGCATAACAAATCTTCTCTCAAGGTCCATATTATTTATTCCTACGTCTGAACTTAATGTTTGGATCCTAAGACACAGCACATATACACAAAGAGAATAAGCCCCCCACCCCATTCTTGTCTACTCCTCTCACTATCTCTCTTATTTTTTTTTCCTGTTTCTTTTCTTAATGAAAAGAGAACTCTAACAAAACAGGAGAAAGACTCTTTCTTGGATAAATGATTTAAAAATTCAAATGTTGAGAGAATTATTTTCTTCAAAGAAAGGCTGCACCCACTTGAAATAAAGAGATCACAACAGTCAAGTAGCACCCATAGAAGTCGCTGTTCCATAAGAAAACTGATCTCTGATGCCAGTCACTTGACTACTGAGTCCTTCCCTTCATTCTACCCTCTGCCTAGATCCTGTACACAGCATCCCTCCTATGCACATTTTCACAAACAAGTTCTTACATATGAAGACACAAAGCCTTTAGTAGCCCTGGGTTTCCTTCCTAAGGGCTAACAAAGATTCTTTAGTAAAACCAGATCCAGAATCTACCTGTTTGTGTAACATAAGAGTGTTTCCATGATATTTAGAAGGGTCAGGTCTACAAATCTCTCTTCATCTGCAGCCTCTTTTTCAAAATCTCTTATTAATCAGTACTAAGAGGAAAGGAATTCCATTGAGAACTTGTTTCTCCTTGTAAAGGAGGAAGAGGGAGAGACAAGAGAAAAGATGTACCATTAACAAGTCACTAGGAAACAGAAGAGGAATAAGGGTGAGACCCAGCCTGATGTTGGCTCTCTATAGAATACTTGTAATTTAAGAAAGTGGTGTGCCCAAATGGTAAACTAACAATAGTGTAGAGGCTACCTTAAATGCCCTTCCCAATTGCAGAGAGGGATGAGTGATGAGCAAAGGGGTCAAGACCTGGCTAGTGAAACCCACAGACAGCTGACCTGAACAAGAGGGAGCTCTTGGACCCCAGACTGATGGCTGAGAGGCCAGCACGGGGCTGACCCAGATCCCCTAAATTTGGGTGTCAGCAAGGAGGCCTGGGCAATCTATGGGGTCTTGGGTAGTATATCAGTATTTATCCCTGGCATACAAATGGAGTTTGGGAACCCATACCACATGGAGGAATGCTTTCTCAGCCTGGACACTTTGGGGAGGGCCTAGGCCCTGCCCTGGATGAAATGACAGACTATGGAGATGCCCCATGGAGGGTCTTACCCTCCCTGGGGAGTGGAGTATGGATTGGGTGGGGGTTGGGGAGTAGATGGGGGTTGGGGGGGTGGGAGGGAGAGGAGGCTGGGATTGATATGTGAAACAAACTTGTTTCTAATTTAAATTAAAAAGAAAAAAGAAATTTGTGCTGGTAAGCAAAAGAAAGATGCCTTTCAAGCAGGTTTTTTATTAAGGAAAGGGATCATAAAAAGGGGAAAGGGAAGTGGGGAGACCAGCCTCCAGAGACAGAAGCAGCAGGAGAGAGGAAAGAAGAAAGAGGGAAGAGGGGGAAAGAGGAGAAAGAGAGAGGGAGGAGGGAACAGACAGAGAGAGAGGGAGAGAGAGAGAGAAGGATGGGAGGTAGGCAGGGCCCTTTTAAAAGGGAACATAGTGAATGTGCACAGGTGGTGCTCTTAGTGGCTACAGCTGTCAGAATCCCAAGAACAGGCCAGTACAGATGTCTAAATACTAACAGGGCTACTGCACCCAGGGGCACCAGCGTGACATCTGTTGAAGTCATTGAGAACAGCAATTTCAGAAAAGCTTAAATAAATAGAAATTTTCTTAAAAAGTAATCTTTTGTTTTGTTTTGTTTTTTGGTTTTTCGAGACAGGGTTTCTCTGTGGCTTTGGAGGCTGTCCTGGAACTAGCTCTTGTAGACCAGGCTGGCCTCGAACTCACAGAGATCCGCCTGCTTCTGCCTCCCAAGTGCTGGGATTAAAGGCGTGCGCCACCAATGCCCGGCTTCTTAAAAAGTAATCTTAAGCAGGCATGTTAATACACACTTTTAAATCTAGTACTCAGAAAGCAGAAGCAGGTGGATCACTGTATTTGAGGACGGTCTGGTCTACATAGAAAGTTCCAGGCCAGTCAGAGAAACACAGTGGGACCCTGCTTAAAAAAAAAGAATCTTAACAAGCATAAATCACAGAATTTTAGATAAACGTGACATATTTCATCTAACTGACCTGCATAAACAGCAGCCGACTGTTGCAAAGATTGAATCTGGCCACGATTACATCCATATTTCTGATTAATTTCCTTTAAGGGAATTTCACTTATTAAATCCAATAACACAAGACTTGTGAAAAACCTAAAAATAAATCAAGACTGTTGTAAGAGATCACATGTAAATGTGACATATACTGCAAACCAACTACATACCGAAAAGGTAGCAGAGTGGTCATCCCCATCTGGGAGGATGACAGACAGACAGACAGACAGAGGGCTGGTGAGCAAATCCTCAGATCACAGTAAGTTTTACACCCTTTAACCATAGCTAAGAACTAATATCAGTGTAACAAAAAGTTCCCACATTTCAATATTATTAACTGATTTCAAGAAATAATACTTGGTTTAAGAAATGGAATGACACAAAATTTAAAAGATTCGATACATGGATATAAGATGAATAGAATTTCACCATCCTAAGCACTGCCACATGTATATTATGTATCAGTTATCACCATATTTGTTCATATAATTCTAAGATTTTAAAGGCATAAACCACTTACACTGTAATAAAGAAAATTGTTCTCATAAAAAAAAGATGAATAGAATTTCAGACAAATGATAGTATCTAATTATAAAATCCAGATCTGATTTGAAACAATTGACACAAACAATTGAAGCACAGATATCCTTATAAATTTGAACTTGACTGTGATGTAAATCATATACTATAAGCAATTTTACTGTATTTTAAAGCATAACATGTTATACAGTTTCCCCATGTGAGGTGCTAAAAGATTACTTCTGAAGGTGCTACAAAGCACAATTCCAAATAAAATCACCATAAATGAAAGTTCTGACTCAAAAAAGGAAATGATTAATTATTAGTCTTTTTTGTTTGTTTGTTTTTTGTTTGTTTTTTTTTTGTTTGTTTTTTCGAGACAGGGTTTCTCTGTGGCTTTGGAGGCTGTCCTGGAACTCGCTTGGTAGTCCAGGCTGGTCTCGAACTCACAGAGATCCGCCTGCCTCTGCCTCCCGAGTGCTGGGATTAAAGGTGTGCGCCACCAACGCCCGGCTTAATTATTAGTCTTTAAAAACCTGCAGGTAAGCTGGGCAGTGGTGGCATGTGCCATTAATCCCAGCACTTGGGAGGCAGAGGCAGGTGGACCTCTGTGAGTTCGAGGCCAGACTGGTCTACAAAGTCACACAGAGAAACCCTGTCTTGAAAAGTCAGAAAAAAAGTAAAAAAAAAAAAAAAAAGAAAAGAAAAAAGAAAAGAAAAACCCAGCAGGCATGACTAAATTTCAAGCTACAGGAACAATTAAAATGTCAGTAAATCAAATAAATAGGATAAATCTTTAGATTTACTATAGTCAACCAAAATGTTTATACTGTTGACAATGAGAATGACTTAGTAAACTGGATATGGACATATGGCCAGCACTGATAATGCTGCAGGCTCCTTACTGTTTATGGTGTTTATGGTATGTTTACCTTTTATGGATGGCCATTTGTCGATGCTGTCTCTCAGTTCTGGCTACCACTTTTCCTTTCACACAGCGAGCCAAGAACCCTTCCTCAACTCCAACCAGTTCTGCTACTCTTTTCATAGAAGTGGGCAATTTTTCCCATAAACAGAAAAATCTATACCAATCAATGCCAGTCCAGTCTTCAAACACAGGTGTAACCTAAAGAAAAGAAGCATCATTTTAGTCTGAGTAATTGTTTGACAGTGAGTTGTGGGAGCTCAGTGGTAAAACACTTACCTGGCATGCACAAGGACATGGGTTCAAGCCCTAGCACTGGACAAAAACAAACATAAGTAACATTATAAATGTAAACTTCATAGTAAAGGCAAAGACCTCAGGATACAGAAAACATCTGTGGTAATAACTAACTTATAAGAAAACATTTATTCAAAAGACACTTGCTATAGAACAAATACAGACAGAGAAAGAGAAAAAGCCAGAGAGAGTGGCAGAGGAAGCAGGGAGACCAACTGTTAACCATACAAGTTGGATTTCATGGAATACAAGTCTTTAATCATAGACACTTTGAACCTAAGTAGGTCTGACTCAAGGTATTATCTTCACTGTTTCGTGTAATTCCAAGAAAGGATCAGCAAAATGGAAAGAAGAGATGAGAGGGGAAAAAGTCAACACTCACAGTCGAAATATTTCCCAAAAGCTCCAGGATTCAACAAGAAGCTGTGAGACAAACAAGAAAGAGACAAGCACCCTAAGCATGGGGGTGGAAGCGGAAGCAAAGACACGCCTCTACGTGTCCATGAAGAGACATCAAAGACAAAAACATTATAAATATGTACAAAGGATTTAAAAATGCTTAAAGAAATACAAGGGTGCATGTCTGTAATCCCAGCACCCTTCTATTTCTTTAAGCATTTTTAAATCCTTTGTACATATTTGTGTAGCTGAGGCACCAGGATACAAAAAGACATTTAGGAAGTAAAGAAGGAAGGAATGGGGGTTGGGACAGAAGGCAGGAGAAGAAAAGAAAGCACTGGGGAACAGTCTTTATACACTATAAATATGTATTGCTGGTGGTGAGGCAGGGTTTGGGGGCTAAGAGAATACTGGGAAGAAGGGCAGAGTCAGGGAAGTAGCCAGCTAGATGGAAAGCAAACAGGACATACAGGAGAGGTAAAAACCATAAGAAGGTGGCACACACCTTTAATCCCAGCAGTGGGAGGCAGTGGCAAGCGGATCTCTGTGAGTTCCAGCCAGCCTAGTCTACAAAGCCACACAGAGAAACCCTGCCTTGAAAAACCAAAATAAATAAATAAATAAATAAATAAATAAATAAATAAATGAGTTGACTTAATCATAGTGTCTTATTATAGCATTAGAAATGTAGCTAAAACATCCCATTTTTTATTTTAAAAAATATTTTATTATTTATTTTGCTTTTGTTTTTATTTTTAGAAAAGGTCTCACTACATAGTTTTGACTGACTTGGATCAGGCTAGACTCAAACCCATAGAGATGCCTTTGCATTCCAAGTGATGATACTTGCCACACCACCCCTTGCAAGTATCCCAAATTTGATGAAAAACATTAGCCTACATATCCAAAAAGATTTCATGAACTGCAAGTAAGGAAAAATTTAGGGATCTACAGCAACATGCATCTTAACAATAATGTCACAAATGGAGTGAGAGAGGGGGGAATTCTAAAAGTAAAGATAGTGTCCTAGTTATCATTAACTGTCAACTTGAAAAAGCCTAAAATCATCTCTAAATAAAGTCCCAACTGAGTTTTTTCTTCATCAGTTTGATCTATGGACATGCCTGTGGGGGGACTACTTTCATTATTAATTAATTCAGGGGACCCCCAATCCACTATAGACAGCACCATACCTAGGCAGGAGGTCCTGAGCTGTATAAGAAAACTAGCAAAGCATGAGCCTGCCTCACTGCCTCAGCAAGCAGCATTCCTCCATGGTTTCTACTTCAAGTTCCTTCCTGGACTTACTCAATGTTGGACTGAGACCTAAGAGTGTGAGCCAAATTAACCCTTTCTTTCTCCAGTTGCTTTGGTCAGTGTTTTATCACAGTACCAAAAATGAAAGAACCGAGCCAGGTGTTGGTGGCCTTTAATCCCAGCACTCGGGAAGCAGAGGCAGGTGTATCTCTGTGAGTTCGAGGGCAGCCTGGACTACAAAACAAGTTCCAGGACAGCCTCCAAAACCCTGTCTCAAAAACAAACAAAAACAAAAAAAGAAAGAAAGAAAGAACCAATTACAAAAACAAGTCACCTTACCCAATGAATGGAAACCCAATAATATTAAAAGTTAATTTCCCATCAGAAGCACTTAACACCAGAATGTGATGAGAAGGGCATAGTCAAAGTACCTGAAGGAAGAGTAAAAGTTGCTGTCAACTAAGAATAAAGTAATCTTTCAAAACCAGAGATAACAAGAGATATTCCTAAATAAACATAACCAGACGATGTTGCTAGCAAGTACATCTTTAATACTAATGAAAATTCTTCAGGTTGGAAGAAAGTAGCCTGCTCAGGTACATGCTAGTGCACATCTGTAAGCCCAGCATCCAAGAGACTAGGATGGGAGGATTGCAAGTTTGAGGTCAGATTGGGCCACGTGGCAAGTCCCAGGCCAGCCTAGGAGGGAGACTAGGAGGAAGGGAGAGAAAGGGGAAAGGAGAAAACCCAAATATTCTGATTATACTTTTAAAGCCTAGAATTCACAAAACCCTTGGCTCTATCCTCAGCAGTGAAAATAATAATAATAATAAAAATATTATCATAATAACTGCATATTTCCTCATTCTTCTCTCGACTTACTTAAAAAGCATTATATGACCTGCAGAAGCAAAGGATAGAATACGTAGAATAGTGGTTACCAGAGAACAGGAAGGCAGTGGGGATGTCAAGTTGAACAGGGGTTTTCTTAGCTGAAATTGTATAATTACTAAGTGTTGAAGTCCTCACACTCATGGCTGATGTTTAATATGTGAGACATTGCTAAGGCCACGGCAGATGACTGATAAGACCTGCTTTAAGATGCTTCCCAGTCACATTAGGAGGCATAGAACTTTGGGCCTGTTATTATCCATGAATTATGTTTGTAAAAGGGAAAAAACTAACCTCTGCACACAGTGTATTTTACTGAAGACATTTTCTGATAAGTTCTCATTCTAATGAAAATTTCAGTATTATTCTCTCCCTTCATTTACTCAAAGTGTACACATCTGCTTTTCAGTGACAAACGTATTTCTGGTTAGGTTCTTGCTGAAGAATATGATATTAAACGCTATTCAATTTATATCAAAATGGTATTTATAACTGTAGAGGATGATCTAATGTAAGCAAACTTTCTATGATAGTTAATACCATCAACTTCAAAGGTCATAGAATCCCTCTAAGGGATTATCTAGGTTAGACCGACTGAGTTGGGGAGACCCACGTGAACTGTGGGTGGACTGAATAAAAGGAGAAAGGGAGCTGAGCTCCAGCAATCATCTCTCTACTTCCTAACTACGATGTAATGGGCCCGGGTGCCTAACCTCTCTTCCTTCCATTCCTTCCCTACCATGATGAACTGCACCCTCAAACTGGAGACCAAATAAATGCCTACTTCCTTCAGTTCTTTTGTCACGGTACTTTGTTGCAGCAATAGCAAAGTAATGAAGCCACTTTTAAAATTCCTACTGCTGGGCTGGATAGATGGCTCAGAGGTTAAGAGAACTCACTGCTCTTCCAGAGGCCCTGAGTTCAATTCCCAGCAACCACATGATGGCTCACAACCATCTGTAATGAGATCTGGAACCCAATTCTGGCATGCAGGTACACATGCAGGCAGAACACTGTATACGTAGTAAATCTTAAGAAATAAAACAATATTCCTACTGCAAGCAGCTAGAGGATTAAGCATTCTAAGGTAGCCTTGGCTACACAGTGAGATCTTGTCAATCAGAGGTAAATAGTTTTTGTTTTTGTTTTTTTAAATAGAACTTACCAAGTAGACAATATGAAGGTCATTCTCTAAAACAAAACCTTTCATTGCTCTTTGGAGGTCAGCAAAAATGTCTAGGGTATCAGTTGGAGAGAGTGAGGAAGAAAGAGTAGCCGATCCAAGATGTGTAGGGTGATACACCTTTCCTGGAGTGGGGAAACACAAGGGCAAAGGTTGAAAGAAAACAAAGCACTACCCTTTTCTACATGTTAACCCTCTTAGCTCTCATCAAAGCAACAAGCAGAACCTCATGCAACATGTATAAACTTATGAGCAGAAGCTAAGAAGTGAATACAATATAAAGAGTGAGCATGTTTGCATGAGAGCTTGTGTTTACCTCCTGAGCCATCACTGGGCTCTGCCTCCTGGATGAACTCATTTTCTAATAGCCATGTCACACAGGCATCAATTGCTCCAAGCTGAACATCATCTTGATTTCTCTGAATCCCCTGGTTCCCTTCCTTTACAGCAGCAGCCAAGAATGTGCAGGAGGCATAAGTCTGCACATCTTGTGATGTACTTGCCACTCCACCAACGATTATCTGAGAGAAAATGTTTGAAAAGTTCTTTAATTTTTATAAGCTGTGTAGAGCCTCTAGACATCAAGTAAATGAAGTAACTTTATTTTCTTGATAGCTTCAGTCTTTATGTAGAGATGCTTTATTAAATCTTTTGTTATCACACATTACGAACACTGATGACAACTACTGACAACAGAATATTTTCCTTGAATGTAAATATAATATTTTTTGTAGACAAAAAAGAATGGATTTGAATGTTGGGAAGTTGAATATAAAGGAGGCAGTGACAACTCATAGCCATGAGTCTTATCAGTCTTTGCTCCTTCCTCTACAACACATGGATACGTAGAAACACTACTCTGGAATACTTCCCATTCAGAAGGATGGGAAGGGCAGGAAAATAAGAGGCTAGTATTTAGTGTGTATTGCCTTGGCTGGCCTCAAGCCTGTGAAGCCCATGCCCTAGCTTCTGGTATGCTAGAATAAGAAGCATGCGCCCCAGGTCCAACCCTCTGTAAGCTTACTATATTTTACAACTTGATTTGATTTTAATGTCCACATATATCATCTGAAAAGAAGAACTACAGTTCGTTTTATCTTCTTTTCTTTAAACTCAAAATGCAGTAAATAGTATATAAAAAGTAAAAAGATGAGTCACAGTTACAGCTCAGTAACAGAGTGCACACACAGCATGCACAAGGCTGAGTTCTAATCCTCTATTTCCTACACCACAAAAAAAAAGTTAAGCCGGGCGGTGGTGGTGCACGCCTTTAATCCCAGCACTCGGGAGGCAGAGGCAGGCGGATCTCTGTGAGTTCGAGGCCGGGCTGGACCGACAGCCTCCAAAACAATACAGAGAAACCCTGTCTCGTAAAACCAAAAAAAAAAAAAGTTAAAAAGAACTAAATCTCATTTTGTTGTTTAATTGTTTTGAAATAGATTGATATGGTAGTAGCTATGTTAAACTACAAAAATAACTATATATATTCATATATATAATACATAGACAAATGTACATACCAACTTATCCGTGTGTGTGTGTGTGTGTGTGTGTGTGTGTGTGTGTGTGCGCGCGCATAGGTATGTATACATGTATCAGAATTTATCAAATTGTTTTGGTTTGTTTGTTTGTTTTTTTGGGAGGTGGTTCTTTGAGAGAGAGTTTCTCTGTGTAACCCTGGCTGTCCTAGAACTCATGTAGACAATGCTAGCCTCAAACTCAGAGATCCACCTGCCTCTGCCTCTTAAGTGCTGGTATTAAAGGCTTGTGCCCCTACCATCCAGCAACAATCTCTTTCTAAAAAGAAAAACAAAAACAAAAACAAACAAACAAACAGATTTTGACTTACTCAATTTTCAATAGGTATGAAAGAGTAACCGTGATTTCCTGAACTCCTACCTCCAGAATCGCTCGTATCATACTGGCAGTGACTTCTCCTTGTCTCTGCAGACAGCTGTGCACAGGTTCCAGAGATCCTCGAAGCAGAGCAATGCCTTTTGATTTCTCAGAGGGCTTACAAACTAAGATACTTTCACCTACAACCAAAACCACGCATATTCTAAATTCCAACTCATTCCCATAGATTGATACTGAAGATAAGTTCTGACTTACTGGAAAGAGACAGGAGGTGCTAAAGGTTGTTTCAGGTACAGAGTCATAAGTCATTGCTCTGGTTTTGAACTCAGAACAGGAGATCAGAGTGTCACCAGAAACCATACTGCTACTAGGCTTCTAGGTTATTTTTAGAGGAAGGCTAGAGAAGCGGCAAGCATAAGAACTCTCTAGGAAAAGTTTTTCCTTTGTCTTACCATTTCTCCACATTTTACTGCCCTTTGTTAAAAATAAGTTAAGACCCCACATCCAACAGCTTTGGCAGGCCTCACTCCTTTTCTATTAAGCCCCATACACAAAAACAATTAAAACATTAACACAGAATAGATATATATGCCTTTCCCTACTAACCTGTTCTCTCTGTTTGCCTCTATGTATCTGTCTATCTGTCTCTCTCACATCCCAACCAGTTTCCCCTCACTCCCTTCCTCCCATCCCCTCCCTATAACCTCCTCTTTGCCTCCCCCACCACCACTCCACCCTCATTCCCCCACCCCTCCAGCAGGTCCAAATCCATTCCTCCTCTGTGCCTATTCAGAAAGGGGCAAGCAGGCCTCCCATAGATATCAACCAAACAAGGCATACAAACCTGTAGTACAACTAAGCACTTCCCCACTCCTTATATTAAGGTTGGGCAAGGCTACCCAGTATGAGGAATAGGACCACAAAAGCCAGCCAAAGCATTAGGGACAGCCCCTGATCCCACTGTTAGGAGGCTCACAAGAAGATCAAGCTACACAACTGTAACATATGTGTGGAGTGCCTAGATCAGTCCCACACAGGCTCCCTGATTGTTGGTTCAGTCCCTATGAGATCCTATGAACTCTGTTTAGTTGATTCGGTTGGTTTTCTTGTGGTGTCCTTGACCCCTTTGACTCCTACAATCCTTCCTCCCTCTCTTCCATACAATTCCTGGAGCTCTGCCTAATGTTTGACTGTGGGTCTGCATCTGTTTCCATCAGTTGCAAGATGAAGCCTCGCTTTAACTTGTCTTATAACACTTTATGAGGCCCTAGCTATGGAACAAAACTAGAAAAAGGGGCTTTACCTCTTCCCTTCCTGGCTGAGGCATCATTAAATAACTAAGTAATTATTAGAGAAATTCTGAATACTATAAAGTAAAATGCAAATGTAGATATTAGCTATAAATAATGACAAAATTCAAAAGCTACTAAAAATCATACATAATATTTATTATCCAAATGCTTTAAATCACTACAAGAATCAAATGGACATAAATGTCTGAAAAAAACTTATAAATTAAAATATATCCAAGTAGTCAACTTAAGCAAATACAAATTATCATGGTAACAATTTAGATTTTAAAAACTAGTAAGAAACCATGTTTTTTAAAAAAAATCTGGAGCCAATAATGAGAAAAGAAACACAAGATTAAAAACAAAATGAAGCATACTTGTGCAATTTTCTCATGTAATATAAAAAATTAAAACAGCATTATGGTGGAAGATCTAAACATTCTGAACAAAGAAAGGGCAGATGATGACTCTCTGAAAATCACTCCTGAAAAAAAAAATACTACAGAGAGGATAAAATAAAGGTAGTCCAAACTAGATAAACTCTATTTATCTTATGCAGGATAAAGTCTGACAACCTGAGTTTGATCCCCAAGACTCATATGGTAGGAGACAGTCAACTCCACAAGCTGCCCTCTGACCTCCACAGCAAGAGCCCATACATATAATAAACAAATAACAACAAAAAAAAGATTGTAAAATGGTCATAATAATAAAAGCAAACAAACTAACAAACAAACAAAAAAAACACTTCCCAACAAGACCACCCAAGCAAGACATGGCATTCATGTGTTTCCATACATAGATAGGTAAGTAGATAGATAGGTAGATGGATAGATAGATAGATAGATAGGTAGATAGATAGATAGATTAGATTAGATTAGATTAGATAGATGGATGGATGGATGGATGGATGGATGGATGGATGGATGGATGGATGGATGCAAAACAAACCAGGCAGTAATGGTGGTGGCGGCAGCAGTGTGGCACACTCCTTTCATCCCAGCACTCAAGAGGCAGAGGCAGGCAAATCTCTGAGTTCCAGGGCACCCTAGTCTAGAGTTAGTTGAAACCCTGTCTTGAAAAACAGAGGAAGGGAGGGAAGGAGGGAGGAGAGAGGAGGGAGAAAGGGCAAAACAATACATCAGCAAGATGGTACAGTAGTAATTCCTAGACTTCATTATCTCCTCTCCACCCTTACCTATGCCACCCTGACAAGTATACCTTTGTTAGACCTTCGGAGCTCTGTAAATGCCTCACAGAGTTTGGGAATGTACCTGAAAATCACAATAAACTGCAGCTAATGGAAGTCAAGATGATGATAACAATAATAATAACAACAAACAACAACTGTATATTTCCTCACTCTTCTCTCGACTTACTTAAAAAGCATTATAAGACCTGCAGAAGCAGAGGATAGAATAGTGGTTACCAGAGAACAGGAAGGCAATGGGGATGTCAAGTTGAACAGGGTTTTTTGGTTTTTTTTTTATCTGAAGTTGTATGATTATTAAGTCAAAAGTTGAATTCAACAGTCTGGATCAAGAGCTCACACTCATGACCACTGTATAATATGTGAGACATTGTTAAGGCAATGGCAGATGACTGATAAGAACTGCTTCTTAAGATGACTCTAGGCCATGTCAAGTTGACAGTTAATGATAACTAGGACACTATCTTTACTTTCAGAATTCCCCCTCTCACTCCGTTTGTGACATTATTGTTAAGATGCATGTTGCTGTAGATCCCTACATTTTTCCTTACTTGCAGTTCGTGAAATCTTTTTGGATATGTAGGCTAATGTTTTTCATCAAATTTGGGATACTTGCCAGGGATAGTGTGGTGCACACATTCAATCTCATCACTTGGGATGCAAAGGCATCTCTATGAGTTTGAGTCTAGCCTGATCTACATTTTGAGACCCAGGTCAGTCAAGGCTATATATGTAGGGAGACCTTTTCTCAACAAACAAACAATAAATAAATAAATAATGAAAGTTTTTTTATCAGAATGTTCTCTTTGTTATTATGTTTTTATTGCTAAGATATGACACTATGACCATCTCTTTGCCATAAGTAAGTACAGTGACAGAAGAATCTCCAGGTTCAGGTTTCTCTAAAAAGAAAATACAACTGGAGTCAGACATGTCGTTTCCATACTAGTCTGAGGCACTTCCCAAGAAACCCATTCCAGTCTCAAGGCAGGGTAAAAACAGAGGATAATAGCAGCTAGTCACCTGGGGCCACAAAGAAACAAAACAAGGGGGCAGAGGTCACAGTGACCAGCATGGGATCTAGTAGAAGCTCTATAAAACTTGTCTTAGATACAGTTCTGTTTCTATAAAACACCATGACCAAAAACAAATTTGGAGAAGAAAGGGCTTATCTGGCGCTATACTTCTACATCATAGTCTGTCCTTGAAGGAGGACAGGAACTCAAGTAGAGCAGGAACATGGAGGCAAGAGCTGATGCAGAGGCCATGGAGGGGTGTTTGCTCCTCATGGCCTGCTCAACCAGCTTTCTTATAGAACCCAGGACCAGCCCGATGAAAGCACCACCACCACTATGGGCTGGGCCCTCCCCAGTCAATCACTAATTAAGAAAATGCCTTACAATTGGATCTTATGGGGGCACTTTCTTAATTGCAATTCCCTCCTTTCAGATAACTCTAACTTATGCCAGCTGACATAAAACTAGCTAGCACAGATCCCAATGAAGACCTCAAAAGATAATTAGGAAATACACCCTGGGTTGTATTTTAAAGGTGATTGCAGTGACCAACTAGTAGCTCTGTCAGACTGCAGAATGCAACCAAATCTGGTCTGACAGTGGCAACCAAGCAGTAGCCCCACTCAAAATTAAACTAGAATCAGCAAAATAATTAGCCACATGAAACAAAAGTAGACCTAGTCTGCCCAGCCGTTACCAGCCATGCCACTCAGATTCCTGACTAGAATAGCAATTCAGGCCTATTTCTGCCAAGCAATAGCCATAAAATCCAGAACAGGCTGTCTCTATACATGCATGACACAATGACACAAGATTGCAAAGAATTAGAAAATCAGAAGACTTCAAAGTATACCAACAAAATTTCAATGATGGACCCTAAAAGAAACAGGGAGCAAGGAAAGAGCAAATAAAGGTTACACATAACCGTCTCAAATATGTTTTATGAAATATAAGACTAAACATTAAAATTAAGTAAATTTTGAAAATGAGAATAAACAAAATGAGAAGTTTAACAAAGAAATATAAACAATAAAAAGAAATAGAAATTGCGAAGATAAAAAGCAGTGACCGAACTATAAAATGTAATACAATAATGAGTATCAGCAGCAGCTCAGGCAGATGGAGGACCAGTGTACCCCCAGACTGACTAAAATGAACCTAAAAGATTTACAGTCAAAAGACTCAGTTTTGCATAATATAAGCTAAAGTAGAAAGCTGTTTAAAGAAATAATGGCTGAAAATGTAACTGAATCTATAGAAAGATGGTAACTGCAGGTACAGGAATCACAGAAGTCTCTATTCTAATACAACCCAAAGAGCTCACCAGGACACACATTTCTAATTTGTTTGATTTTGACATTCTCTCCCCACCTTTTAGTTAATGTGGATAAGGGTTTCTCAATCTTACTGATGCCTTCTATTGTTTTTATTATTTGTTTCTCTTCTGTTTCAGCCTTGAATTTATTTCTTACTGCCTCCAAATTTTGATGTGATATTTTTGTTCTAAAGTTTTCAGTTGTGCAGTTAAGTTACTAGTATGAAATTCCTCAAGTTTTTTGTTTTGTTTTTTTATGTAAGCACTCAACTTGCCTCCTCGAACCACCTTCATGTGTTCTATAAAAATGGGTACATTGTTTATTCATTTTCATTCCATTCTAGAACATTTTAGTATCTTCCTTAATTTCTGTATTGACTCATTTTTCTTTCAGTACTGAGTTGTTCAGTTTCCACGAGTTTGCAAGCTGTCTGTTGTTTTCTGTTATTGATATCCAGCTTTAATCTGTGGTGGTCAGATAGGATGGCAGTGTTATTTCAGTTTCCTTGGATCTGTTGAGATTTGCCTTGTGTCCAAGTATGTGGTCAGTTTTGGAGAAAGTTCCATGACGTGCTGAGAAGATACATTCTTTTGTGTTTGGGTGAAATGGTCTATAGGTATCTGTTAGGTCTATTTGCTTTATAACATCAGGTAGCACCAGTATTTCTGTTTAGTTTTGCCTGGATGGCCTGTGTATTGGTCAAAGTGAGATACTGAAGTCTCTCACTATCAATGCTAGGTCAGTATGTAATTTAAGCTGTAGAAATGTTTCCTTTATAAACATGGATGCCCTTGGTTGGTGCACAGATGTTATGAATTGCAATGTTCCCTTGGTGGATTTTTCCTTTAATGAGTATATAGTGTCCTTCCCTATCCTGATTATTTTTATTTGAAGTTTATTTTCTCAGATATTAAAATGACTACACCAACTTGATTGTTAGGTTTATTCACTTGAAATATCTTTTTCCATCCTTTTACTCTGAGGTGATATCTATCCTTGATGTCAAGGACAGATATTCTTTAGTGCAGCAGAAGGATAGATCCCATTTTCCTCCATTCTGTTAGTCTGTGTCTTTTTATTGGGAAATTAAGACCACTGATATTAAGAAATATCACTGAGCAGTATTTATTGATTCCTGTTTTGTTGTTGTGGGGTATGTGTGTCTGTCTGTCTGTGTCTATGTGTCTGTGTATGTTTCTCATCTTTCAATTTACTGGTCTGAGATTATTTATTCTCGGGGTGTGATTAACCTCTTTTGTGGAGTTTTAGCACCTTCTGTAGGGCTGGATTTATAATAGATATTGTTTATGTTTGGTTTTATCAGGGAATGTCTTATTCCCTCCATCTTTTGTGAATGAAAGTTTTGTGTGTATGGTAGTCTGGGCTGGCATCTGTGGTCTCTTAAGAGTCTTCAACACATCTGTCCATGCCCTTCTGGCTTTTAGAGTTTCTGTTGAGAACTCAAGTGTTATTCTAATAGGTCTGCCTTTATGTTACTTGTTCTTTTCCCTTGCAGCTTTTAATATTCTTTGTTCTGTATGTTTAGTGTTCTGATTACATGCCAGGGGAATTTCTCTTCTGGTCCAGTCTATTTTGTATTCAATTCAATGTTGATAAACATCTTCTTTAGGTTAAGAAAATGTTCTTTAATAATTTTGTTGAAAATATTTTCTCTGCCTTTGACCTGGGTTTCTTCTCCTTCCTCTATTCCTATTATTCTTAGATTTAGTCTTTTCATAGTGTCCCAGATTTCCTGGGTGTTTAGAGTTAACATTTTCTTTGACTGAGCCATCCATTTCTTCTATCCTGTCTTCAGTGCCTGAGATTCTCTCTCCCATTTCTTAGATTCTGTTAGTGAGGCTTACTTCTGAGGCTCCTGTTTGAGTTCTTAGATTTTTCATTTCCAGATTTCTCTCAGTTTTAGCTTTCATTAATTCTATTTTCTTTTCATTTGTTGTTTGGTTGGTTGGTTTTTTATTTTGTTTTGTTTTGTTTTTTGAGACAGGGTTTCTCTGTGTAGCCCCGGCTGTCCTGGAACTTACTTTGTAGACCAGGCTGGCCTCCCAGAGCCTGCCTTTGCCTCCCAACTGATGGGAATAAAGATGTGAACCATCATGCCCTGCTTATTAATTCTATTTTCATTTTCAGGTTTTAAACAGTTTTCTTCATTTCCTTGCACTGTTTATGTTTTCATAGAATTTTTTTCATTTATTTTACATACCGACTAGTTTCCCCTCCCTCCTTTTGTTCCCTCCCTCACCTTATCTAACCCCACCCCATCTACACCTCCTCAGTCTCTGTTCAGAAAGGAACAGGACTCCCATGGAAGTCAACAAAGCATGGCACATCAAGCTGAAGCAGGACCAAGCTCCTCCCCCTGCTTCAAGGTTGCAACCTAGCATGGGGAATGGGTTCCCAAAAACCAGTGCAAGTGCCAGGGACAGGTCCTGACCCTACTGCTAGGAGCCCCACAAACAGATCAAGCTACACAACTGTCGCACACATGCAGAAAGCCTAGGTCAGTCCCATACAGGTTCCCTAACTATGAGTCCACAGCCCATGAGCTCCCATGAGCTCAGGTCAGTTGTCTCTGTGGGCTCCCCACATACCCCACCCCCACTCCTGCTCATACAATCCTGGAACAGCTCGCCTGGGCTGAGAAAGTTCCATTCCTGCATCCCCAAACCCTATCCCCTCAGAGAAACCACCAAAAGTCAAGTTCCACCCAGTTTGTGGAGAAGGCATCATTGCCCTGTACCTATAGCTTGCCTCACTCCTCCCTCTCCACACCCCACCCTCTTAGAGAAACTGTCAAAACCCAGTTCTGCAGATGCTGCAGCCAAAAATCTAGCCCAAAAGCTTACCATAGCACAACCTACCTCAGCATGTTATCATCCTGCACCCCTACAGGGTATTTAAATCACCCCCTTTAAAATGGCCATGTGATTTCTCTTCTGCTCCCTTTCCCCAGAGTCACCTGGGAGTGCATCGCTCAGGTTAAACCTAGTCCTTTACTTTTTAATTTGGATCAATTTGGTTTACTGTGTTGGCAGAGAAACCTACTACCAGGGATACAGAAATACCTATCACTTCCTCCCTCTCAACAGGACTCCCAGAGCTCAGCCTAGTGCTTGGCTGTGGATCACTACATCTGTCTCCATCAATTACTGGATGAAAGTTCTCTGAAGACAACCAGAATAGTCACCAATCTGATTACAGGGGAAGGTTAGTTCAGGCACCCTCTCCATTACTGCTAGGAGTCTTACCTGAGGTAATCCTTGTGGATTCCCAGGAGTTACCCTGGCCCCTGGTTTCTCCCTAACCCCAAAATGCCCCCCACTTCAAGATACCTCTTTCATTATTTTCCCTGTCTATCCTGTTCCCAGTCATAGATTTTTTTTCCCAAAGGGATTTGTTCATTTCCTCTTTAAGGACCTCTATCATATTCATAAAAGCTATCTTAAGGTCTTTTTCTTGTGCTTCAGTTATGTCACAATATTCAGGGCCTGCTGTGGTAGGGCTGCTGGGCTCTAAGGGAGCCAGTGTTCTGGCTGCTACTGACTGATTTCAAACTGGTTGTCTACACATCTGCTTCCCTGGTTGGAGTGCTTATTATCAGCTTTATCTAGCCTTTTATATTTTATGTAAGCTTTATATTGGAAAAAATCTAAAGAATACTCTAAAGAAACCCATCAAACCACAAAGAAAGAAACAAAGGAAGAAAGTGTATATAAGAAATAAATTACAAATGTTGATGGGAGGTCCTGACTGTTGGAACATGGTCCAACAATAGAGTCATGTGATGGGAATTCTGAGTGCTTGTGAGAAAACTCTAACAAGACAAGAGTCTTATAATCTCTGCTTCTCCACAGCATAGGTTGTTCTTGGAATGTGCTTTTGGGTCCTTCCCAGGTGTACTGGATAGAAGATAGTTTACTTCAGATTATTCATACAACTGGTTATTGTTATTTGCTTATATGCCTCTATAGAAAAATGTGTTTTACAATGTGTGGCCTGTCCTTGTGATTGCACACGTTACTCGGATGACTCTTCCTAATCCTCAGAGTATAAATTAACTGATGCTTTGAGTAAAGCTGGCTATAGCATGAGACTTTAGTCTGCCTCATTTTTAGACTCCATCTCCCAGTAGATTATCTGTCAGCAATACTATGACAACTATATCAAACTCACCCATTGTGTCTACTCCTTTCCTGCCAGCACGGCCAACCATCTGCTTATAAGTGAGAATATCTAAAGTCTGGCCACCGAAAACGGGAGTGCGAATAATCACCCGGCGAGCAGGAAGATTCACTCCAGAAGAAAGAGTAGACGTTGCTGCCAAGACCCGAATAAGACCTTGACGGAAGGCTCCTTCGATGATATCTCTCTCCTCAAAAGTAAGACCTAAATAAAGTGCAGGTTCCAAAACATGTTACCACAGAACCAATATACTTGACTCTATGTATTGGCAGATTTGAGAGTCAGCTACAAGCCTTCAAAGATCTTTTATATAATATTTAAGATTATAAACAAAACATCACAGTCTACCTATTTACGAGTATAATCTGCCATCATTAGACATATTTAGATAGGTCAGCAAAACTGCCTACATGTTAGGTAGACTTGATGGTTTCTACTGAAACTATTTATCCTACTTTTATTAAAAGGAACAGCAGCAGATCAAGTGAGTGGGACTACATTCCAATAACATTTTAGTTGTAAGAATGGACAAACAAACAACAAGTTAAATTTAACAGCATACTATTCTGATTAACTACCCCTGTGTTTTGTGTGTGGAAATGTATTTAAACATTTTTTAAACTTATTTTAAATTTTATCTTGGTTATTTATCATTGAAGTCATATGCATGTATTATCTATAATAAAAAGTTGAATAATACTGAAAAGATTAAATTTCCAGTCTCAGAAAATACTCTTTTTTTTCTCCATACCAGCATTTATTACACATGTATTAACCCGAAATTATATATAAGGCTCAAAGATTTTCATTCATGATCACATTTCATCTTTATAATAACCTCTGAGATACTTGTTGAAGACAACTTATGATGGCAATCTTAACACATATGATCACAGATCCAGCATCTCACTCAGTGACTGTCATACATTGGCAATTCTGACAAACCAGCCACTGGATTTTTTACTAGAAGTCCTCTCAATTCAATGACAACTTCTAAAACATATTTGACTTTGCTATATCTGGGAGTCTATGTCAATTCTTGACATAAGAGGAAACAGAGTAGCATCAAATCTGAGTAGAAAGTATTACTCTAACATAAATTTTACGGAACATAGACAGGTTAAGACTTCTAGAATGCAGTTTCCCAGTGATGGGGGAAATCCATTATCTAGCATAGCTATACAGTTCAGATAAGTAAGCTTAAAATGTCTGTTTTATTCTGGTTTGGCTAATCCACTGTTTCTTAAAATGAAATATACAAATATTAAGTGTGAATAACAAGAAATAAATTCACATAAATATAAAAATGAAGAAATTATGAAAGTCTTGTGAGATTTTTTTTTAATTTTTTATATTTATTTTATTATTTTATGTGTTTACCTATGAACCCATATGGATATATGTGCACTACAATGTGTACAGGAGCCCAGAGAGACCAGAAGAAGATCGTATCTGATCCCCTGGAACTGTAGTTACAGGCAGTTCACCACATGAGTCCTGGGAATCAAACCCAGAGCCTTTGTAAGAGCAACAAGTGCTCATAATTACAGAGTCACGTCTCCAGCCTGTGACACAAGATTACAAACAAAGAATACCTGCATGATGAAATGCTACCCCCCATGGCACAGTGTTCTTCAATACAGAATCTAGTCCTGAAGGCGAACGTTTTAGCTGATCCATCACTTCCAGAAGGCTCTTTTGGTCTAGATTCACTGGTGGAAATTCAGATGATTTTACTAATCCTGCCAAATACACACAAATAATAAATAAGTAAATAAATCACCAACTATACATGTCTCTTTGTTTCATTGGCTGTTACCTTCCAACTCATGGCAAAAATAAATATCAGCTCCAGAAACTGCCACATACTTTCATCATCCATGGAACTTTTGAAGCCACTGACCCAGGACACTATAATGCAACTGAAATAGGGCATGACTTGGACCTCCAGAATCTTCATAGGTAGTCCTAATAATATATCCCAAAGTTATGAAGCTCAGCTTTTAAGGAGACATGATGTTCAAAGAGGGGATCAAGGAGCCTGCTAGAGAAAGGACAGATTATCCCTTGTTGTGGCTTGAGTATAAAATGTTCCCTCATGTTTTAATACCTAGTCCCCATATGGTGGCAATTTTAGGAGGTAATGGAGCTTTTAGCAGGTGAGGCCTGGTTGACAACAGTGGGCCACTGGAGGTACACTTTAAGAACAAAGCCCACCTGTGGTTCTAGCCCTTGCCATCTGCTTCCTGTCTGCTGCCACGATGTAAGGAGCCCGACTTACTTGCTTCTGCTTCAATGATCTCTCCCACCACATCTTCCCACCATGATGGACTTGGACCCTCTGAAACCATGAACCAGGATAAACCTTTCCTCTCTTAAGTTCCTTCTGTCACAGTAACAATAAAGTAACTAACACACAAGCAAAGTCTAAACATCAAAATCATTGTTCTAGATGTGTCACACCAACCTGCACATCAGCCCTGCCTAGGACCCTAGCTCTTTCTCTGGAAACTATTAAGCTCCTCTGTCACTAAGCTACTAGTCACACTTATGTAACCAAGATGGGTTGTGACTTTTAGAGTCACTTCTTTAAGAAAAAAGTCTAGCTTCTTAAAAAATTGCCCAGACTTTTAGATTCCTAAACTTACAAAGTTTCATTTAAACCTATTTTAATGTGTATCTTTCATTTTGTGTGTTTTTAATTTTTAAGTAAATTTTCTTAAAATTCTGAGGATACTCACAGGGTTTCCTATGTTTTATTTTGCTAAAGACAATAAAAGTATATTACACTATTGCCCATCAGTATATTTATTTCAAAAGAAGTGTTTTGTGTGTGTTTGTATGCATGTGTTCATGTGTGTGAAGATGAACATGTGTGTACATGCATGTAGAAAACAGCCTCAAGTGCTGCTCCTCAGGAGTCTTCCGCTTGTTTTTTGAGGAAAGGTTCCTCACTAGGCTGGAGCTTTCAAAGTAAGCTAGGCTGGATGGCCAACAACACCACGCCTGTGTGGGGATTACAAACATACCACTAAGTCTTGGCTCACCTTTTTTTTAATGTGGTTCTAGAGCTCAAATTCATGTCTTTGTGTTTGCAAAGCAAGCACTTTACAACTGAGCAACCTCTTCAGCACAAAAGAAATCATTTTAAGATTTAAAAAATCAGTAAGATAATAAAAATCTTAAACTTCAGTTTATAAAAAATGTGCTACTTTATTTTTATGGAAAAAATAAACAGACCAAACACTTCATTTAGGAACCACTACTACAAATTTAGGAAGCACTACTACAAATCAAAATAACAAAATTCAAAAGAGCACGATGAAGAATCTGATCCTTAAGAAGTAAGTTTTCACGGAACAGTGTAAGCATATACTTTAGCATGGTATAGATAGCACCACAAGACAGCCTGGAAAGGATACTACACAGTACTGGATCAGACAGCAGTCAGTAGAAACTTCGCTGTTACAAGGTTGAAATACTGACTGCCTACCCTCATAATGCCACTCATTGGCAAAAAGCAGTAACAAAATATTCTAGTATCCTATGACTGGATCTGGTCTGCAGTTCTAGAACTTCACTACAAAGACAATGGTCTCAGGCTTCAGAAAATCTCAGTGATAATAGCTCATTATATGGAAACATCATTTATTTCAAAGAAACTCTCTTTAAAGCAAAAGTGGTGTGACAGGAAGACAAGGGGTGGGTACGGAACAACTGAGTACTAAACATACAAACTAAATTTCATAAAACTAACTCTTTAAACATAGATACTTTAATATTCTAGATACAATCAAGTGTTTTATAAAATTTCCTAGAAAGAATAAGCAAGATAATAAGAGAGGACAGAAGAAGGAAACAATATTCAGAGTTGATATGATATTATCTAAAAGGTCCAGAATTCAACAACAACAACAAAAAATATGAGTCATGAAAGAAAGTAAGGCTTCAACACAGGAGCAAAGGCAAGCAACAGAAACAACTTTGAGAGAGCCCAGATGTCAGAATGAGCCAAGATCCTATATGATCACATGCTAGGAGAAATACTGAGGCTACAAGGTTCATCCTACAATCAGTAAAAACACATGGTAATAGTTATTGCAGTATACAGTATTTAAAAGGAACAAATTTATCAATGCAATACCTTAAATGGACCTCAAAAACATCTGCTGCATGAAAAAAATAACTATTTACAAAATATACACATAATCTGCTACATATTTACATGAAATTTTTAACAAAGCACAGCAATCTAAAGTGAAAGAAAGCATGTCAGCAGTTGCCTGCCGCTGACAATAGAAGGAGGAGATTGACAGCAAAAGCGCATTTCAGAGTGGTAGAAACAGTCTATACATAACTATAATAGTGGTGGATAAGCAGACATACACATTAAAAATCAAATTATACACTTCAAATGAAGCATTATATTATGCACAAAATATGTAACACAAAATCTGATCTGATCTACATGTATATGTCTATATGATTCTTTTTGATTCATATGTCTATATATTAAAGAAAGACAAAGTCACTTTTTCCAGAAAAAAAAAAGTATGGTATGTGTAACTTTGCATACAACTTAGGGGCTCCTGAGTTTGAATCTCTCAAAGTCCATAAATCTAAAATGAAGAACTTATACACATATACATAGTACTCTAAAAATTAGAAGACAATTAGCCTGAGTATATGTACACATTAACTATGGAGAGTACAAAAAAGGATTAAAACAACAAAAGCAGCCTTATCAAGAATATCTAGTTTACACAGTGACAGTGACAGAAAAGAGATGCACTTTGCTACTATTATCACTAGTACTACTGTCAAATACAGTAAGGATGGATGCTTTCACTTACTCTCGGGTTGATGGTGTAGATTATAAAACTCTCGAGCAATGATATCTGCTACCTTTTCACACCATTTTTTCGATGGACAAAAGAGTAATACTGAATGGTTATCACAAACAGTCTCATAACATAAACTAACAATGTGATCTTCATCTCCCTAAAAAAGAAAAATAGTTACATCAGTCATACCTTTAAAACATTTTCACATTGGATCAAAATTCTACATTTTGATCCATAAAGCTTTTTTTCTTTACTCAAAGCATCATAAAAATCTTTTACAATAAAAATAAACTTCATTAATGATGATGGATGAAAAGAAAATTTTCTATGCATTCAACTCATGCTTATTAAGCTCTAGCTTCAGGTATTGGAGACACAGCGGTGACTAAAACAAAGTCCTAACTGGCAAGGAGTTTATTTACAGTCTCACTGAGGAACACAGTAAAGAACTAAACCACCATGTGATGTGCTAAAGAGGAAATATTCGCAATAGTTTAGTCTCATAGATTTGAAAAGACATAAAGGAGGTTCTCTGAGAAAACAAGTGAGCTCAGATGTGAAGGAGACACATTATCTCAATGGAAAGTGTATTTTTCAAGCATAGCAAAGAGTTTGTGTGAATGCCCTATGGAAGTCCCTCCATGCTGGAAGAATATCAATGTGTGCAGGTGTATCAGGGAGTAAGTAGCTTTTATTTATCAAGTGCAAGTGCTACACATACACATACACATACAAACAATCCTATTAAATTCTTACCAAAAGCAAGTATTATATTTACCCTTCAGATAAAGATAGAAGGCTTAGAGAGGTTTAATGACTGAAACTCAGCCATTTTGTGTATCTCTCTTCAGTGTCAGAGGAAGGTCTGTCATTTAGCATACTTACATATCTCACTGAGTAGAAAAAAGTCCATTTATATTATATATCAAGAAATGATGTCATTAAAATTAAAAGCACACTAAATTCTCATTCTCACTATTCTCATCAATTGCTTAAGGTTAAACTGATTAGCTTAATATCAGTTCTGACAGATACATAATATACAGTCAGCTACTATGCAACCACTAATTATACAATTAAAAATTGTTAACAACCTGGTAGAAAACTCGAAGGCACTGACAGTGGAGATATAACAGCAATGATTCACCTTTACTTTGAGCACAGGATGGAATTCTCTTACAAGCTTCATTGAAGAGTCATATATGGAATTTCCTATTTTTATTGATTCCAAAAGTGGTACAGGGCGAAAGTCAGTATGGTAAAGTTCAGCATTCAACCAGGAAGCTATGAGCTGCAAATTAGGAAGAGTAGCACTCATGCCAACAATCTGCACAGCATTACACAAAGCACGGGCTGAATCTGCCTGGCTGGAAAAAAACAAAAGAAAATTACCTTAGGAAATATGCAGAAAGGAACACATAGTACTGCTAATGACATTCTTGGTCATGGCCTTTGGCACACAATACAAACATGTCTTTAGAGTACAGATCTGGGGATAAAATTACTAATTACAGATATTCAAATGTAATGAGTGATATAAAGCTGTTTTCCAGGGAGACTGGTACCAAAATATCACAGTCTGTGTGTTCTACCGCTCCATAATCTTGTCACCATCTGGCAACTGTATTGTTATCATTTTAATAATAAACAGTATGGAGGGACTATAACAATACCTACTCGGAGAAGCAATTTCTCTGATTATTAATGATGCTTTGTGCCATTCATATGTCAGACCATTTGGAACCTCTCTTGCAAAATGCCTATTTAAGCATCTCACTAATACACTGGGTTGTTCTTCTTAGTCAGTTGTAACTTTTTTTTACATGTTTGACACAGAAATTAGTGTAAAATGTATTATTTAATTTCCAAACATGTAGGTATTTTCTAGTTATGTTTTCCTTGTACTTGATAGGGATAAATGTATAGCACAGTATACAGAAAACCAAGCCATCAAACAATAAAGATATTTATTAGTATAAGAAAAAAAAAACAGGCTTTTCAAAAGGTAAAAACAATCACAATATACGATAGTTAACAATGCTATATCACTGTAAAACTGAATAATGATCTCCCTATTTGGGAGAATAGGAAGAGAGTAAATAATGAATAAGAAAAACTGAAGAAGATGGGAGGAAACTGGGTATGGGCAAGTTGAAAATATAGACCATGGTTTTGGAATAAAACAAAACTACTATCCATGAATTTGTTTAAATAAAAAAGGTACTACACTCCTGTACATCTTACTTTTCCACTTTTATAAATTCTTTTTCAACATCTTTTCACATACAAAATACCAAGAAATCAGTCATTTCAAGTACTTACCACATTGTTGATTTCCGAGTAACATAGCAAATCTTGGTCAGTAAAAGTTCCAAAAGATATCCTCGATGAGAGTCCCCCAGCATGTGTAATTCATCCACAACCACCATTCCTAGAAGGATTTTCCAGATTGATCTTTTATAAAACTGCACAGTTCTAAGAATTTTAAGACTCAGAAGCCCACACCTAGTGGCAAATAACTATCATAATAAGATCCTGCAAGTAATACAAAGTTCCAGATTAAAAGAAAGGCCAGGCCGGGCGGTGGCGGTGCACGCCTTTAATCCCAGCACTCGGGAGGCAGAGGCAGGTGGATTTCTGTGAGTTCGAGGCCAGGCTGGACCGACAGCCTCCAAAACAATACAGAGAAACCCTGTCTCATAAAACCAAAAAAAAAGAAAAAAAAAAAAAGGCCAGGTTCTGTATAATGGTCAATTCTTTTCCAGGATGTTTAAAGATCTTAAGCAATCCTATTGTCATATATTCTAACTACAAAAATTCAGTGATTAGTTTACTCAGGGCTAACAAAACCATCAAACCCCGAATCTTAGTCTTCTCTCTATTGCTGTTATAAATGCCATGACAAAAAGCAATTTAAGGAGGAAAGGGTTTATTTGGCTTTTATTTCCTAATCATTGAACATCCTGACAGTGAGCAGACTCAAATCAGGCAGTCATACCTATGTGTAGGACCTCAAAGCCAAAACTTAGGAATAAGCCTAACTAAAGAAAGGTGACTAGAGCTTCATGGGTTTATTTCTGGATACTCTATTCTATTCCATTGTTCTCCACATTTGTTTTGAGGCTAGTACTGTGCTATTTTTATTGCTGTGGCTCTATAGTACAACATGAAACCAGTCAGGTATACTGACTGAGTCTCTTTGTTTAAGATTGTTTTTCTATATGAATTTTAGAATTTTATTTTTCCTAATTCTATAAAGGAAATTTTATGAGAACTATATTAAGTGTGTAAATCGATTTCAGCAATATGACCATTTTAACAAAATTAATTCTGTCAATCCAGAAACATGCAACATTCTTCCTTCAGTGTACTCATTGTAAAGGTCCTTTACCTCCTTTCTTTAGTCAGGATGCCATAAAACTACCTACTAGTATATCACTTTATATCAAAAGAATCAACTCTCACAAGTTATCCTCTGACTTCCCTATATGTGCCATGTCATATACACACACACACATTTATAAAAATTAAATAAATAAATGTGAAAATAAAGTTTAATACAGAAAGACATAAAATATACGCTTTTTTTAAACATGAAGTTCCCAACATTACCTCTGCCAATTCTTGCCTCCAAAACTAGACAATAGAAAACAAACATATAGACCTACAGGAATCACAGTTTCACTTCATTCCATCAAAAACATCAACAGGAAATAATTGTTTACTTTCTTACCTAACAAATCCATCTTATTTTCCTCAATGAGGCGATTGACCAGCCCATTGGCTCTCTCGATAGTGCAAACAGCAATGTCCAAGGAGGAAAAGCGTCCAGGAGGTGAGGTGCTGCCCATGTAGCCATCTACTTTTATTCCTACTTCCTGAAACAGACTCTAAATTAAGCAAAAGAAATAATACAGATGAAAAGTTAGAATGTATTGAGTTATAGTTGGGTTCTACTCCAGTACATAGACAAAAGTATTTAAAGATGGTTGCTTGTGGCCAAGACCCAATGGCTTTTACAATCACATACTAAAATGTACTTAGAATTAGCAAAGCTCGCCTCCAAAACAATACAGAGAAACCCTGTCTCGTAAAAAACCAAAAAAAAAGGAAAAATAATAATTAGCAAAGCTCAGCACAGATATTTCTGTTAAAAAGAGTGAAATAAATGTTTCAATTATCTAAGTCCTAACAGCTATTATAGAAATTAAAACTGGAAAACATTGAAGTTCTACATGTTTAGTTCACTAGCAAAGAATAGTTAACTTTTAACCCTAATATGTTTTAAACTTATACTTTACAAGGAAAAATATCCTTATCCTACTAAAGATGGGTTTCCATATGACGGAAGACAAGTTTCAAAAGTTCAGTTCAGTGGGATTAATATTAACCCTTTGCTTTAACTTTTAACTAACATACCTTCTCAATAAAAGGAATCCTTTCATCATTTTGTTACTTGGGGTCTAAGTTGAGAGAAGTTTACTGAGTAGAACCAGCTTTGTTGGCTATTTGCCTCTGAAATAACCATTAAAAAGATTTGTAAAACCATAGAACTTTACAGATATTCATTTAATCAATTTCTCCTGAGAGTTTGAGTTTATTTGGTTATAGCATTAAGAGTGAGCAGCCTCAGTTTACAAAAAAAAACACACACACACACAAGGTCCTGCAGGTTTGTGTGCCTGGCAACACAGGACTAAAATCCAGACTGCTGACCAGTCTGTACACTGATTTCTATTCTGACAGCATGCCACCCGACTGAAGAAATCACATGGAACCCTGCCAATACAGTGCCTGACTTTTCTCAATGGTCCTCAGGTGGGGTGGACTAGGCTTCCTTAAACATGCTGATTTTTCCTTTGCAATCACATGCTATTCTTTACTTCCTATGAAAGTTTATCATTTTTATACAGTATTCCCCAAGCTACCCTTTTATTTTGATGTTCCTTTCTACTTTATGCAATAATAACTTTTAAATCTCTCTCTTTGGGGTTGTTTTGTTAGTAACACTGAGCTATAATATCCCCAAACTTCTTTTTACTTTTTGATAGGATTTCACTAAGTTGCCCAGATAATTCTCTTGCCTCAGATTCTCAGGTAGATCTGATCCCACACCAGGCCCAGCTGTCCAACTAAACTATTAAGACTTTTAAGTCAGCTTTTAAAACTACATACATATAATGAAAGAAACGTGGCTTTCTGTTTGATCTTACACCTCCTTCAAATGAGTAAAGCCAATGCTCCCAAAGACAAACCTCCCACTATTTCAAACAGCAAAAACCATTACCTGGAGGTAGTACTTCTTCTCTTTAGCCACAGATACAAAGGGCAGAATAAACAAAGCTTTCTTCCGCATTTCCAAAACCCGCTTCAAAATAAGTAACTCTGCAACCAGAGTCTTCCCAGCACTTGTAGGAGCTAAAATGTGATTTTTCCACACAATTATGACAAAAAGTAACATTTAGTACACAGAGTCTAGAACTAATACATTATTAAAGACTCAACCAGTGTTTGAAACCTTAACCCCCAAATGCCCTTGACTCTACACTAGGTTTCCAAATAGTCTCAGAGTAAACAGGGGGTTTTTAAATCTTTGTATTAGAAATTAATGATGGATGTTACTATTAATTCTATATGTTTCTCTAAGAACTGGCTGAATAGGTAAAAGCCCTGCTATGTACCTTTAAGATAATGAGACAGAAATTTGGAGGAGGTATAAGGAAGCTTACAGAAAGAAACTTAGGGGGAGAGGAAAGGAATACCAAACATTGGAAACATCATTTGCAAAGGCCCAGAGTAGAGCCTAGAATGCCCTGATGACAGTAATTTTATAAGTCTAGAGTACAAAATCCTTCAGGAGAAAATAAAGAGATTAAAAAAAAAAAAAAACACCAGTGGTTAGAACTGGGACTGGAGTGATGGCATAGCAATTAAGAGAGTGTACTGTTCTCAGAGAGGACTTGAGTTGAATTCCAACATCCACTATAAGACAGCTCACAACTGCCTGTAACTCCTGCTCCAGAGAATCTGACATCCTTGTCTGGTCTCTGTGAGTACTGCACTTACAGCCCATACCTACACATGGACACACACACACACACACACACACACACACACACACACACACACACACACACACATAATTTAAACTCTTTTAAATTTTTAAATGCTACACAAAGAAGAGGATTATAATCCTGCCGTCTAAGGATCTTTTTTTATATCTATCCTGAAAGCAATGCAAAATGACTAACTTAAAAGCAGTGAAAAGGCATACTTATAGTGATCACTTTGGCTACAGAAGCAGGGCAAAACCAGAGAAAAAGATAAATGAGTTACAAGGGTATCGCCAGATCTACAAGGAAGACAGACAGCAAGCTACACCAGGTAATGGATCCAACATATAGTCCACAGATCCAATATGTATCTAAGGTAAAAGTTTCTTGATGATTATGAGTTGTTGACCAACGCTGTGATTTAAGAAACTGAAATGGCCAGCCCATGCCTCCATATCAACCAACTGACACTGATGTGCATTTAGGAGTACTTTCTGTGTTCCCAATCGTTCTAAATCTGTATACTTAGGAAGTCATTTAATCCTCAGCACTACCAAGTCAGTTAGCCTCCCCCTCTACCTACTTGCCAATTCCTACAGTCAGTAAAAGATGCAGTTCCCAAACCAAATCAGTCTAACTCCACAGTCTGAACGTATATATACTTAGTTAATATTCTAGTTCTTTATTATAGCCTTAAAAAAAATCAGTCTAACTCCACAATCTGAACTTATATGTACTTAGTTAATATTCTAGTTCTTTATTATAGCCTTAATAAAAAATCAGTCTAACTCCACAGTCTGAACTTATATGTACTTAGTTAATATTCTAGTTCTTTATTATAGCCTTAATAAAAAATCAGTCTAACTCCACAGTCTGAACTTATATGTACTTAGTTAATATTCTAGTTCTTTATTATAGCCTTAATAAAAAAAAAATGTGAGTCAGGCACTGGTAGTGTACGCCTTTAATCCCAGCACTCTGGAGGCAGAGACAGGCTGATCTCTGTGAGTTCAAGGCCAGCCTAGTCTACAGGGCAAGTTCCAAGACAGGTTCCAAAGCAATACAGAGAAACACTGTCTTGAAAAACCAAAAAAAAAGAAAAAGAAAAAAGAAGAAGAAAGTGAATGACTTTAGAACTTCAGAGAAAACTGACACAAAGGAACTGTATCTTACATTGCAGTAAAACAGGTGTAAAATGATAACTATCAAAGCTGCCCTTGAAAACCCATATAAATCTTATGACGTATACTACATATTGTTTTGTACACTTGAAATCCTGCACAAACAGCTCAATTATGAATATATAAAGTTTACACCCTGAAAAGCAACAGAGATCAAATGAGGCAAGAGCAGGCTGGCATCTCCCGTTACAAATGCACTGGCACATACGTTCATTAAGCAAGTAGAATTTTAACTACATAAATTAACAGTGTCCTGGTTTCCCCTCCTCTACCACATGAAGGAACTTTCATGACTTCAATATGCAAATGATGACACTCCATGTAAGAATTTTGTTGTCCACCTATGTAAAAGATGCAACCACCCCAATAAAGAATCTCACACTGAAAACTTTAGTAAAATGAGTTTGCATAAATTTGAATACCTGAATAAACTAGATTCTTTCCTTCCAGGACTTGTCCAAGCAAAAGACACTCTGCCTGCCATTCGAACATCTTCTTTACACCAAAACTATGGTATTTCTCCAAAACTGCTTCAGGAAGTCCCCAATTTGCCAATAGCAGTTGGTCTATCTGGTCATCAGAAACTCTTTGCTTGCATGTCCCTTTCAGAAAAACAAAAACAATTGAATTACTTCCAACATCCAACTTTAATAGCACTGTACTGCTGGAATTCCTACATGTTAAAATGAAACTTTAGCACATCTTGACTTCAAGACAATTACAAGAAACTGATCCTGTACAGAAAGGTACTAGCAAATTTTTATTAACCTGACAGAATTTTGAAAACTCTTAACAGCCACAAACAAAAATGTGCGCTATATACGATGAATAAGGAGTTTGGAATGATGGGGAGGTGGGGGATGTTCCAGAGTGACAAAACAGCATTACAAAGCTATTAGTTTCTGTTTACATTTTAAGACTGATATGTTTGCCTAACAAAGGACAAAGAATTATGGAATACACTGGTGCAGGCCCCTAATTCCAGCATTTGGAAAGCAGCAGGATCAAGAGTTAGAGACCCTAGGCCAGCCTGACCTAGAATAAGCCCTTGTCTCAAAAAACAAACAAGAATTGGGCCAACATTCTGAGGAAACAATACAGATCCCTTCCAACTTTGCTCTGGATTCCAAGAAACCTACATCCTACGCTACACCTGGTAATGTGGTATAACATCTAAAGTAGTACAGGACGTTACTCTAAGCAAACCCTGACATTGTATCAGGATCTGGCCAATTAGGAAGTTGTTTCTGTGAAGTTGTAAAGATCCAAAAAATACAAAGAACGCCTATATCTACACAGGCAGTGCCAAAGCTAATCACTTGGGCATGCTGGCGGCTAGAAGGGAGGCCGCCTCCTTGTGTTGGGAGTCACAGCCTCGCTGCTGAAGTGCATGCCCCTGCGGCCCTCGGGGCCCATCTCTGCCCTGGTGTTGGAGTATTTGCCCCTGCACCCCTTGTGGGTGGGGGCATCTCGGGCTGTTGGGAGCATTTGTCCCAGCAGCCCTCGGGCCGTCCCGGTCCCGGTGCTGAAATGCATGCCCCTGCGGCCCTCGGGCCCCATCTCTGCCCTGGTGTTGCAGTATTTTATTTGCCCTGCGGTCCTCAGGACCCATCTCTGCCCCGGCGATGGAGTACTTGCCCCTGCTGCCCTCCGGCCGTGGCGGCCCCGCTGTACGACTACCTGCACCTGAGGCTCTCAGGCGGCGTCCCAGCGCCGGAGGTGGACTCAGAACCGGCCTAGACGGCAGCTGAGGGCTGACATAGCTATCACCGTCTCCCGAGAACGAGTCGGAGCCGGACGCTGAACGCCGCCGTTTCCCACTCCGGCGCGGAAGACTCATTGCAAACAAACTCCTCTCGGTTGTTCAGGGCACCACACAGTCCCAGAGGCCTCCCATGCCGGAGAACCACAGCCTGGTGACAGTCGCGACCACCATCTTCCCGCCTCGGCCTTCAAATTCAGTCCTCCCAGCCCGCCCCGGAACCACAGAGTTCTCGTGGCTAGAGTAACCCGACTACCATAGAGTCGTGAGGGAAGGAACAGCCCGCGCTGATGTCTGGCTTCCGGCCTCCGCTGCCGGCTAGCGAAGGAGAAAGTGATAGAGCACCAGCTTGAGTCTGCATTCTTAGAGTATCCTAAAAGCATTCCGTCTGTTTTTATCCGCTTCTGATTTGAATAGAGAGGCTGTGCTGGCAATAAAATGAGCTGCCCGTACATGGATAGATTAGGAAAGTATCTGTTCTTTACCGTTATTTTTGCTTGTTTCGTTTTGGGGTTTTGTTTGTTTGTTTCAAAAAATTATTCCAAATTGTAAAACAGAACTGTGGAGAAGTGTGTAAAACAGAAATTTAAAAAAAGGTTTCTGGTAGAGCGTAATTAGTGCTGCTTTCCTCTTGTGGAATCCGTGAACTAAAGTAACGGGGGGAGGGGCACGAGCAGATGCCAATCCAGGGTTAAACATTCCAGGCTGTAATGCGGCAGGTGCAGTGCAGAATTAATCTGGGCTATCTCAGGCCTTTAAATAGCCAATTGTTTGGTCACACAACTTTGTCACATCCTTGTGACTATTGAAGTAAATCATTTTGTAATGTGCGAAGAGACGACTGAAAAGCTAAGCTCAGCATCTGACCCCAGCAGCAGAGGTTTCTCTTGATTTGCTGTATCCTTTCTACCTGATATTTCCACCGACCTATCTAAAAAAAAGTCTTAATTTATAACTCTTGCTCTATAAATGTATTTTCTTTAAATAAAAACCCCATGAAACTGCTACCACAGAAACATATACAGAACAATTTAAATCTGTGTCGTGGTCACTCATATTTAGTTCCAGAATAAACTATCTCGTGTTCCCTTTTAGGTGACAGTTGATAGGGAAGGGAGTATCTCTGCAGCCAGGTGCTATCTCAAGGATTTATATGCTGAGTGAGGATCCTAAAATCAGAACTGGAGATTGGCCAGGCGGTGGTGGTGCACGCCTTTAATCCCAGCGAAGGCAAGCAGATCTCTGTGAGTTCCAGGCCAGCCTGGTCTACGAGCGAGTTCTAAAGCTACACGGAGAAATCCTGTCTTGAGCCCCCAACCCCCCCAAAGAAAAAAAGAGTAACAGGTGGTTGTGAACAGATTCCTTTGGTGCTAAAGAAGAGGCTCTGAAAGGGCATGAGGGGTCATTGAGAACCAGGAACTCATTAATAGATGCGTGTTGACCAACTTCCTGACATAATTTGGCACCTGTTAATTGTGTAGTTCCAAAGTTCCTCTCACCAAGCCAGCTAGTGGGTGTCAAGCCTACCCTGAAGAAACTATGGCCATAATGGGGGAGAAAAAAAAAACGAGAGAGGTGAATTTAAGAAGCCATTAAAGGACAATATTCTAAAATCCCACCAGGGGGAGACGTTACTCCATGAAAGAAGCGCCTCACTCTTGTGGGCATTCACTCAGAAAGCATGGGGCATCAACTGTATACTAGATGGACTCTGTGTGGCAGTGATGCAGTATTGGAAGGGCTCCTGCCTGAAAGATAACGAGCAGGATACAGACATCGAATACATAAATTGTGAGTTTAAATGTGACTGCTACTCAGGGAGAAATGAATAGAGGACTGTCGAAGGAATCCTGACGTACAGTCACAGTGGGAACTGTGTAGGCCTGCTATAGTCTGGCTGTGGACCTACACAGTCTAGAGTTAGAAACATATTAACTGTGCTATCTTGGGTAACTTGCATAACCCCTCTGTGACTATTTCCATACCCTATGATGGGAGGGATAAGAGTCTGTTTGGATGAATGTGTACACAAAGTGCTGAGCCCGTGCTACCACATAAGTGTGATCAGAGAAAACTGCATTTAAATATCCTAATAAGCCTCAGTAATAATTCAACATTGTAAGGAGGAAAGAATGAGACAGAGAAATCTCTTATCGTAAGTCTATCCAATACTAACCTATTTTATTATGTGAACTTAAAATGAAAACCATTAGGACAATATAAGAAGGAATGGTGTGTGTCCTCTAGCTACAAGCCTAAAATAAACTTTTAATTTTCTGATTTTCCTTCAAATCTTCAATATCTATTCCCAATATTTTTTAATTCTTCAAAACTAAAAAACCAAAGCTATTTCTCAAAAAATATAAGTACCATAAACCTGCTCATAAGCCCATTCATGGGGAGGTCATAGGCCCTTGCAAGGAACCTACTAAATGGATATGTCAAACTACCATCTAAATATTTATGCTTATACCCATAGATTAATCCTGCTTTTGAGACTCATAACTGGTCATAGTGCTGAGACTGAGTTCCTCCTTAGCATCCACAAAATAGGCCAGACAGAGCAGCAAGCATGTCTAATCCCACACTGGGGAGCCGTAAACAGGGGGATCCTAGGAATTTGCTAGACAGCCCGTCTTGAGTGAGCTCTGGGTTCAATGAGAGACCTTGTTTCACAAAAAATAAGGTGTAAACTGATAGAAAGATGATTGAGTTATTGGCTTCAATAACATCTTTTTAATTGCCTTTTCATGTACTTGCTGACTGTGAGGGGAGACAGGAGCTAGTCAATTCTTTTTTTTAAATAATTTATCTTAACTTTAGTTTATGTGCAATGATATGAGGTCCCCTGGAACTGGAGCTATAGACAGTTGTGAGCTGCCATGTGGGTGCTGGGAATTGAACTCAGGACCTCTGGAAGAGCAGCCAGTGCTCTTAGCCACTGAGCCACCTGGCCAGCCCTGCTAGTTAATTCTTAAGTAGGTAGATAGCTAGAGAGAGAGGTCCTATACCAACCTCATCAAGACAAATTGGGGACAAACTGATCTCTGAGGGATTCTACTATAAAGGGTTTACTCCTAGACTCTTGCCCCAAAGAGCATACTCACTATGGAGACATTTTTCCTCTCTGTCAGGCCACTGGGCTAACTTCCTCCTGATGCTAGCTAGCCACAGGGCAGGGCAGGGCAGGGCCTATATTTCACACCATACCACATCCAACTTTATGCCTTATAAAATGACATTTTTTTTTTGGTTTTTCGAGACAGGGTTTCTCTGTGGCTTTGGAGGCTGTCCTGGAACTAGCTCTTGTAGACCAGGCTGGCCTCGAACTCACAGAGATCCGCCTGCCTCTGCCTCCCGAATGCTGGGATTAAAGGCGTGTGCCACCAACGCCCGGCATAAAATGACATTTTTATCAGTATTTTAGCATCTCCTAGAACCGAGTGTGTGGAAGGATGCAGTGTGTCTTTGATAGACCTCCACCAGACGCTGCTCGCTGTGGGCACAGGCAATGAAATGTAAATAGCGGTCTCAGTCTTGGAGAAATAGAAGCTCATTTCATAACTGTAAGACTAAGGCCAGGTCATTAGTCTGAGATCAGTGTCCAATTCCCAACACTAAAGAAGACAGTCTAGTGCCTGAACCGCTTGAGTTAGAAATAATAATCCCTTCCTTATACATGCTGTAAGGATTACACCAACTGCCAGGGGAGGGCAGGGCACACACCATTAATCCCAGCAGTTGTGAGGCAGAGGCAGGCAAATCTCTGTGATTTCAAGGCCAGCCTGGTCTACAGAGTGAGTTCAAGGGCAGCCAAACTTACACAGAGAAACCCTGTCTCAAAAAACAACAAAAAAGTAAAAGAAATAGAGTAATAAAAATAATAATAAAGCCTCATAAAGATGGAAAATACACAGAGAGTCTGGATACTGTATGTCATTGTGTTGACTTTGAATTCTTTGATTGCTGAGAAAGGACCATCAGCTGACAAAAAACATATGATTATAATGTTGCTCAATTAATGCAGTTATATATAAATTATAAATTTTTAAATGCCTTGAATTTTAAATTAAAGTCTAAGGACCTGTTACTTTGGAAAAGAGATTCTGCTTTTGTTTCCACAGGAGATGAAAAGCTGTGGATTCTTCCAGACTAATATGACTTGATCAAGCAAGACCTCCTGACTCAGTGGCCCAGGTGATCCAATATCCAAAACAGCAGTGGCATGGCATGGCATGGCAGCACAGGTGGGTGGGGAGCTGGCTAACTCCTCCCCACCCGAGCTGCACTGTGGACCACTGATAGCAAGATCAGGTGGGCCAGAAGAGCTTTCTTCTCCAGGAGAATTTCAAAGCACTACACGCATTCATGTCTCACCCAGTCTGGTCCTTGCTGTCATTTAAAATAACCTAACCAGCTAAACGCACCCTAAAAGGTCCAATTCAAGGAAGACATGGAGCCAAACTTTGCTTCACATCCTGTTAAGAAGTGTATAAGCCAGACTCCCTGGAAGAAGATAGTGTTCCCACTCGGGACTCCTCCCCCATGTGTTACATGGCTCACTCTGGCTTTGTGTGTTGTATGTGCTTATATGCTGTCTTTGCTGAGACAAATCTTATATGTAGTGAACTACAAATTTCTTGTCCTTTAACTCTTGACAAAAATCAGACTGCAGATGGAGCTAGCACACAACAACTAGATTACTTATTGCTAGATTATAAGTGGTGGGAGGGGCAACAGAGAAAACAAAATTAAAAGTCAGCAAAAGGTATCAAAATGATAAAACCACATATCTGACATTGTGGCTTAAAAGGGTGAAGCTCTGGGAGTCCAGGAAGAGACAGCAATTGAAAAATAGAGCAAGAAGCCATAATGGGAATTCCAGAATAATAGAGTTATGATTGTCCAGAACTTTAAAATTCAAGTGCATCCAGATTAAAGACATAAAAGGAAACATAACATAAATAAAAATAAGTCCTGCTTAGAAACTTTTTGATAAAAAATTATGTTGTGGGAAAAGCATAAACATATTAAAAGTCAACTAGACAGAAAAATTGGCTCCAAAGGAGTAAAACTTTGACCAATAGAAGACTTTTCAAATAAATTAGCTCTATACTGGCCTAACCTATTGTTCAAGTAATAAAGACATTTGAAGGAAGTTTGAAATCATTTATGATTAGCAGACCTTCACTAAGTGGGACATT